GGGAACAGTCGGCATGATAAATGCCAACCTGCTGCTCTTTGGTTGGTATTTGATGGACTCTCCACCTAACACCCACCAACCCATCCAAGGAGACAACACGATGCTGGCCAACGACCTTCCATCAGGTCATAGTTGGATACACACCTACACACCTGCAGCATGGCCAAGAGCTATCATGCGGTGCAATCAACAGGAATGACTCAGGGGGGAAGGGGGGGGAGGAGAGCGATCGATGAAGCAGTTTGTGGAATCAAGCATCAAAGGATGCGATTATGACTAGTTTCTTGCTCATATGATCTTCCCAAACTGAACGGGGAATTGCAAAATTTCCCGACCTTCTGTTTATCATGATCGATGAAGACAGCGGATAGTTACTTCTTGCCTTGAAAAGCCAGAAACACCAAGCCCAGCGTCAGTTCAATCTGTACTGGGTGACAGTCTAACGCTAGCTTCTCCCCTTTCTGGGCTGGGATGAGCTGTATGTTTCAGGCTTTTGCGATACCAGCCTGAACCACCCTACTCTATAAAAACAAAAATGGCTTCGGCGCTGGTCTCGAAACAAACGACGCCTTGTCACATGGGCCAATCTTCTCCAATGACAGCGTGGTTCAACTTGACGCGTGGGGGGAACAGGCAGCCGCCTACTCCTTTCGTATTCATCAATAGCTGGCCAAGTCTCAGTATGTCTCAAGTGATGATGGGCAACAGGAGATCCTTTCCACAATTACAGGTCTTTAACTTTCAGTTCTTGACATGCAATGAAGTTTAGGATAGAGTCTCCTTTAAGTTAGGTATTCGAAACATGACCACAACCACGGATACGAAACTTTTCGTTCTGGCATTCCTTACACTTACATTACCCCGTCATTATTGTGCATCAAACGAGGAACCGAAAAGCTTCTCGTTACGCACTTGCACAGTAAGCTTGCACAGTGAGCTTGCACAGTGGCTGATCAACGACAGAGATTGCGATTTTCCTCGGTTTGCTGTGCGTCTCCGTAACGTGCAGCGTCCTGTCGGATAGCTTCCGAACTGAGAACGCCCCCAGCCTGGCTGGCCGGCAGCCACCGGGGAAAGCGCAATGGCGGGGCCAGCAGGGTGCTCTCCACGTGTCTCTCCGGCTTCCGCCTCTTCTCGGCACATTGTGTGCATCCCGGCGGCGTTTTCGTCCCAGTCGATACCGTATTGTGCAGTCTTTGTATCAAAAAGCTCCATGTCGCAAACCGCCAGGCCGGATAGCCGGTGTGCGTTTTCACCATGATGTCGTTATGTCTGAGACTTTATCTCAAGGAACCCTGGTCCAAAGAGGCCTCGTCTGTGACGTAGCACATCCCAAGGAAGCGGGAGGACGACCGATGAGCAGCTGAGCCTCACACCTGTCGTCCGGGCTGGTGGTGCTCTGCAACGCTGTCACGGTGCGGATAGCACTGGGTACGTGCATACGAGTTACCTGTTTAATCGGCGCAAATGCCCGCTGCGGCCAATGATCGGTATGTAGGACCCGAGATCACAGAGATCCAAGATGCGGCCAGCATGCTGCGGTGACCCTCCGCCGCGCGCCTCCAGCGCACCCGACACGAGCAACAAGCGAACAACAAGCGAGAGCCCGCACGCTACTTGCTCTCTCCGGCAAGCCCCCAAATATACATCTCACCCCCCTGCAGCCGCTTCGCCGGCCACACGGCCATGGCTCGCCGCCGGGTTGCAGCCAATCAGTGGTGTGCTTTATTACGTGGGTTCTTGTTTCCGTAACGATACGATGTTGTATATTACAATGTTTTACGCACCCTTGTGACGAGGTCTTGCACACTGGTCAAGTAAGCCATCGGCGCAGTTTGCATGCATGTATGAGAACAATCGAGGTAAACACGCTGAAGAGCTCGAAACAAGTATACAGAGGGCCAAATCGAAGAAATCGCACTGTTCAGTCCGATCAAGACTCCCGGCAGACCAGAGAGATGGCACCTCATCACTGTTATCATAGTCCGACAACCGATATCGACAACAGTAAGGTTTGCCAACCGTTCTGGAACTCGCGATCAAAATCTCTTGGGAACATATCTCATCGTTTGAGGTATCCAAAGATACGCCAAAAGTCCAACGTTTTCCTCCATCCTCTTCGATCGTAGCCGACGGTCTTTCCGAGCAGTCTCGATCAACCCCCCGGGCCGATCCGTCTTATGCGGAAAGCCTTCCGCTCTCGAACGACTGCAAACTTCATCGAGAGAGTTTCTGTCTGAGACACGGCAGACAATTCATATACCTACAAACGACCTTGTGTCTCCATGCACGTCTGCTTATACAGGAAAGTCACGGGTGCATACTTATCAGCATACATCCCCTGTTTCCCGGATGAAGTCGCCGAGATCGACCTCTGTTTCTTTCCAGGAGCCGTTACACCGTGGTCGGCGAGCCGCAGATCGTCTGCTCTGCCCTGCCCTTTCCCCAGTTACACGAGGTATTGAGTTGAAATAACATGTGCTGGCGAGTAGATGGAAGGGTTCGCCGTTGACCCTTCCCCGGGCTAGGTTGAGACACCAGACCTTCCAAGGCTGCACTGTTCGGTGTACAAAGCCCTAAGTGGGCAGACAACCCCTTCATCGGATGATCATTAGTGTTGCCTCCTAGCTAGTGCTTGTCCAACGCAGGATGAAGAGTGGACTAATGGCCGTGACACACTGGGGCCTCGTGGGTATTACAGACTATGAGACCGAGTCACGATCTGTCTCTTGAGCACGCCCCCCTTCCCTCTTCTTCCCCCACCTTTCTCGAGAGCAGAGGAAAATTCTCCGGAGCATGGGTGGGCGCGCGGGCAGTTTCTGCCTTGCCGATCCTGTGTCGATCCGTCATCCCCTTTTGTGTTGAACACTCATTTGTGTTCCTGTTCCTTGATGCATGGTCCTTTCGGGTGCCTGGCTTGTGAGAGGGAGAGAGTTGTGTCTCGTGAGGGTGGGTTACACGGAGAATGTTCTCATCACCGTGGCCGTATGGATAGGGCTGGATTACAGTATTGATGTGTTCGGTGATGTGTGGTTATTGGAGATCTCGTTGGTGCTGTTACTGCGGTGCTCAGGATGTAGGAAGGGGTTAATTGAACAGGATACGCTTGCCAATGTGTCATCCAACTAACAAGCTCTCGACTAACTCGCAGTGAACTACAACAACCCTGGCATCAGATCCCGCCGTCCTCACACTGGCAAGAGCAGTTTCCGTGACCATTGACATTCCACATCCACATTTACTCGATAACACTGTTTGGGGGGGGGGGGGAAATGGGAGGTATGTCGGCGAGAAGCACCTGGTCTGTATCAAGCCGTGTACCTGTCTCACCTCCCTACCATAGCGACCCAAGTGTCCCGAAAAGTCCTTGTCTTTATCGCCGTCTTTGTCTTCGAATCGACTTACCTCGTTCTTGTGATCCCCCAGAAGTTGCGGTCCCGCTTACGGTTTGTTTTCAACATTGTAGTCGAGATTAGTGCTTACAGCCTGATCGTCTGAATATATCATAGGAATGCCGAGGTCAAGTGACAAGTTGAGGGGTTTACAAGTACACACTCCGCTGCCAACCCTCCTGGTTCCCAACGCAGGCTGAGCTGCTGCTGTGCTTCTAACTCAGAAGCTGCTCTCGATCACTGGGAATTGAGCATGCAGAAGAACAAAGGATACTGTGCTACACTGTGGCCGAAATGAGGTGTATCTCAAGACGGAGTCCTGCTTGGCTAGTGCCCGCTTTGCAGTTAGTCAAGGCCAAAATGGCCACGAACCGTGAGTATTGGAAGCAAGTTTGCTGACCCGTGCAGGTGCAAGGGAAGTGACTTGTTATGGCCGCCTTGTTAACACCCTAACTTACCAGCAATACTGAAGTAGCATAGCCGCGTCATACTCCGAAGGCCGTTCTGACCTTTTTATCATTCCAGAGAAGGTAACAAAGCTGTTACCCACAGTGTCACGTTCACAACTAACAACATCCAGAAGTCGAATATTTCACTAGCTGCCGCCCGATCGACAGCCAAGAGAGCCCGTGTATGTATGTAGACCACCACACGCAATCGGAGTTGCAATCTACCTAGGTGAGCCAACCAATATAGAAGCAGATCAAGCTGGAGATTTTCCACCAACCGCGTTCCATCACCTTCTTGTCAACAGGTCAACGGGGAAAGCTAGCAGGGACACCCGTCAATGGGATCCGTCCTCGTTCGCGGTGGTGGTCTTATACCGTTTTGTTCCCGCCTCGCTATTCTGTCATTGACAGTAGTAAACAGTGACATCTCGGGGTCTACAAATGTCTCCGGAAATAAACGAACTTTCCGTGCCGGTTGACACCCAGAGTTGCATGCCAAGCTTGACGACGGCCATATGCACCGTAATCAACAGTCCGCTTCTTTTCCCATGAGACGGACCAGTCTTTTCTTGCCCGAAAGCGGGTTACTTAGTCTAGGTATGTATGTACCGCGCGGACACGGCTTGATATGGCTTGCATGCAACGTGGGGATGTTCCGTGAGGGTTTCTAGAATTCTCTTGGAATTCTACGTAGGAATCATCCGTATCATGTATAGAAAGGCATGTATGATGTGTTTTGTGTTTACTATTTGCAGCAGGGGGTGGAAGAAGCGAGACTGTCCATCTGACGGTCGTCGCGGTGTTCCTTAGCTTTAGGTACATTACGGTCTGCGCCGCATCATGGTCTGTACCTGAGATCAGCATCCAAAGGGACCACTCGGGTGGTCCAGAGGCCCCCAGAATGATCGATCCGGCTCGGCGAATGATCCGATTCGGCCGGGCTTGGAGCCGGAGGGGCGGGGGAAAAGGGGGCTCCGCGCGGGGCAGCTTGTGGGGAAGTTTTTCCTTCGCTTCGCTTTGTCACGGCTCGCCACGGATTAGTAGATCATCCTTGAGGCTGAAGTATGCACGGAGCTGGTCTGGGTCAATGGTGTGAATTGAGGCTAATTGAGAGGATAGAGGCGAACACTAGAACGATAGCCGGCAACCGTGTGCGATAATGGCACAAAACAGTTCTAGCAGCGTCCTTCTGACGTTCGAAGCCGACCGCGCCGCCTGGTCCTCGGCGGCCTGGACCCCTCTCACTGTCCCGGACGAGGCAGCTCCGGATGCGACGAGGATCCTTGGCTGGTGCAAGTCCTCCATTCCGTATCTCCCAAGTCAGCAACGGCCTCTGCCGCTGCAGACTCTGGACGTCTGGGTTCCTGCCAGGAATGCTACGTCGTCCACGGCGCCGCCAGAGCCTTCTTCCCTCCCGGTCCCCAGTTGCGAGGACCAGGAAAAAGTCCTTGTGTGGATTGTCTACATCCACGGCGGCGCCTGGCGTGATCCGACCATCGAAGCGGACTCTTTTGGGCCTGCAGCAAAGGAATTGCTCAAGAGATTCACTCCTGCCACCAGCCGCAGCAGCAGCAAAAACGTCCTCGCCGGACTCGCATCCCTTAACTACCGCCTCTCCCCCCACCCCAACCACCCGGCCCCCGACCGCCCAGACCGTAACGTCCGTCACCCCGAACATCTCCGCGACGTCCTGACCGGCCTATCATTCCTCCAACGCGTTATCTTCTCCTCGACTCCCACAGAAAACATAGAATTCATCCTAACCGGCCACTCCTGCGGCGCAACTCTTTCCTTCCAATCCATCATGTCCCCTCTTACACGCTTCTCCCTTCCCCCAAATCTATCCCTCTGCAAAAAGCCGATGGCCATTGTCGGTTTCAACGGGCTTTATGATCTTGCGGGGTTCATCCACAAACCGCCGAAGGGATGGGAGGGACATGTCCCTCCCTACGAGGAATTCACGCGCGGCGCGTTTGGAGATGACGAGCGTGTTTGGAGGGCCGTGTGTCCGGCTAGTGCGGAAGGGGATTGGCTTGGAGAGTGGTTAGAAGAGAAGAAGGGAGCCAAAGTGGTGCTGGGGATAAGTAAACAGGATTCGCTGGTGCCGAGGGAGCAGATGGTGGTTATGAGGGAGTGTTTGGAGAGGGAAAAGGAGAAGGGGAGGGGAGTGGAAGTGAGAGTTGTGGAGGGGGATTGGGGGGATCATGATGAGGTTTGGCAGAGTGGATGGGGAATGGCGGGGGTGCTTGGGGATGTTGTGGAGGAGTTGTGAGGGACTGAGGGGGCTCAGGGTCAGTGTTGGCATCACTGAGCATGGTACGTGACGGAGGATATAAAATAGGTATCACCTTGCTATCGGTCAAGTACCATCAGTTTTTTTTTTTTTTTCATAACAAGACATGCGCGAGCAAAAACTACCTTTTAAAGAAAAATAATAAATTTTCTTTTCTTTTCTTTGACTCCCAACTCCAATCCACAAAACCCAGGAACCCAACCAAACCATGAAAACTATGTCCCAACCTTCTAACTACTACCTACGTATATATTTAATCACCCTACATACTTATACCACTACCGCGTCGCCTTAATTGCCTCCCTCAAAATCGCCAACCCCTCCCGAATCTCCTCTTCGCTCATCACCAAACTCGGCACAAACCGCAGCGTGTTCGTCCCCGCCGTGATAACCAACAATCCCCTCTCGCGCGCCGCCTTCACGATATTCCCCGGGTCCTCGCTAAGCTGCAGACCCAGGATCAGACCCTTCCCCCTCGTCTCGAGCACCACCTCAGGGAACTCCTTCCTCAACTCCTCAAACCCAGCCTTAAAGATGTCACTCTTCTTCCTCACCCCCTCCTGCAACTTCACATCCGCCAGCCGCTGGACAATGTGATGCGCGACCCGGCACGCAAGCGGGTTCCCGCCGAAGGTTGTCCCGTGATCGCCCACCTTAATGGCATCCGCGACCCGGGCATTGACGATAGTCGCGCCGATGGGCACGCCGTTGCCCAACGCCTTGGCCGTCGTCAGGATGTCGGGATGGGCTTCCTTGGGAAGATGGGAGTGCGCCCAGAATTGGCCTGTGCGCGACAGCCCGCACTGGATCTCGTCGTAATGCAGCAGCGCGCCGACCTCGCGGCAGCGCTTTGCAAGCGCCAGGAGGAACTCGTCGGTGGCGGCGCGCACGCCGCCTTCGCCCTGGATGGGCTCCACGATGACAGAGGCGGTCCTGTCGGTGACGAGGTCGGACAAGGCGGAGATGTCGTTGAGCTCGCCGACGCGGAAGCCGGGGACCATGGGCGCGAAGGGAGCCTGGTACTTGGGGTTGGGGGTCGCGCTGAGCGAGCCCATGGTGCGGCCGTGGAAGGCGTTGCGGAAGGAGACGATTTCGTGTTTGGCGCCCGAGGGGTCGACCACCGCACGGGCATACTTGCGAGCGAATTTGAGTCCGGCTTCGTTGGCTTCGCTGCCTGAGTTGCAGATGAAGGCAGCAGAGGCGTCGTGCATGCCGCCGGAGGCGACGGTTTGCTCGACAAGGAGCTTGGAGAGGGCGCCCGTCCAGGGGTTGTAGTAGAGGTTGGAAGCGTGGACGAGAGTTGCGGACTAAACTGCGGTTAGCATTACTTGCACGAGATCAAGAGGAGGAAGAGGGGAACAACACCTGCTCAGCAATCAGCTTGGTCACCTCGGGATCACAGTGACCGAGCGAATTGACCGCAATGCCCGAAGTAAAGTCGAGATACTTGCGGTTATCAATATCATATAGATACGAGCCCTCGCCACGCACAAAGACGGGCGGCGGCCGAGAGTAGGTGGCCACCATGAAAGGGGCATGCTCACGGACAAGAGCGGCGCTGCGCGAGTCCTCGGCCGGGTCGGGGTTGGGCAGCGAAGAGGCAGCGACAACGGTCCGCGAGAAGGAGCGGACGGTCACCGTCGGGCGGACAGCACGCGCCGTGCGGGCGAGGCGGAGGGAGGTCCGGAAGGCCATTGTGTTGCTGGTGATGATGACGATGACTTGACTCAGAAGAAGTCTTTTCTGTTTTAGAGGGAACAGCCAAGGACTCGATGAGGAGATGCGATGCCCCCAGCAATTGAGATGAATTGAGATGAGGAACCCCTGGCGACGAGGGGAGGAGACCACGGAGGCGATGCTTTTAGAGAAGACACACGGCTGACGACAAGATGACTCCGAGGTGTGTGGTCTGGGGCTAGAAAAGAGTCACACACGGCACAAAAAGTCGCGACAGAGCGATGTCGGGATTCCGAATTTTGATCAACCAATCGGCTCAAATAATCTAATCTTATCGATAATCTCGCGGGATCCAGGGTCCATCTGGTCCATCAAGGTTCTCAGCCAAGAGGTCGAGAAGGCCAGCAGGACCCCTTCGGACTCCAGACCCCCGGCCGGTTCCACAAGGGATCCACTCCATCTCTGGAGTCCATTTATTTGTTTGTGAACCGTGAATTCGAGACCAAGACCAATCCGGTTATAAGATCCTCTAGTTTCACCAGCCTAAACAAACCGCAAAACGATGTTGGGAAGTCAAGATGCCGCCAGATGTAAGATGAGAGATTTTTCAAGTAAGCCACATTCAAAAGCCCCAGAACTCACGATACAGTCGTCCAATCAACCCAGCCATGACTCAAAAACTTGAAGCAGTAAGACTTCAAATCTCAGAGTGACTCAAACACCACCTCGCCATCCCTTCTCCCGAACCCAAACGCCTCACGCCCTACATCGGACATGATATGCGAAACGTCATCAGCTGTCTACCCCCAGGCAACTCCAAGCTCAGCGTAGCCTGCTGACCAACATTTGCCGTCTGCACTGCCGTCGTCTTGGATGAAACGACCTGTCCCGTTTTGATATCCCTCTTCTGCTCGATACTAAACGATCGCTCGTGGTGCGCCGCCGTCTTAGCAGACAGCGTGAGTCTTGCCTGTCTTGCCTTGGAGCGAGTGTTTCTCTCTCTATAGCCCTCCCACAAAATCAGTCAGTATATGTTACTTCTGAAATCAGAAAAAAAAATAAGAGAAGAGAAAAGGGGAAAAAAGAAGAAAAAGGGAAGGGGTAGCACAGGACCTTACCCGAAACTTCGGATGATTATGCGTTGCCTTGCCGCTCGCCGTGTGATGCTTGTGGATAAACTCTTCCTGTCGCTTGATGCTCTCCCGATCCATCTGCTCCAGCAATGCCTGCGAGCTGCGGATATCATTGATCAGATTGTCGCACCGGTTCTTGGTGAAATCCTCGCGCACCACGACGCGCAGCATCTTCATGTTCCCTGTGTGCGGCGCCATCGTGTATGCTGGCACAACCCATCCCCGCACGCGCAGCTGATGGGCGAGTGAGAACTCGTCGTAATGCCGGTCCTCTTTGGGCGGTAAGCGGAATGCGACGAGGGGTAGACCCTCGCCGGACTTCTTGCTCATGATGATGAAGCCGAGAGCTTCAAGTGAATCCGACAGGTAGTCGGCGATGCGTGTCAGGTTGCTCATGATGGCGCGGTAGCCGTGCTTGCCGAGGCGGATGAACTGGTAGTACTGGCCAATGACCTGGCTGGCGCCCTTGGAGAAGTTGAGCGTGAACGAGGCTTGGTCGGCACCGAGGTAGTTGATGTTGAAAACGAGCTCTTGCGGGAGGTACTCCGCGCTGCGCCAGACGACCCAGCCGATGCCCGGATAAACCAAGCCGTACTTGTGTCCAGAGACGTTGATCGACACAACATGCTCCAGCCGGAAGTCCCATTCCAAATCCGGCACCACAAACGGCGCAACAAACCCGCCACTCGCAGCATCAACATGAATGGGCACATTCAGGCCCTTCTTCATCAGCAAATCATTCACCCCCTTCACATCCTCATACTCCCCCGTATACGTAGTCCCCAAGATACAACATATCCCGATCGTATTCTCATCCACCAACTTGACCGTCTCCTCGGGATCAATCACATATCTCTCGGGCGTACAATAAACAAGCTTCTCCTCGATCTCAAAGTACCGACACGCCTTCTCCCAGCAGACCTGCACCGCCGAGGACATGACTAAGTTCGGCCGATCACACGGCTTGCCCTCCGCCAGGCGCCGGTTCTTCCAGCGCTTTTTCATGGCGAGCACTGCCAGCATGATCGCTTCGGAGGAGCCGACACAGGATGTGCCGATGGCGCCGGCGTGCTCGCTGTTGCCCTCGGGCGCGTGGAAGAGGCGCGCGATCATGGAGACGCAGCGGTTTTGAATCTCGGCAGATTGCGGGTACTCTTCGTAGTCGATGAAGTTTTTGGGGAAGGCTTCGGTCATGAGCTTTTCGGCTTCTTCTTCCATGTAGGTGGTTACGAAGGACGCCAGACTTTCTGTCTGTCAGTATAGAGAACTGAGCCTTGTTCGGAAAAGGGAGGGAGGAGGGAGATGGGAGGTTGGGTTGCTCACTTCAGCATAGGGTTCCCGTCCAGACTCAACTCGTCTTTAATCATGCGGTAGGCTACTTCCTTGGGCATCTCTCGCTCCGGCATCTCGTGGCGCGGGAGGTCTTGGGCTGCATAGCGCGAGCCGTACACGCTTGTCGTGAAGTCATCTTCGTCATTGGACAGCTGCAGCTGCACCTTCTTTGGCCGCTCTGCGAGCTGCCTGGTGTCGGGGCCCGGGACAGAAGCGAGGTGGACCATTGTGACAGATATTGCTGTCGAGCAGACAACTAGAAGTTGGTGTGGGGGATGTGAGGCGATTGAAGGCCAATGGACTCTGTTTGGTTCACAGTAGATGAGATTGTCTCGGGATCCCTCGTCCTTATCTCTGGGATTTTATACCCAACACCAGGAGACTGGTTGCGGTTTTACGATTTCCCTGTCGTCGTCAGCCTCGCGCTCTCTCTCTCTCTCCCTTTCTTTTTTTTCCTGCTCAGCCGGGTTCCAAAGAAGGAGACCAAATGGAAACGGCTTTTCGGGCTCTTCCCGGTGTGCAGTCTCCTGACTTTCACGGGAATCATCAGGGGGATCGAAATGAGCCAGGCTTGGACCGGTCAAGCTGAGCCACCGAGATTAAGGGTCCGGACTCAACGGAGCTTATGCTTCATTAGCACTTAGGAACTTACACGAAGTGATCGCGAAATTGACAGGACAATGCTTCCTTAAAGGATGGATGGTTAGATGGGTAGAAGCACCTGTGGGAAGTAACAGCGGATGGGGAAACAGACACGGCTGGTAGCCAGGTAGTAAATGTGGTAGTGATAAGGTTGGATTAGGAATTCTCACTGAAAAGGACCTATGGGCAGAGGACAGCTAAACACCCTGCTGGATCTGAAAAGAGGGGGAGAACCATCCACAACATGGTTGGCTGCCCGATCCTCTCCTCCTATGCCGCATGCGAGCTGCATTAGAGGTGGGGTGTTGTGAGGGGTTGGACAAGACATGCAAGTTCAGAAAGTCTAGTGTTCTTCCGCTTTGAGATGTTGGCTGACCTCTGAGTTGCCTTGTTGGGCTCCGATGCGCATTCTAGTGTAGCCGGCAGCAGCCGAGCATCGATCGCTGGTGATCTTCCGTCAGGATCATCCCCAACTGGTCCAACTGGCACAGGTATTGAGGAGCTCTCGGGACTTGGATGCGTATAAGCGAAGCACAGCAGGTCAGGTAACATGGCTCCATCTGCAAGGCTGAAGCATAAAGCCTCGAGCTTTTTCCAATCTAAACTGTATGTACATTTTTTATTTTTAGGAATTTGCTTTTCTGATCCTCCCTTTCCTGAATTTTCCCATCCTTCTAATACCCAATTACCCCTGGACCCGTTAGCCATGTCTTATGGACGGGTCCCGGAGTTCAGATGATCGATGACATCATTGCCTGCCCCTGGTCAGTCACCCATCACCCCACCCTCCTTGGCAGCCCGTCCTCGCCGCATGGGGAGGAAGACAACAAAGATAATGTGGGACGGGAAAACTGAGGCACACACACAAGGCAGCTGAGTGAGGCTCGGGTTCAGGTCCACTGAGAAGTGGTGTAACTTGGATATTTTTCTTCCTTTTTCTTGGTCGCCGAATTTGATGGAGATGGGGGCAACGTGGTCAGCGCTGGCTGGCAAGCTGTGTCTGGGCGATATTCTGTGGTATGATATCTCTCAGAATCATGGATCACTTGGCTTTTGTGACCCATTCTGAACAATCTCGAAAAGATTGCCAGGGGGACAGCACGGTTCAAGTGACTATGAGGCCTCCAGAGAAGAATAGCAATAGATGCGGAATTGTAGGTGCCTAAAAAATGATTGCCGACAGGGCTAATTGACATTTGAGACTCGAAACGGGTGACCATCCGGTCCGAAAGGGAGCTAGTCACCCGATTCGACCTGACAAAAAAAAGCAACCCCCCCTTTTTTGCAGCAAAGAAAAAAAATTTTTGGGAGAGAGAGAAGGGGGGGGGGGAGCGGGAAAGTCGGGCATGCCGTCTCTCACTCGAGAGGAAGCCAAACAGGTGCTACAAAAGGTGTTGTGGCTTCCATACCTAGAAGCTGTGTCCTTCTGCAAAATTGCATTGTTTGGTCTCTCTCTGTATCGGATTCTTTTCCCGGGGCCCTGTGTAGAGACAAGCCGAGTTTTGCCCATTGCTTTTGTTCTGGGCAGCTAGATCTGATGAGTACTGTGACATCGGGAAGGGTTCGGTGATTCCGAGAGTTTTTGGTGTTGCTGCTTTCAGAAGTTCTGGAAGTTGTGGGCTGACGTCTGTGCCGTTGCCTAATGCCTTCCTTCTGGAGCCGTTTCCTATCGAGTTTTTCAGCCTTGCCTCGAAAAACTCCAAGACTCCCCAAGAAGTGGTTGACCACGTGAATGACACAACTAAGCTGCTTTGAATACCTACTGTTGAGTTAGTGACTTTATAGCCAGAACGTGTTTCGTAATGGAGGACCTGGATGTCAGTCAGTCAAGAAAAGTTCAGCCGGTTAGGAAGTAAGTCATTGAACTGACATGTAGGAAGTTTCGTCGTTAAGTGCATATGGTTTCATCTATTACTAGGTACGTCGTTAGGCTAGTTGTATACTCCAGACAGTTGATGTTTTGGTATGTTTGAATCACAGGAACCTTTCCATAGGTAGGCATATCACGGGTAGTTTTCATAACAGGTCTTTCTAATAAACCAAAGCAAGCTCATTGTTTCTCTAGGTATATATCATACATACCCTACTGTTATGCCACAAAGACACGCACATCACAAAGTCGGTCATCATCATGAAAACCACTCTACTGTGGCCTTATGCATCAAAACACCCTCAAAGCTTTCATCTTCGGGATATGTTATTGATATGTACTGATATAAGCGAGTGAAAAAAAAAAAAAACAAACCAGAAGGCGAAATCTCAAGTCGACCCGACCCTATCATGCAAACCCAGCAGTGATGCATGATGCTGAACCGAGCCCAAAGGGGTATTTTCTCAATGATAAGAAAACGAAGAACTCCTGAATGCCGTTTACATCCGTCCAAGTATGTGTCCCATCCATCCATGTTGCCAGTTGTTGCCCGAAGTCTTTGTTTGGGGTTCTCTGAGAGAAGTGAAGAGTAGGGAAAAAAAATGGGTGGATACTAAAAACACATAGCCACGAATCGAATCCAAGTGTCCACCAATCAATGGATCTGTGTTCCGATCAAAATTCGAGACCAGTCAGACACCGACACAGTCGTACCAACTAATCCTTCATCCAAACCATCCCACAGACCATTTTTCACTCCCCTCTATCCTGTCCATCGTTTATCCCTTAAGCCAGAATCATCTTAGCACCACCCCTGAACCTAGGCTTAACCTTCTCACCATCCCTCTTCACAGAGAAAGCAAGAGCGCTGCTCTCTCCCGCAACGCACTTCGTACCAGCCGCCATGCTGATGACTGCGGACCAGCGGCCCGAAGCGCAGCGCTGGAAGGCCGTGCCGCCGTTAACGCAGTTCCAGGCGCCCTCGTTGGTGCAGGCCGCACCGACGGCGTAGGCAGAGCCCGACCCGCCGTTGGTGTTGCCAGAGCCGGAGCCGGAGCCGGAGCCAGAGCCGGGGGTAGGGGCAGGGGTAGCGATCTCGGTCGGGGCCGGGGTCGGGGTCGGGACAGCAGTGGTGGTGATCAGGGTAGTCGGGGCCGGGGTAGGGGTGTTGTTCTCGACGACGGAGGTGGTCACGGGCTGCTCAACGACTTGGCTGGAGGAGCTGGGGGAGACAGTCACGAAGACGCCGCCAGGCAGGCCAGTCGGGGTCGGGGTCGGGGCCGGGGCCGGGGTCGGGTCCGGGATGGGAGCCGGGGCGGCAGCAGGAGCGCCGCAGTTGCCCTGGGGCTTGCCGAGGTGGCCGGGGTTGACGACGACGTCCGGGCCGGGGTTGGGATACTCGACGTCGATACCCTCGGGGACGACGCAGCCGTTGCCGATGTTAGCGATGAAGACGGGAGGACGGGAGGAGAAGGGGACCGAAGCCCGCTTGGCCTCCTTCTTGGGCTGCTCCTCGACCGACTTGGCGACGACAGGGACATCGCGCTTGGCGGCGCTGCGGCTGATGCGGACGGCAGCGCAGTTCATATACTGCTCGCGGTTGCCGATCTGGTTGTTCCAGGTCCAGGCCCAGATGGCGACACCCTCGGGAGCATCGTCAGGGATGTTGTACTCGTAGAACTTGGAGTTGGGGCAGTCGCCGATGATGGAGTGGATGACAGTGAAGGTCTTGCCGCCGTCGTAGCTCAAGCTGACCTGGCACGAGCCGCCGCCATGGGGAGCAGAGCCCTCGACGGTGAAGTTGACGCGGGCACCAGGGGCCCAAGTGTCGACGACCTCGCCAGCAGCAGTGCCCATGTCGACATGGTAGCCCTTGCAGGGGTAGTTGGAGCCGTCGGCGGCGAGGGGAGCGGTGTTTGTGTAGTCGATGTCCGTGGCGAACTTGTTGAACTTGGAGCGGAACGGCGGAGGGTAGCGGATCTCCATGTGGGCCGAGGCCAGCTGGGAGCCGGCGAGAAGGGCGACAAGAGCGCCGGTGGTGAAGATGTTGGAGAGCATTTTTGCCTTTTTGACTCTTTTTTTTTTGGCAGTCGCGCACTCAGAGCCGGATAGGCAGTGTTGTTGTGGTTGTTTTTGTTTGGGAAAAGCTGCAAAAGAGAGCGAAGTTCAAAAGCGCAGACCAGGCGGTCAAAGTGAATTTATGAAAGTGAAGCGAAGTCGAGCACTGCTCGCGTTGAGAGTCGCAATCGCAGGTCGCGGAGAAGGAATGAATGGGTCTCTTTGTGACCGGGGGGGAACTGTTGTGCTGCCGTAGGCAACGAGCTGTTCGCAGGCTATTCACAGAGTGCAGGCACCTTTGCAGTCAGTGGTAGTGTCGGTATTGTCGACCTTGTTGACTAATTTCCCTATCGGGCGCCGCCGGGACGAACAATGATAGGGCGTGGACAGGAGACAATCGAAGCACCAGGCTCACACAAAAGGTGGCACTCGGGTCGAGTGTGAAAAAGAACAATGAACAAAGAAAGAAAGTATGTCAGTCAAAGTCACACAAGGCCGTTATGGTTGTGGTCGACCGAGACTCAGACTGAGGTAAAGGTTCAAGGTGCTGTGCCCGTTGTCACGACAGTTAAAAAAAAAAAAACACAGCTGGAGTTGGCAGTGAAGAGAAGGAGGGTGGTGCGCTTTTGAATGCAAGAGGGAATTGCAAGACGCTGGAAGGACTGTCAGGATTTCCAAGAATCCAGATCTCAAGGAAAGACGAGGCGCGACGCCGTGGGTGAGGAGAGAGTGTGTGTGTGAGAGAGGACTTGGAGCGATGGCACACAGAGGGCGGACTGAGCCATCTTTATGCTCGCTGTTTCTTCTCTCCAGCCTGTCGTTACAACGATTGGACGGGGGCTCTGCTGTGCGCATGGCAGCCCTCACGCCTGTTTCGGCGTCCACTCCCCCCTCCATGCTCCGCTGGCTGACTGGCTGGCGTTATCGTCAGGGACCAGTGGAGACAGCGGGTTAGTGGGACCATGTGGAACCGTCCCTTCGTCCCAAGTGGGCGGGGGTCGGACAAGGGGGGTTTGACAGGGGCATGCGACCCATTGCGGTGGGCCCCCTCTGCCCCTCACCTTGTGGCCCCGCTCGTCCCTCATCATATTTCGCGGCCCTCATGTCCAGCAGGCTCCCCCTCCCTGATTAGGCTGACCGACACGGTGAGCAAAGAGCATACATGATAGCCACGGGATTGCCAGCACTCGTCTGGATAGCAGAAAAAAAATGACTTGTACACGCTATCGATTAATATCTGAGGCATAGTGTCGTCTGAGAGAACAGCCCACGGCGCTTTTGGCAGTCAGCTGTGTGGCCGGACTCGCTGCCGCGAACAGGGACCCCTTTCATTCCCATATTCTACACTTCAGCATTTTTCCCACTTGGTTGGACAGCTGGACACAGTTTCCCCGACGTGAGAGCGGCTCCTGCGACTCAATAACAAAAGGCCTCGCTGATGTGACGGGCAACAGGTGACAGGACCATCGTGGCTTGCCAATCGTGGCCAGTCAGCATCCGTAGTGCCCCTTCGCCGCCCGCCGGCACTTTGCTGTGGATCTGGACGTTTGTCAGAACATTCTGTTCATCGGCCATGGCTCCGATAAGATCGAGAGGAACGCCAGCAGTCCAACGCCAGAAAGGGAAAGGAAGGAGAAAAACCAGACGACGGCATGTGCGAGGGCAGCCAGCGCCCAGCGTTGACAGGCAGCCAATCACACCACGGAGGTGCCTGGCTTGGCGGGTACGGAGTGGTGGGAGCGCTGTCCGTGGTCAGGGATCAGATCCTGGGGAAGAAACGGTCGCACGCGTGCGACTGGTCCGCACGCATGAACTTGAAACACAGCCCCCTTTCCCTCGCGCTGGGCCCCGGTCTGGAAAAGGCCGAGCTGCCTCTCCACTCTCTCGGACTTGTGTCCACTCGCCTGCCATTTCTACGATCTCACGGCGAGATTCTGTCCGACCTGGCTCGTCGGCTGGGCCATTGACCGGCTGTGGGCTCGTCCTCGCCCGGTCGTTCGCCTGATGTCCGAACGATGAGAAGGGCATGGGAGGTGAAAGCACCCTTGGGTCTTTGCAGGCCTGGATCTTGTCACACGGCCTGCAAGCTCCCGATCTGTCTCACTTTACGCACCTGCTGTGTCTTTCTCCCAGCGCGCGCTCGCACCTTTTTTTTTGTTGGCCAAGCAAAGTTCTAGATTGAGAGCGAGAGACAGGACAGCAGCGGCTGGCTTCCAATCATTGCTCCCCATCGCAGACACCGTACCAAGAAGATGCTTCTGGTATTCTGTCAGAGCGCAAGCGTACTGCGGCGCTGGCTTCAACATCTCGACGAGTGATGGGGTTGGCCTACGTGTGCTTGGCTTGTACCTGGCTCCTGGTTTCATCCGTCCCACATCTGGGCCCTTTGGTAGGCGGCCGCCCGCTGCACGACTAACCACCCACCGGGAAAGCGTCCATACACTACAGAAAAACTCCAAAATAGATTTGTGATGTAAACTTGTCCAAAACCGTCTTGCATATGCTGCATCAGGCGTTCCTTGATTTTCTTTTCTTTTTCCAGAAATGGCATCTTTTCACACCTTACCCATACCCGCCGGTTGTCATCTGCATGCAGGAAAACTAAATTAATTCCTTTACAAAAATAGCCCAGAAAGCATGGAAACTTAGAAACGTAGAAACGCATGAAGAGCTTATCCTCTCGGATCGTCGCTCTGCCATAAAAAGGTTTGCTGCGCCTCTGAGTTGCCTCTTTCCGCACCCATTTTTTCATGCGGCTTACAGTACACACCCTACCTGGCAAGCGAGCTGCCCGAGTAAGAGAGGGTTAGGGTTTTCTGAAACAAACTGGCACACTAGTTTTGCGGCAGCTCTTCCCAGAGACCTGGGGTTTTTTACATCTATCTGGCTTTCCATTCGTCACACAAGCGCCGCCAACATCCGACCCAGCAGCCCTCGTATCCCTCGCCCCAAGTTCAGCACAGCGCCAGGAAAGCGCATTACTGATTACGTACTCTGACCTCAAGTCAGCCCTGGATGGCCCGAAACGGACCCGCCGAATGGAAGCTGAAAGAAGAGAAGGAAAAAAAAAAAAAAAGACAAACCTCATTAATGAAGAAAAGAATGCCTTGGCTGTGAATCCTTTGAAGCACTCTCGGGATATTCCCTGCCAGCTGTCAACCAGCCAGTCGCCATCACGCAACCAGCTGGATCGACGGCCACCAGCCGCGCGGATCACTTGGCGATCATCTCGAGCGTCAGCTCCGCTCTTTCCATTCCACTTTTCTGTCTCTGGATCAACGTCGCGGCTAACTTGTAGTGCACAGAGAGAGAAAACGTGGACAATGATGAATGAATTTCTTGTCCCCACCAACTTCAAACGGCAAAAGTAACCTACAATTTTCACAGCTCATCATCAGCAGCCAGTAGGGCCCCGGTCGGGTGAGGAAGTCGACGCCGGCAGTTGCTGTTTCGGTTGCGCTTGATGAGCTGGTCGGGTCGGTGGTCAATCACGCAAGAGTCTTGGAAATGAAAAACACTCAAAAAAGATTCCCGTTGCACAACGGCAAGGAATTTGCCACTATCAAACGTCCAATCCTAGATCATACCTAATATCCCGGCCGCCGGCCAATGTACAGTGGTGCAGCAGTCCGGCCATTGTGGGAGCAATAAAGCTTCATGAAGCGCTCCTCCTAGGACCATTTCCTCCGCTCGACATCCAAGCTCACTCGCCATCAATGCTCGGTCACACCTGGTACTCTTAGGTAAACTTACGCCACTCTCGAGTCTATTTTAGAGATGCAACCCATTTACTACTACAACTCTGGTCTACGATACTACCTACCTCCTGTGGAGATGCTTTGCGCGGGGTAAAAAGTGCAAATTCTATACAACGTTGCGTTGACACTCCTCATCAACAAAACGGCAATAGGAGCCGAACGAAAAGAAACGTCAAACGCAGCGCTACGGGCTTTGATGCTACCTTATCGCCAAGAATGGCAACCCAGTTTGGCATGTAAGTCCTGCTTACCTTAGCAAGGCGGAATTTTATAGGCTACGATGCCTGAAGGATGGCAAAAGGGGTAACCCATCAGGTCAGGCAGGCACACCATAGAAAATCAGATGAATGGGATGACAGTATGACGAGTGGCAAAAAAAAAAAAAGTTCTTCCCTCCTCTCATGCGATGAACTCGTGAAGCTTGCACTCACACACAGATGTTGGCGCGCACAAGAAAGCAAACCAGCAAGCAAGCAATAGGCATCGAAAAGGGAGGGGGAGGGAAGTTCTTTCTGTGAGACCTTGCCCCCTTCTCTCTCCCCCCCTAAAAGGTAAGAGTCTGTGGGTGAGGGGAAGTAGGAAAAATTTATCTGGGAATCCCCTCATCACCTCCCGCTCCCTCCGATGGGAGGAGTGCGGCAAGCATAAACCACCAACGAAACCGCTTTGCTTCTCCTCGACCAGTAGTAACAAACCTTATCCAATATGTGGTGTAGGCGCTAATGTATAGCACGGACGGGTACCTACCTCCTTGCTGCATGCAGATACGTGGTATAAGTGAATGTATTGCCCCTCCTTTTCAGCACCTCCTGTCAACGTGCAGAGAAGAGGGGTTGAAAAGAAGGGAGAGGGGGAGGGAGGAGGGGGAAAGGGGGGGGGGGGAAAAGGTGTGCTTGCAGAAGTGATTGTCGGAAGGGATGGCCCGTCATTCGGTGAGGGATCGGTGTGATGGTAAGCCTGGAGGGCTTATGGAGCTCGAGATGGTTCCAACTGCTGTTAGACATGAGAGAAAAAAAAAATGAAAATTAGAGTCCGATCCAGTTTGATTGTTCTTCATAGAGCTTTTAGATGGCGTCTAAGTGTGCAAGTCAACGGTAGGTGTGCTAGCACAGCAAAGGAGGAAAACAGGATGTTTCTTCTGTTTCCCCGACTCCTCTTCAATGATTTTTTCATCGAGTCCTGGTCATTGGACTATCCAAAGATCCAACTCAAAGGAAACATCCTTATCTATGTCATCCTGTCGAAAAAAAAAAACCATCCGTCCATCCAACTTCCATGAATGGATGCACACCATCAGGATAAATCTGTTATCATACTACCTCGCCCACATATCATTGGTATGACCACCACTACCGTAAACGGCCCGGCAAATCTCCAATATCAACTACGGCAAAAGCCATGTGGCTGAATGGCTGGATGACCCATACCTACAAGCATGGAATAAGAGGCTCCATAAGATCGACAGCTAAGCCCTACCTTACCGATTGCTTCCGGAACATACCTCGTACGTGATGTTTGTGTCTGTACACTAGTATAGATCTCTCCCCGATCCTCATGACTAATGAGGTTCCGCTTTGCCTTCGCTTAACTTCTCTGCAACCACTTCCCACACGTACTGCGCGTTCGCAGCGAAGTGCCGAATTTTCGGCGGTGTGCCTCGCCAGTCGGAAGATGTTCGACTAGGTCATTGAGCACATAGCGGCGGCTCGGCCACTACCTATGTCACCATATCGTTTGGTGTCAATGACGACGCAACCAAAAGCACGATCTCCACACTCAGATCTCAGCCACACAAGATCGAATGACACCCTAACCTCGATGTTTGACCTCGACCTTTGACAAGGTTCCCTACCATTATCTGAGTCTACTGTCTTGGTCTCCATCAAGGAACGCGTGGAAAGTTGCGAAAAGCTGGGCCCGACAAGCAGATCAGCAGGCAGACCCCGCGATCCGTTAAATGATCAGGACTGCACATCAGAGGGCGGTGCAGTTTCGCTGGCGGAGAGGTTGGCCGTGGTGACAAGGATTCTTCGATTAGGGTCCTTAACAATTTTTAGCTGTGTTATAACACAAGACTTGTTAGTATCGCTATCGTTCTCGGCACTGTCGGCATGGGTTACCGTACATGTCGATCAGGGGGGCCTTCCACCCCCAGTACGACGCGTGTTTCAAACCTCTGGATCCCTTTCAGCGACTTCGCACTCGCACTCACAGCCTTGTTGGTGAACCAGCCGGCAGGCTGGCCAGACTCTTCTATGTACGGCTTTTTTGCCAGTCTACCCCTCAATCGGTCAATCGGCAGGTCGGTCGGTCTGTCTCGGTCTTGGTCTGAGTGGCTTTTTACGTACCTAGGAAGACCATGGTCACCGTACAGAGAGTAAAACAGCCCCCTCCGGGGATCAGGGAAGAGGATACTTCTTAACAGACATTTCGCAACTACATGACTCTCTGCTCTGACCTCGCCTCGCTGCCTGGTGACGTACCTTTCCCTAAGCACTACACACCAGGGTCCGAAGTCAACTCCCCCCAAACTACACCTAGCTAGGTAGGGTGGTAGGACCCATACGGCTCGGCACCGCATGGTGCACAGCGCACTTCCCAATCCTTCATCCGTCCATCCGCCTGTTAGAGCGACACGACCTACCTCCCGGCTACGGCATACCTACAGCAGGTAGCTCATAGGCTAAGATGGCTTCGTTGGCTTCCAAAGTTCCTAATCTTCCAGCTGATCCTAAACCTACCTAGCTCAAGCAGCATAGGTTTGACAACATCAAGATCATCTGCATATGATGATATGATGTCCATGGGGAAAGTGAAAGGAGTAGCCTTCGTGGGATGTAAGGTTGCCGCTATCCTACCTTGCCAACCACCCAGGTTGATGGCAAGCTTTATCTACTTTCTTCAAACGATAGACATCTGCCAGAGCCTAAGTATGTGGTGGTGTTACGACACCAGGTTACAGATAGACTCGGTCAAAAGACCTTCTTTGTCTGAATAAGGAATTTACCTGCCTTTCCTATAGTCACTGATCAAATTGTCCATGCTCATTCCATCCCGATCATCGTTACAGTGCCGCACTTCCACAGGCGGAAAAACGGCGACGAGTCGAGTAATATTTGAGGAAACTTCAAGGGACGAAACTCCTTCGTTCGCTGCACTTCGCTGGTCAGAGCAGTCCAACAATGTGGCTTTAGATCTACCGAATACAGCATGGCAGCAGCATCACCTTAACGGTAGTAGAGCAGTCACAAGCAGTCAAGGTCCATCATACTCAGTGATTCCGTGAATCAATATTTGCCTCACCACTCACTTCACTTCACTCGACTTTCAACTCTCTCAATCCACCATCTCTCAAACATGCATGCCATTGCCACGTCGTCCACGTCGTTTCATGCCATTTGCATTGCCTTGCCATGCACTAGCGTCATGTCATGTCTTTCCATGCTTTTTGTTTATTCCTTACCCTCACCCACCACCCTGCCCGAACATCTCCTCCTCCTCCTCGCTCGACAACCAACCAATATAACCTTCATTGTTTTGTTCCATTTCTCTCGTTCTACACCGTAAAAAGAGTCATCGAAATTATTTCCTCCCCCCTTTATCATTGCTCAACTCGACGGAATGTAGGCGCGGTTGTCTACTACCATATCCACTGTCCAGGGCACTCATTTCCCGATCAAGTATCAGATGATCACCCTCGCCCTTATGTGGAAGGATAACTGGTTATCAACACACCAGGACACCATAATTGAGCACTCAAGGTCTAGGGGGGACTGGTCAATGACGGTGGACCAGATGTTTTTGCGTAGTGGCATCGTGTGCCCCATATGTTGTCGTCTGTAATCGGGTCAAGTAAGTCGCTAGATAGTTATGTTAATCCTGCGCTCCAGCATTCCTCCACACACTTATCCTTTCGATAGAGCCCAGACCGTGTATTGCTTGGCTCGCAAAGTTATTCTCGACTTCGAATATGTTTGTTGTGGACAGTAGAGTCTCAAATGAGACAAGAGCAGACAAGAGGTTGGTAGGTGTGAGGGAAAAAAAAAGGCGAGCAAAAGCTCAAAAAAAAATATTCATGTGACTCGTAGGCAAAAGCCTTTTGGCATGACCTTGGCCAAATGTCATTTGTGTTTTCATGTTGCGTTGGGTCTGTTCACTGAGGGCGCTGGCCCGAGAACTTGCCCTGAGGTTGCTGGCTTGTGTATACCGGCTGTTGGTATGGCATAGCAGGGCTCATACCGTAGACGGCTTGGCCGGCAGGAGTCCCCTGATGGGAACCCTGAGGGACCATCATGGGAGCCGCCGGACGGCCGGGGCTGGGGAACCCGTTAGATACCGGAATCGGCTGCGGCGGAACTGCGCCAGCAGGAATGAACTGCGGGTGGGCACCGGGGTACATAGGACCGGCTGCCACCATACCGTTGGGTGCAGAGATGAACTGCGGCTGAACCATCATGGGAGCCGCCATATGATGGGGTTGCTGGGGGATAAACTGAGGGTTGTGAGAGAAGCTGCGGAACTGACCCATCTGGGGAGCAGGAGTGACATAGGGCTGCATGACCGGTTGCCCATAGGGGATCTGGGCAGGAGCTTGCATTGCCGGTGGGTAAGCAATGGGGACCTGACCCATCCTAGGCGAAGCAAACGACTGTGCCGAGTTGGAATGCATCATTCGGTGGTCGTCAGGGGCAGTAAACGGCACGTGGGGAACGTGACCGTGCTGACCAGCATGCATCTGCATTGGCACCAGGTGAGGAGACTGCCTTGGAACCAGGTTCTGCGCGCCATGTTGTAGGTGGTACGGCAGCTGGTGCTGATGCGGCATCTGAGGCATGACATGGCCGGGATTCGGCGTGGCAACAGCCGCGTTGGGAAGAGGCTGCTTCTCAAAGTATTCATTGAAGGTAAGGCGCATTGTTGAATCGGGAGCCTCAGTCGACTCGTCCTGAAGCTGGCGCCAAGTGGGAATCGTTTCGTAAGAGGGCCGCAGACCGTCGTTCTCATCCCAGTTGCGACCCTGAGGAGGCTGGATAGTCTCGATGTGCGACAAAATGTAGCACTTCTTGATATCAACTGCCTTGGTCTTGCGGCGGACGAGCGGGCCCTTGGCAGGCGGAGCAGGAATGGGTGCCACCTCGGCAACGTTGTTAACCGACGAACGGGGGCTCGAGCCTTGGCTGGGAATGGCAGGGTTGAATGGGGCAGCGAACGCATTCGGGCGAAACTCGTGACTATTCGGGTTCAGCTTGGGGCCCAGATAGGTTGGGGGCACACCGCTAATACGGCGGCCATAGTTGGGATCGATGTTGGCCGGGCCGGTGGGGGGAAGACGCATCTCCGGAGGAGGATGCTGGGCCATATGCGGATGCTGCATCTTCTGCTGCTCAACGTTGCGCAGGCGCTGGGCTAAGTTGCCCGTCTGAGCCGCCTGGCCACCGAGATGAGGAGCCGGACGACCATTCCTATTATACTGGTAGTGAGGCTGAGCGCTGTAAGAGGACCGAGCACCAGGGTGACGACCCGACAAGCCCATGGTTGAACCCGATTGCTGCGGGCCAGCTGGGCGCGCAGGGGCACGAGCATCAGCAGTAGCAGTAGTAGCAGGGGCGGGAGTGGCAGAGGTAGTAGCGGTGGCCTGCTGTTCGGCCTGAGCCTTGGCCTCTTTCTCCTTTGCCAACTGGGCTTCCTTCTCCCTTAAGGCCTGCTCCCTTCTCTGGCGGGCCTCTGCGGCGTCTTGAAGGGCCTTCTCCTGTATCTGCTTCTGCTTGACAGGATCCTTCGCAATGATAGGAACTAGATCTTTGGGAACCGGGGTCGACAGCTTGAAGTTCTCCGCGAACTTCTTCAGCTCAGACAACCTGACCTCCTTGTCGACCTTGGCCTTGGCGCTCCTGACCTTCTCATGCAAGTACCTCTGGCTGGACGCGAATGTTCTGAAAGAGGAGAGCACTTCACGCTCAATAGTGGTGGCAGTGGGAAGAGTCGAGACCTTGGCTTGGGAAGCAACACGAGCAGTGGCCGCCGAAGGACGAATGGGAGCTGCAGCCGATGTAGACGCAGTTGAGGTCGTAGTGGTCGCAGCCGTCGTCGTAGGAGCAGCAGGCTTAGCAGCGGTGGAGGCTGCTGCATCCTTGGTCTCGGCAGGCTTGGATTCGGAAGGCTTGCTATCGCTAGGCTTAGGAGCTGACGCGGTAGTTTCGGGGGCCTTAGTCTCAGCAGGGGCAGGACTGCTCGGTTTAGGCCCCGCGGGTGTCTCGGCGGCTGGCGCGGCCGGCTTCTCGGCCGGCTTCTCCGTGGCAGGAGGGGCGGGCTTTGGCTGCTCGACTGGCTTGGGCTGTTCGGCGGGCTTGGGTTGCTCAGCTGGTCTAGTCGGGAGTTGCGGCTTGGGTGTCGAGCTGCTGCTGGTAGTCTTGAGGGCAGAGGCAATAATTGCAGGGTCCATGGGAGCACCCTTAACAGTAGGCTGGCCCGTCGGCGCACGCTTCGCAGGGGGCGTATATTTGTTCTCCCGGCTTGTCAGCGGCGGGAAGTCCTGCTGACGCTGAACACTGCTGTATCTGGAAAGACGTCAGCACGATGCTGTCAAGGTTGGATAAGAAGTAGCTTACTTGGCTTCTTCATCGTGATCGTCGCCGCCAACATAGTCCATGATGCGCTCCTCGGCATGGTGGGCTGTAACAGGAGCGCTGCGCTCAATTTCGCGAGCCTTCTTTTCGGCAGCCGCAAGCCGTTCTTTGTACTGAGGATGGTTTTTATCGATGGCGGTCGTATAAATGTTCTCATCATAGTCGGTCTTGATTCCGAACAGGCGCTCGTTTTCGGCGAACTGGTCCCAGTGACCAGAGCTCGTCGACTTTTCCAGAGGAGCGTCGAGATCGGAGGGGAAACCACCCTCGGGAACCCAGGGCTTCAACTGGCGTTCATTACCAAAGCGTGGATTGGCAATGGCAGAATCAGGTCGGAAAGAGTTGCGGTTACCTAGGAAGACGAAGTCGTCAGTCCATCTGTTAATTAGCAAGATCCATCACAGAGATCGCGTACCATTTGTGGCCCTCCCATCGCTCTTGTTGACGTTTCCGGGGACAACGCGAGCCTCCGCGATATCCTTCCGCTGAAACGTCATTGTGGACTGTTCTCTCCTGTTGGGCCCGTTCGCGGCGTCGGAAGAATTGGGGAGCTTCTTCTGCTGCACCATCGTGAGGCGGCAGCTGGTCGGATCAGGACCGTTGTTATAAATACCCTCGAATTCGGCTCCGTTGTGGAGGACAATACGAACTCGCTGACCCTGTAAAGGAGAAAGAGAGTCAACCACACATTCAGAGAAACAGAGCATGAGATCGTGGATGGAAGGTGAGGAAGGGGCATTGACAAGGCAGGGCTCCAGGCCTTGCGCAATGTCCAAAGCTGGCGCACAATCGACAGGCGGCCAACAAGAACCAGGAATCGGTGAAAAATAAAGTCCAGTGGGGGGGGGGAGAAGGAAAAGATACTGACCTCGCGGAGGGAGCTCGTCACAGACTGCTTATTCTGGGGGACCGAAGTCCGACCAGTGATGGGGTTTCTGTTGGAGGTCCAGGCCTTCTGGACAGGAGGTTGTCTGGAGGAGATGCGTTAGTTGGAATCCACAGCAATTACGTGATCTCAGTCGAGACGAATCAAATGGGTCAGTCGGTCGCAACAGCGCAATCAGCGACGCAGAGCGCGATTGGCGACTGCTGCGATCCGAGTGAATCAAAGTAATAAGAAAGAAAAAAATAAGAGGGCGTAGAAGGAAAAAAAGTTAAAGAAGTAAAGCCGCAGCTCGTAGGACTAGGCTGGAGGGGGGATGACGAAATGGAGATGGAGAGGTAATGGATGAATGGAGGTACCAGGACTAATGTCGGGTCTTGGGTTATGGTGGGGGAGGTGGCCGCAGCATCGACCAAGAGGGTAGTGCTAGCTTGGAGGGGAACGAGAAGGGCAGAAGAGTTGGGGAAGAGCTATGGCCAGCGTGTTGGTGTGCTCTGATGCTGCGTGTGCTGGGCTGCCTTGTGGCAGTTGCCCGAAGCATGGGATGGGAAGACAGATAACAGCAACAATTGTCATGAAAAGAAGCAGAGAACTGAAATGGCTTGCTGTTTGCTCAAAATGCAGGATGCTTGGGGTCAGGGACACTGTCTCACCTGGCAGACGGGGGCGCGGCTGTTCCCTCTTGGGGCTTTGATCGGTCTGCCGCGAGCTTGCTGCTGTACAGGGGACGGCTGTTTGTGGGAGTCGACGAGGGTGTCGAGGCGAGCGACGGGTTCGCAGCCGTTTTTGAGGCTGACGATCGGTCTTCCATGGTTTTGGCTTCTGATTCCAGTGTGGCCTGCCAAAGCACCTGGCAGTTGGCACTGGGTCGCAATGGTCACGGCAGCTGAGCACTGGCGAATGGGGATGAAAACTGGAAACTTTGGGAAAGAGGGTGCCGCCGGCGGAAGATGTGCGGGAAGCAGGCGACCTGAGGAGTTCAGGTTTGTACGAATTGGGCGAATCAGATCGCTGATTGGTGTACTGTGACTGGGGGAAGACAGAATATTAGGCAGGGCAGCAGCAGCGCCCGGGCACTGACTGATGGGATGCGATCAGCGTCCACAATCCAGACTATCTTCAACACTTGTAGAAATAGAGCATAAAAACGCATTTGAAAGCTTGTGGGCATTCGCTGTGTTGACTAACCTGAGCTAAAGTGTGTGCTATTGCTCGCCCTGTACGCCGTGTCTGGAGTTGGACTAGACCCGTCTGCTGCGGCAGTGGCGCTGGTCCAATTTGCAGGTGTGCGTTTGTCGGTTGCCCAAGAAGTAACTGGACTAGGTGCGGCGCTGCTCAATTCTGAGGCGACTGATCGACTTGTGACAGCCACCTGTGTTCTAAGCCTGAGCTGCTTGCAAACAGCTCTGCACAATTAATGCTCCCGGGATGACGAGAATGTATCTGCGCAGGGTCCTAATGTCGAGCGCTTCTTTTTTTTTTTTTCGCAGGTCGGCAGGGCAGGATTGTCGGTCGACCGTCGATTTGGGCTGTTGCAAACTGGATCGCGGGGTCGTGTTCGATTTCGTGGGGCGTGTTTGAGTGGAGGGGGAATGTCTAGGAACGAGGCCGAAAACGGCGCAGAGCGGCAGACAAGCGAAAGAGAAACGACTGCGCCGCGATCTCGTAAGGTCTTCGTGGCTGTTCTTGCAGAACAGGTGACAGGTGTTGTGGGTTTGGGTCAGGGAACTGCAGAGAAATTGGACGGCCCGGTGCGATGGCGGTTGGGATTCGGGCAGCCAGTTCACAAACTGAAACGGGATTGAAAAATCTCCAAAAGGGGAGGAAATGTAAAAGCGTGGAGAAGCGGGAATCGAAAGTTACGGACTGGCTAGAGAGGTGCCCGAGGATGTTGAAGCAAGAGAGCCAGGCCCAACGAGATAACCTGGCGCTCCAGCCGTTAAAGCGTGGGGTTCGAGGTGCACAAAAAATACACAACGAAAGACAAATGACCCCACGTATGAAGGCCAGAAAGCCTTGCCTTTGGCTTGCTGGCTTCTGGCAAGACGGCGATGTTCCGACAGAAGAGGGCAATGAAACTGCTCCTCTAGGCCAGAGCCAAACTGCCAGAGTTTGAAGAAAATCGTCCACGAGACACAGGGACGGACCGCTTGCACATCCGGGGTAGACAACAACCCTCCGCCTGGCTTGGCACAGGTGGGTTGTCAAAAGCATCGTGCACGTGACTCGCCTTGGCACCTTGTAGCTCATCTCCTGAAGCTCCAACCAACAACAAAGTGGTTTCCGACCATCCGAGTCTGCAACCCAACTCTCCTACTGCAGTCAGTCAACGCAAAGCTCTTCAGAAGTTTGCTTTGTTTGCTGCTTTTGACATTCTCAGGAACCACAACTGTCCACAGCTAAACAGTGGCCAGGCCTGCTTTCTGTTATATAATCACCCCACGAGTGAGCAAAAGCATGTCTAACTGCCTACTAAGGCAAGGGTATGTGTGTCTCAATCAGCCAAAAAGACGATTTGTCGCTTTAAAATTATCGACATGGGACTCAACCGGTGAGTTCGCTTCCAAGCGACAGTGTTGATGCACAGGCTTCGTGAGTCCTTTTTTGCTGGTGGCTCTGAACTTTGCCGAACTGCATGCATCTTTTTTTTTTTTTTAATGTCAGCTAGCGACAACATTATCAAGCCTTGCCAGTCCCTTGCAGGTCTTCCCAAATCAGAACTTGATGTAAGTGTGGTAAGTTTAAAGTTGTCATACTCCGTATATGGTATGCATGGCTCCCAGTGCAACATGATGTCAGCCCTTGTTGATGGTGTTCTGAACCCCCTAGTGAATGAGTTCTGGCAAACTTGTCTGAGCTCAAGTCAAATTTTGCTATTGATGAAAACCACTTATGATGTTGTGCAATGATGCTGGTAGATACACAGGGGGATCAGAGACATCAACAGTGATCTGAATGGTAGTTCTTGATCATTCACATCAACTCGCCAAGGATATTAGCACGAATACAAAGCACTTTTCATACCTATATATGTAACAGCTAGCCTATTTCTGACAAATATATGTGTTCATGATACTCCCTATGGCAATGCTCGAGCACCACGATTCGGTGTTGTCTGGATTTGATTGATCCTGCTTCTACTTGCTTCTACTTATGACACTTGGCTTCATGGTTCCCTCGGTAACAACTCAAGCCGTTATGTCTGACACTCTACTGATCATTTCAAATAGCCACCGTTATGACAAGCCCTGTGAGAACACGAACCAACAAAACTTATGATTTAATTCACAGGCAGGCAACCTCTGCCGGCCAGCTTTTCGAGCTGCCTGCCAATATTAACACTACCCACTAGACCCTCCTGCAATATCCACATCCACCTCGGCTCCCAAATTGTCACCAGTAGAACATCGCCATATACATCACTCGTTGCACCCCTATTCAAACATAGACTACCCCACACACTTTTTGGATCACTATCCTTTCGCGCCTACCAACTCGGCGATTTCCAGCCGCCCATCCGTCATCCCAAGCACTGTCTCGCTTACAGCAGCCCCAATCCAGCAGCAACCGCAGCCGCAAGGGTAACAGCAAATTTAAGCCCGGCACGCCCAGAACCAGCACTCACGATAGTCTCCGAATAAGGACCACCACTTGGATGAAGAGATGTCTGGTTGTATTGGTAGCCCGGTGATGTGGGAGCCGCCGGATAGCTGTCATCGTAAACGCTGGCAACCGGAGTTGGAGTAGGTTCCCCGTTGTCCTCAAAGTAGAAAGAGCCGGTAGGAGTAGGTTCAAACTGTCCGTAGTCCTCGACCGGAGGATACTTGCCATCGTCCGAATCGCTCTTCGGGGTTTCAGTCGGCTGAGGGAAGGTGGTTTGCGGGTAGTAGGATGCTTCAGAAGGTTCCTCAATGATGTAGGAGTTGGCTGCTGCGGGGACATCCTTCGAAGATGAGGGGTTGTTCCAAGAACCGTCTGGCTTGCCGTAACCATTGCCGTAGCCGTAGCCGTAACCGCCGCTGTGCCCGTATGACTCGTGGGAGTGGTCATGGCCGAAATCGAAGTTCCCTTCGAGTTCCATAATTGGACCTTTGGCTGCCGCGAAACCGGCTAGGAGGGTAGAGAAAAAGAGCGATTTGCTGAGCTTCATTGCTGATTCCCTTCGGCCAAAACGAGACGTGGATTATGGGATTGCCGACTGACTAAAACTCCTTCCACGAACAAGTGTGGCAAAAGTGGTAGCTAAAGTCGGGATAGGCTGGCCAGATGAGCGACAGTGCAATCTTTATGTCGTCGAAGTGAACAACATCATCTGACGGATGGTGCCTGAGTCGGGCTGCCAATCAAGAAATGCCCGGCAACAGGACCGAGACATGTTCCTTAAACAGAGCATCAGAATTTCTCCAAAGGTTGGACAAAGCACGATAGATTAATGGACACGAGGCTCTCGAGTCAAAAGAAATGCGTAGTTGGTGATGACGATCAACACTCCTTGCCCGGACTTAGGATCATGACGTGCGGAATGACAAATCTCCCATTGGGTGTCGACAAATAGAGACACCACTGAGAAGAGACACTGCTGTAAGACGAAGCGGGTGGTTGCTGCTACTGATGATCCGTGTTACCGGATGTAGTCAGAATTCAATAAATGCAGTAGCCAGAAGTAACAAACCACAATGACGACTTGATAATTAATAAGACGCCATCGTCATCCGTGCCATTAGCAAGCAGATGGGAGATTAAGCTCTCGTCTTCTGGTTAGTCGACGACCAGAATGAGCGTTTCCCGGGCCTCCTGGATCCTGCCGATCACTGGGAGGGTCAATGCCGACATTCGAACGACAGAGCCTGGATAGTCAGCAAGCAAAGTACCTAGTCAAGGGGTCATGTCGATGCCTTATCTCTAGACTCTAGACACTGGTACTAGGCCAGACCTATTTAAATCCTTGGAGGTCAACCGAAGTTATCTTCCCGAGGACAATGCAATGCTACCGTAGACCAACCCTTCTTTTTGGATCCCAGCATGTGGATACCAAAGCCCTTGTTAAACCAGTTCCCCAGGTTTGTTTCGAAACAAAATCGAGATTTGTCTGGTAGCGGAGAGATGCGATAATATGGAAGCTTCCGTGACACGACACAAAATATATTGGCTTAGCCAACTTAGGCAGAACGATTAAAAAAAAGTATGGTTAGATGTAAGAATGCGAGAACGCAGAAAAAATAAGCCAATCTCAAAGGCAGAAGATAAGGGAGCATTATATGACACGCATACGGAATACCCCATGGCGATATAAGCAAGCACCGTTCAAGATGGAATGACGTTGTCATCCACATCCCCCGGATTTTCTGTAGAGAGCACCCCTGATGAGTACATGGTGCTGGGGTCGTGTTCCGTGAGCCGGCCCCAGCCTTCCGCCAAGGCTTGTTCCGAGCGGCTTGACCGATTTTGGGAAAGCGCATCGGTCAAGGCCGCGCTGAGTCCTCGGTGGGGATTGGCAGCGACTGGCAGCGGGTGGTGACAGGCCTTGCCAAGCGTCACAAGCCCAACGAGCTGCCAACCAGAGCTCGCAGAACGGAGCTGAGACCCCACAGAACCCAAGGTGAACTCCACCGGGAACCCTCTGCGCTCCACAAATTTGCTGCCCGCACATTGCACCTCGCACCTGCACCCACTCGCGAGCCCACTTGCGCTGTGCCCAGCGCCCGCCAGGTGCGAGCAGGTTCGATCCATCCATTCCATTGATCCACATTTGACCTTCGATCCCCATCTCGCCAACTGCGATTTCCGTGCTGTCCTGCTGCCTGCCTGCTGCTTTGGTGTCAACCCGACCGCTCACGACGACCAAAAGCAGCAGCCACGCATCACCAGGCGATCACCAAGACATATCTGCACACATCTCTCGCTCATTGCTCATCGCTCAGCATACACTCGCCCGCTTGCACGCCGCTCGGTCTGCCGTTGGGGAGCCGCGTCATTTCCGTCCCACGTCCGAAGTTACGTTACTCTCGAGCGTCTGTTCGATCCCGCAATCTTCACACAGACTATCACCAGCAGCTCTGATTGGACTGGGGCGCCACGACGATAAGACAAGGGACACGAAAACACTCGACAGCGACGATCGATCGATCGCAGACGAACGCGCTCCGTACCTGCTACTACTGCGTGTCGACGATTCCCGGCTGCATTATCCCAGCCTGCACACAGGCCCGGACATGAACGCCTCGCGCCCCTCGCAGCGTCGCTCGCCGGGCGCTGCTGATCCAGGCCCTCCCCCGGCTGTCCCTCCACGATCCATCTCCCCCGCCGTGGGCATGGGAGTCGGCACGAACCGCCCCGTGGCCCCTCGTTCATCCACATCGTCTCGCCAGGTTCAGCCTAGCTCCGCAGGCTCAGGGAGTGTGAGTGGACGGGAGGGGAGTGGGAACAGAGGCGAGAGCACCCGTCGTGCCAACGTATGTTACCGGAACACTGACACCGCTCATATTTAATGCTCGTGATGAAATCACTGACATGTCCAAGTCATCAGGAGGCAGCTCAGTTCCTCTATCTCAGATCGAAAAGAGTGTAACGCACCTGCTTGTCGCCACCAAGCAACTACTCGAAACCCTCACACAGTGGTCCCGGGGAAACGCCACCGATACCCAGGTGTCGGATGTTTATGTCCGTCTCGGTTACGAATTCAACATGGCTTGCCGTGCTTTTACAGCGATCAACGTGGACGTTTCTGACCTCGGAAATGTTCCTGAACTTTTGAGGACGATTTTGGAGGCCACCCTTAGTCAGGAAGCAAGCGTTGAGAGTCTAGAGCGGTACCTACCAAAAATTCGGGATATCATCATCAACCTGTTGCATGGACTCAAAAGGAAGCAGACGAAGTTGCGCCAAAGGCAGCAACGAGAACGGGAGAGCTCCCAGAGTGCCCCCGGTGCCCTCGATGCTGGCAATTCAAGTGCATCACCGAACCCTCCAATCCCTCCTGCTCGGATAACCAGTTCGAGCACAACAGGCAGCGTCAACTCCGGCCTGACGAACATGCTGAATGAGGGCATCGAAGATGGATATGGCCAGCGTGAGGAGCGCACCGTGTCTTCACCGACGAGACAGCGCTACGTGCCCCAAAGAGACCAGTCGCGTGGCTCACTCGCATCTGAGCAATCCAGCATGTCCAGCAACACTATGCAGAACATCCCGGTCATTGCGCCTTATCCGGGAGAGGACACGATGCCCTCGGGACCCCCTCCTCCCCCGGCAGCCGACATGCCTAATCTCGACAACTTTCCACCCCCTCCTCCACCGCCGAAGGCGAGCCAACAGAGTGCTTTGGCGGCTCTCCAGAGAGGAGGTGATCTCGAGCGGCGAGCCTCGCGGCGGTACTCTGCCTACCAAATATCGAAGCATCTCGGCGCTGGGGCTCCGGGTATTCCGATGCTGCCGCCCCAGACGACCCCCGTACCCAACCGTGGTCGGAACGAGGTGAGAGAGTCGATGCGCGCGATGCAGGCGAGGGACAGCATTCGTCATAAGCGCAACCAATCGAGTCAGTCCCGAATGGTGGCACCTGAAACCTCGCCAGTCCGAGTGCCAGCTCGCGTGTCAGAGGAACCGGAGGAGCTCCCAGCCGGAAGGGCTGAATTGCCCGGAAGCCAGGAGTTTGACGAGAAGCCAAAACTCAGCGCCACACTGACAGGACCGCCGGGTGATGCGGTACCGACAGGCGTGGGCGTGGAGGACAACGAGCGTGAGAAGCCTGCTACGCCGACGCGGACTCAATCCCCTGCAGTACCCCGAGTTGGGACTCCGGAGAAACCGCCAAGCACTTACTCGGGGACTCCAAGCTCTACTAAAGAGCTGACGCTTTTCCTCCAGTACAAGTCGAAGGTCAAGAAGTTTGTGCTCCCCGGGGGATATGAAGAGTTGTCGATCGGTCGGCTGCAGCTTGCTTTCATCGAGAAGTTTTCTTGGAATACCCAGCAGAATGGTGCCGACCTGCCTGAGATTTATATTCAAGATCCCGTATCGGGCGTACGGCACGAGCTCGAAGATTTGTCGGATATCAAAGATCGGTCGGTGCTGGTGCTCAATGTTGAGCCTTTGGATGAGGTCAAAAAGCACATTGACGAGGGCTTCGGCTCGATTAAGAAGATGGTAGAGGAGATGAAGCAGCATATTGAAGACCAAGGTGCCGCTATTCAGCGAGTGTCGGAAAGGCAGCAGGAGACAGCTAAGGACGTAGCCCGCCTGGCTGCGGCACCCCCGACTATTGTGGCGGCGCCTGTTGAGTCACCCAAACAGGCTGGATCGGTCTCCAGCAGCTCTCCTACCCGCCGACTCAACCCGAACCAGCTTCACGAGATTCAGAGCTTACGTCGCGATCTGGCTGTGCTGCGGCAGACATATTCCAACTTCCAGTCCGAGGTACAAGCTTCCATGTCTGCTCTGCGCACCAAGGCAAATAACGTCAAGGCTGCAGCTGCCAAGCTCTCGGTGCCTAACGTGGAAGGCGACTCGGGTCGTGCGTACGTTATGAACGGCCGTAAACGGCTCAATGCCGACAGCGACCGCCTGGTCAACAAGGTCGACGACTTGCAGGATGCCGTTGAGGACCTGAGAAAGGACGTTGTCCATCGTGGTGTCCGTCCGCTGCCACGCCAGCTCGAGGCAGTTGCGCGTGATATCTCGCAGCTGACTCAAGAACTCAACAAGATGGAGGAGTTCATGAAGCGCGAGAAGCCGATCTGGACCAAGGTGTGGGAGAAAGAACTCGAGGATGTGTGCCAGGGTCGCGACGAACTGCGCATGGTCGAGGAACTTATCATCGATCTCCGCGACGACCTCGAAAAGGCCTCGGAAACTTTCTCGCTTGTCGAGCAGGCCACGAGAGAGCAAATGAAAGACGCTGGTCCCAACGGTAGTATCGTGCCTCGCCAGGGCGCTTTTGGCAAGCCGTTGTTCAGTAACAATGCCTTCATTGACCCGGCCTCGGCCAAGGAAGGTGTCTTGGGTGAGGTGCGTGCGCTACAGCCGGATCATGCAAGCCGTCTTGAAGCCATAGAACGTGCAGAGAAGGCGCGCCAGAAGGAGCTCGAACGCCGAATGGAGAATCCGCTTAAGAAGGAACTCATTAGCTTCGTGGAAGAGGGTAGACTGAAGAAGTCGGGCGGTGTTGAAGAAGTAGAAAGGGCTCGCAAGGCGAAGGATGATCAGATTAGGCGGCAGGTGTGGGAGCGAATAAACGGTATCATCCCGCAGGAGGAACTGGAGTTGTTGGCGGCGGCCGAGGCAGCGGCTGCTCAACAGGAGGGAGTGGAGGATTTTAATGAGATCAATAATGGCGTTGATGTGAATCACCAGAGCAGGCCTGGTACGGCTGGTGAAGGGATAGTTGCTTCGGTATGAGCAATGAGGGACAAGACTTGGTATGGATGGAATGGGAATTGGAATTCATGGAACAGGTTTCTGTCATGGGCTGGTGGAGTGGAGGAGTATACCCACTGTTTGGTTTTAAACTCTTTTTTTTATTTTTTTTTTTGCTTATGGTACATTGCCGTTTGGCCGGCTGATTGATTGGGCTAGCCTATGTTTTCTTTATAGCTGTTTAACCGCCGTTAAGAGTTGAAGATACGTGGCATTGCTCATGAAGTCAGGGAGTAAGGGAGCTTAAATGTTGTGTGTGTGGGATGCGTAGGGCTTGGCCAACTTATACTGCTACTTCGTGGTGCCACGAGAAAACTTATTTCATGGTGTGTATGCACAAGGCAAACACATCTTTATTGTTTTCCTTTGACTCTAGTTGGATTGGCTGTTCACCAACTGTCGTAACAAGTGCTTGCTACACGATTCACCTGTCCTCATCTATGGCGAACTTTGCCCATCACCCACCAGAACCCTGCCGGTCGGTGCCCTCACGGGTCTTGGCAACTGTCCCAAGCGCAGGGTCCCTGGTCACGTGGCGCCAAGCCCGACAGTAGGCGACGTCACTGATACTGGCGGCTGTCGGGAGCCGGCAACCAGCTCCCTGAACAAAGACCGAGACAAAGACGGCTGCAGCATCGATCGGGTGACCCCTCTTGACCCCCGCGTTTTCTAAGGGATTGGAGTTGACTGACAGGCAACTCCCGGAAGCTTAATAATTCTATACAGAAATATATTTGTGACAAACGTCCATGCCCACAATGGCACGGCTCGCACTGGCTGCTTCGCGGCAGCTCCTGCGCCGCTGCCAACCTCGGCCCTTCAGCTCCGTCTCCATCCCCATAGCTCGCGGCTATGCGACGGCGTCTACAACTCCCGGGCAACAACCACAACAACCGCAGCAACAACCGCAGCAACAACCGCAGCGACCGGCCTTTGACAACCGCATCAAGCTGGTCGAGGTCGGCCCGCGCGATGGCTTGCAGAATGAGAAGACCTCCATCCCGATGGAGACCAAGATCGAGCTGATCAACCGCCTGGCTCAGACGGGGTTGCGCACCATTGAGGCTGGCGCGTTTGTCTCGCCGAAGTGGGTGCCACAGGCATGTGTTCTACTATCTTGACGAGCTTGATGATATCGAGTCGGATCGGCCATAGCTAACAGAGACACAACCAAACCGCAGATGGACAAGTCCTCCGACATCCTTCAACACCTCCTCATTAACCCTCCCTCTTCCCCAAAACCCCTGACCTTCTCCTTCCTCGTCCCCAACCAAAAGGGCCTGGACAACGCCTTCTCCATCCTCGCTAAAAACCCTTCTGCCTTCGCCACATCCCCAGACGATGCGACCGCCTCCAAGCCCGCCGTGGAGCTTGCCGTCTTCGCCGCCGCAACCGAATCCTTCAGCCGCAAGAACCTCAACTGTTCCATCGCCGAGTCGCTCGCCACCTTCCGTCAGGTGATCCAGGCCGCGAAAGAGAGCAACCCGCACGGCCTGTCGCTGCGTGTGCGTGCTTACATCTCGGTTGTGCTGGGCTGCCCGTTCGAAGGGCACGATGTGGACCCGCATCGGGTGGCGCAGATCGCGACCGAGTTGTTGGAGATGGGCGCGGATGAGATCGCGCTGGGGGATACCACGGGGATGGGCACGGCGCCGAGGACGAAGGATTTGTTGGTTTGCTTGCGGGCCGCGGGCGTCAGGAATGAGGACATTGCGTTCCATTTCCATGATACGTATGGTCAGGCGCTGGTGAATATCGCTGTCGCGCTGGAGCACGGCATCAGGACGTTTGATTGTAGTGTTGGCGGTCTTGGCGGGTGCCCGTACTCGCCGGGCGCGACGGGGAATGTGGCTACGGAGGATGTGGTCTACTTTATGGAGACGCTGGGCATGGATACGGGCGTGGATCTGGATAAGGTTGCGGATATTGGCGAGTGGATTACGAAGGAGATTGGGAGAGAGCATGCCAGCTCTGTGGGCAAGGCGGTGCTCGGAGCTAGAAGAAGGGCACAGGCTGAGGCGAAGGTGTGATGTTCTCATGGAGGGGTCGAATGGAAAGGTCCGGTACTGTGAATAGGTATGTGATATGTGTAATGAGACACGACTGTGTATGGGGTTGGGGTTTCTGGGATTTACTGGGTGTCATGCATGACGAGAGGGGTTTAGACTTTGTACACTGCATATCGCATGTCAACCATCTCTGGAAACAATTGAGGTTACCTTGGGTGCCGTGTATTCATCATCTATTGGTCATCTTTGGCATATTGATCGTCTTTGGCGAATGTGTTGGCTACGATGAAGGGGAAGCAGCTTGTCGCCTCCAGGTAGACCTGTTACCGTTAGTGATGAGCTGTAGGGGAGAGGGGGAGGACCTCTTCCTGGGACATACCTTGACAGCATCTGCCCCAATCTTAATCTTGCCCCACGACACGGCCTCATCTGGCCGCGCGCCGGCATCACTGCCGTCGAACTCCTGCGCTGTGTTGATGTACACTGCCGACTCGGCTCCGTTCCTCATCAGACAGGCGTTCGCAATGTGGTGCTTGACAATACCACCACCCAAGATGATCATGCCTGCGCGCTTTGCCCGCACAGAGATGGTGTTGATCTTACGGATATCCTCGACAATGTCAATCCTCAACTGCTGCGGAGACGCCTTGAAGGTGTGGAAGTACAGCATGTCGCCCAGGCTACCATCCGTCAGGGCTGGGCAGAACACGGGGATATCGTTCTTCCAGGCCCAGTAGTACACCGACCGCTCGTCATTGATCTCCTTGCCCAGACGATGAATGACCTTTGATGGTGTCCAGTGGATCTCTTCTTCAGTGCCCTTGCTGGCCTCTTGCTCCTCAAGCATTTTGTCCAGGATAGGCACCACCCAGTCCTCAAAAGCACAGTAGTTGCTGTTGGGCACCACCAAGTTGCCGATGCGGTTGAGACCCTTCTTGCGCAGCTCGGCACCTGGGGCATGGAATGACGACATATAGGTGTCACCCAGGCACTTGATGAAGTCTTCTTCGATGCCGCCGGCAGTGGTGACGATGGCCGATACATGGCGATGCTGCACGAGGTAGCGAAACACACCACGCAAGCCGGACGAGATCAAGTTGGAGGTATATCCCAGGAAGATGGTAGTGCGTTCGCCCGTCTCTGGGTCGCGCCAGGCGCGCATATCGTTGATGATGCGGATGGCCTCGCACATAGCTGTCGCTTGGAAGCCCATGTGCCGCATGCCCTGCAGCAAGTCATCCGCTGTGATGGGCCGTCCCCGGAACTTGTTGAAGTCAAGCTCCTCAACCTTCTGTGCATCCTCGGGCATCTCTTCCGACTTGACCAGCACTGCCTGGGCAGCGGTTGAGGGGACGTTCTCCATGGTTGGGGGGGGGGGGGCGGTGTGAGTTAGAAAAAAGTTTGAAGAGTTTCTGAGGAAAGCAAAAATGAAAAATAAATAAACCAGAAAACAAGAAGATGGCAGTCTATGATGCGACAGAAGATGAAAGACGACCCTTCTATCTCCTTATTTTTTTTTCTTCCCTCTTTCATTCAGTCAGTTACAAGTTATCCATTTGGTGTTGACTTTGACAATGTCGTCTTGCCCCTCCGCGTGGTTTGACCCCTCGATTTTTCTTCAATTGCCCCGCGACGTGAAAGTTTCAGACGAACAGTGATCTTCCTTGTGGACCCACTTGGCGCATTCTGCGCGAGATCGTCTTGCGGGTCACTCTGTTGTCAACGCCATCGCTTTTCAAGTCGCAAATCCCATCAAAAGACCTGCAATTTCTAACCTTGCCTTCGTGATATGAAGAATGCTTTCCAACACTCTGTTTGAACCGCTAATATCATGAAGTGGCCACAGGTAGTAGTGGCATGACATGCTGTGCACGCGGCTCGAAGCACGATGAACACTAACATTTAAATCTGCTCGGTGTTTTTTGGCCACAAGCCAATCGGACGCTGATGCCAGGCGCATGCCGAGCCCATCCGCCCCATGGCACCCATGCCCTCCATCGGTCCCATCGACCCGCCCGCGGCAGCCCCGCTGAGATCGTTTTGCTACAGCCAAGCGCAGCATGGGTAGGGTACGTAACGGCAGGTGATGGGGCCCTAACGTCAAAGAGTTGACCAATTAGAAACTGCCATGCAAGGGCACGGCAGGGCAGGCAGGGCTGGGGACTTGGGTTTGGAGCATGGGCCGTGCAGCTGGCGGCACAATTGCGCTGGGGCAGGTGCCAGTTTTTGGAGATTTCAGGTGAGTGGAGCCTTGAACTGCAGTGAAAGAGCGAGGGTGCGAAGGTTGGGTGGAAGCATGGAATTGGCTCACCCAATCTCCATCGTCCATCTCACAAGCAGAGAGGCCAAACTTCAATCCCCCTTCTCGCAATCTTCCCTTTTCCCTTGGGGCGCCGGCAAAGCAAGCTTTGACCCTGACCTGACCCTCCCAAAACGTCAAACATCCACTTGGACTCCATCTCACGCATCTGCACATCCGCGCATCCGCTCGCATCGGGACCTGGACCACAGAAGACGCGTGCCGTGTCTGTTTCAGTCCGTCCATGCTTTGCCGTTCACCGCTTTGTTGAAGCAGTTCGCATTCCAGCCAAAGCCGACGCCGAGCTCGACGCAGCGCAGACGCAGACCTAAATCTCTTCAAACCTGGCCTGACAGTCAGGTTGGCTTGACATACACGCACATACACACACACATACACATTCTCGGCAACGGGCCAGGCCTCAGGCACCACAAACAATCCCGTTTCCAGCCAGAAAGCCAGGTTACTTGTTTACAGTTGCCGGCACAGTCCCAGTCGTCGGTTATCCTGTGGAACGAGTCATTTTTAGTTTTGCTTTTATTTTTTTTTCTTCTGCCAGTGTGACCATCCTGGAACCTGGATTAGAATCGCGAAATTTTGAATTACGATCTTGTTGTGATCGGTGCTCCGGCTTGTTGCCTCTTTTTTCGTCCGGTCACCTCAGTAATTTTGTTCGACTCGAAAGACGGCTGTCTGTTCCGATCTCCCGTCCCCAGTCTCCAGTCTCTAGGCTTGCTTCGCAGTTCGTTCCATCGCACATCGCATCGCACAGCGTCAGCGTCCCGATTGCCACCTCCATCAAGCATATCCACTTGTGCTTTTGCGAATCAAGGATTTTAGGTTGCTGCCAGCCCAAAATCGCTTAGCGGCTCAACTTGCCTCTGCCCCTTTCGGGCTGTTGCTGCAGATTCTGCTCCGCTGTTGTCACTTTGTCGCCGCACGTCCACTCCATTCACGCAGCATCTCAGTTTTCAGTTCACTTACCCAGGCCAAGCACCGTGTCTGAGCCCGAAAGCCGAACCTGCCACGCGATAGGTACCAACAATCTCTCCTCTACGATTCGCAGCACCTTTTTCGGCTCGATTAAACGTCAACTTACCACAGCACAAGTTGCCGCCATAAATTATGAGCCGTGCAACCTCGACTCTCTAGGCCCACGATAACATCAGACGGGCCTCGAATAACCCACAATGTATGTCCCCCAGGTCTCCAATCAATCTCGAAGCTCCATCACCCTTGAGCCCACAGCCCGCAGCTCTCAGTTGGCCCCTTCTCCGTCCATTCGATTTTTTTTTTTTCAACTCAAAGGAGTTCCAGTCATCTCCAGTTTCTTGTTCCCAGCTCCCAGTTCCCGCATTTCCACTTCTCCATCTCCATCTCCACTGGTCTCTCCGCCGCCGCCCATGTCAGGCATCCGCAGAGTTTTCCCTTCTCTTCCAACTTAGCTACCGTTTCCTTAACATTTTTTTTCCCCCCTTCCATCTATTCCACAACAAAGGGGTGACAGCTAGTCGCTGCCCTCATCCATCCCTCCCACAACCGACTACACATGTATTCGCCATCATCATTTCGACGATTCGACCGTTACCGTGACCGACCCGTCGACCATGGTCGTGGTCGACCCTTTACTGACCCCAACGATCCCAGGTCGCGATATACCGGCAGCCGCTACGACGGCAGCGATCGCCGGTCTCGCTCCCCTCCGCCACCCCGTGATCGATCCCCCTACGGAGACCGAAATGATCGTGGTGGTCCCCGTTATTCCGATGCCGACCGTGGCCGTCCGCCCGTGGAGCCGCGAGGCAATGCCCCTAGCTTTCCGATGGGCCGCGATTCCTTCCGTGATTCGCTTTCCAACATTCAGCCCCCTCGAGGGCCAAAGGCCTTGATGGACCCCCCGAGCGGCCCTCGCGGCGGGGGCTTTGTTGGCGATTTCCGTGGCGGCAGAGGAGGCCGTGTCGGACTTCGAGGACGTCAGTGGCGTGACGACAGCCGAGACCCTGGTGGCCGTGACCGCGACGACTACCGAGATCGACCACATTTTCGAGACGAGAGATCTCGCGAACGGGAGCGAGAGAGAGAACGGGAACAGAGAGAACGAGAGAGAGATCGCGAGCGAGAGCGGGAACGGGAACGGGAACGTGAACGTGAACGTGAACGTGATGCCCGCGATAGGGATAGGGATAGGGATAGGGATAGGGACAGGGATAGAGACTGGCAACGTGATCAGCGCGACCGACCCGATTTTTCGCGCCCTCGCAGACCTTCGCCCCCTCCATTGCGTGCAAGATCTCCCCCGCCGACCCGCGATTTCAGGGACGCCAGAGATGCCAGAGACATTCGAGACGCTCGTGACGCCCGAGATGCCCCGCTGAATGTCGATGCCGAGCGAGCCCGCCGCGGTTCCAGAGATGGCCCGCTATCTGCCGGTTCGTCGAACTCGGACCAAATGTTTTCTCCGTCGCCGTTCCGTGGAGGTTTTGCACGCGGTGGTGGCCGGGGAGGCGGTGGTATTGGCACTGGCGGCGGCGGAAGAGGTCGTGGTGATTGGGATCAGAGACCGGGCAGAGATAGGGCCCCCTTCTACGACGACCGAGATCGTTTCCCGCGCAGCCGCTCGCAGGAGAGCCGCTGGGGTCGAGATCAGGACGATCGTGATCGTAGGGACACCAGATACCCGGACACGGCCAGAGATTCGCGAGATGACCGCGATGTCAGAGACAACCAACGCGATATCGTTCGTCCGAAGCCCGAACGTCCTCCTCACGAACCGCAGTCAGCCAAGGATGTCTCGCCGCCGCCCCTTGCTCCTTCAGCTCCTGCATTCGGCTCGGTTCCTAGCCGTCAGTCGACCGCTGCCGAGATCCAGTCTCTCACCGGCAAACCTCCCCCGACAGGCCCGAGAGCTATGACTGAGGAGAAGGCTGCAGGAGTTCCCCACGGTCCCGGAAGCGACAGGCCGCCCCCTGCTGGTCCTTCAAAACCTCAGCTCCCAGACGGCCCGCTCATTCCAGCTGGTCCTCGTGCTCAACAGAAGCAGCAACGTTCGAGCAGGCAGTGGATTAATCCTTCACTGAATGCGAAGAAGGTCGATATTCTGCCAGGCCCCCGTGGACCTCATGGGTTTGGACCGCAGCCGCCCCAGCGACCAGTTGGCTACCGTCCTGACTTCTCGCATCAGGGAGACAAGCGGCCTCGCAGCCCAGATGGTCACCATGTTGCAACTGGCGCTAACGAGATCGTGATCAAGTCGGAGAGGATTCCGGTCAAGCCGCCGGTAGCGAACCGTGAACCCCTCAAACCTGCCCCAGGCGATGCCAATGTGGCCGTGACCGGGGCGAAAGTGGCAGAACGGAAGCGTGAAGAGCGCCAAGATGAGCTACAGACTAGCCCTACGGCTGCAAAGCGTCCAACTGCTGAGGGATCCGCCGAGGAACCGAGAAAGGTTGAAGAGACCAAGGAGCCAGAGGTGATCGAAAAGCGGCGCCCTGTCATCTTGATACCCGCTCGCCGCATCCAACTGCCGCCAAAGGAGCGGCTGCCGCCTCTTTCTGATGAGTCTTCGGAGTCAGATGAGGATGAAGACATGGACATGTACTTTGAGCAACAGATCTCGAAGGTCGAAGCTGAGCTCAATAAGATCGAGGACGCCATTGACAAGGCCCCAATGGCCATCATCCGGCGCTACGCAACTGCCGTTCATGAGGCTATGCTGAGCGTGGTTAACGACCCTGTCACTCTGACAAGCCTGCTCGGTGGTATCCCCGAAGGGTTCACATTCCCATGCCCCAAGCCCGCTACCGAGAAGGCCGATGAGGAAATGCCCGATGCCGAGCCAGAGTTACCGTCGCAGCCCCAGCCCCAGCCCCAGCCTCAGCCCCAGCCTCAGTTAGAACGGGAGCCTGCGAAGGAGAAGGAGAAAGACAAGATTCAGGATGAGCAAGAGCCACAACAACTGCAGCCTCAGCCACAGGTTGTCGAATTGAGCCCGGCCGTTTCGCGCGAACCATCGGTTCTTCCAACCATCGAAATCGAGGAGAAGGAGAGTGCAGCCCACGTGCCGCCGGAGCCGCAGCCTAAGGTGGAGGAGATGGAGGTGGAAAGTTTGGCGCCCGTCCCTTCGGTTAAGGAAGAAAAGCAGGCTGCAGAAGAAGAGAAGCCTGCCGAGGAGGCCCAGCAAACTATCGGAGAAGATGTGGAGATGCAGGATGCACCGGAGGAGCCACAGCTTGCCATGCCAGTTCCTCGTCGGTCTGTCTCGACAGCCGAGGTTGCCTCAGCGGATGGAGAAGGCGAGGCTAAGCGTAGCCTGTTCGCACCCACGTTCAACCAGGTCGAGACGACGGAACCTAGCACAGTTTCGGCCGACGACCAGAGCGAAGACAGGACCGAGGACGATGCTAGTGTCTATGGGAGCGTGGAAGCCGTCCGGCAGTACTCTGCCACACCGCCCACCGACGAGCTGCCGGTGTACAATGTTAAACCGTGGTGGAAGAGCCGACGCGTCAAGAAGATTTGCGAAGAGAACCCCGAGTTCAGCAAGTTCCTTATGGGCCATATTCGCGAGCAAGCTGAGCAGACCAAGCAGAAGCAGCAGGAGCTTCGCGAGAAGTATGCCAAGGATTATGAGGCGTATCTGCGCTTTACGCAGTCGGACGATCCCGCGGCGGTCAAGGCGCGCGAGTACATGGCTCTGGGATCGAAATCGAATGGCGAATCCAAGCCTGAAGGGGGCAGAAGAGCAGCCAGCCGATTCTCGACTGAGCTCGACCTTGACTATGCCATGCAGCAGTCGATGAAAGAGTACCAGGAGAAGCAGGAGCGTGAGGAGAGGGCACAAAAGGAAAAGTACCGCAGTGAAAAGGAAGCCGTCATTCCCGAGATGTTCTGGACCGATCGCGAGAAGGAGCAGGCGGCGTTCCGGGATACTTCTGGGCTGCTGCCCCTGGAGAAGCTGGTGTCGGCGTGGCAGGTGGTGCCTTGGCACAACAATTTCACCGAGGAGGAAGAAGAGAAGTTCGAGAAGGCCTACCTCGAGTACCCCAAGCAGTGGGGCAAGATTGCCGAGCAGCTGCCGGACCGCACGTTCGGCACTTGCATCCAGTATTACTATGCGAAGAAGCGCGAGCTTAACCTCAAGGAGAAGCTCAAGAAGCAGCCCAGGCGCCGCAAGAAGGGAGGTCGCACGAAGCAAAAGGCGAGCGTGCTTACAACCGAGAATCCCGAAGGCGAAGGCGAGGATGCCGCGGCAGCTGCCAACCAAGAGGACAACGGCGGTACAGGAGAGAGAAGGCGTCCGCCACGTCGTGCGGCTGCTCCTGTGTTCACCAGTGAGGTCAACTCCAACGTCGAATCGGAAGGCAACACACCAGCTGCCACACCAGGTGGTCGTCGCAGGGCTGGCACGGTGGTTGACAAGAACAACAACGAAAGCGGCAACGAAACGACGACGACCACGACCACGACTACGAAAAGAGGTGGCCGCAAGGGTCGGCAGACGAAGGCTGAAAAAGAGGCGGCCAAGGGGGGCCAAGCAGCAGCAGCAACAACAACAACAACAACAACAACAACAACAACAACAACAACAACAACAGCAGCAGCAGCAGCAGCAGCAGCAGCAGCAGCAGCAACAGGCGGTTCAAGAAGCCGGCGCTGTGCCTATTGCTGCTACCCTCGCTACCAAGGCTGGCCGGTCGCGTGCAAACTCGCGGGCTCAGGGCCCAGAGTGGGCATCGCCACAGGCGCCGTTCCTATCTGGCACGTTCGAGGGCTCCGCGCAGATGCCGCCCATGTCTACAGGCACAGAGCGACCCATGCCATCCATCCCGGCAACCATCCCCGAGCACGTCATGTCCATGTCGGGTCCGCCATCGCTGCGGCCTGAACCCCCCCCTCCTCCAGCAGCACCGACCATGGTCGCGTTCGAAATGGCTTCCCAGTCGACCTCGACGGCTCCGGAACGCATTCGAACGCCACAGCAGGCGTCGAGCTACTGGAGCGTGTCCGAGACGACCGACTTCCCGGCGCTGCTACGTGCCTTTGGCACAGACTGGGCAGCCATTGCTGCGCATATGGGAACCAAGACAGCGACCATGGTCAAGAACTACTACGTCCGGCAGACCAAGGAGGGCGGCAAGCCTGAGTGGGAGCAGATCGCCATGGAGGCCGACGCCAAGCGTGCAAGAGGCGAGAAGCTCCCTGCCCCGCCCACGCCAACCCAAGGCCCGAGAAAGCGGTACGAGGCCCCGGCTGCCGCACACCGGCCCTTGGCAGCTGCCGAACCCGAGGAAACGGCGCCGGTCAAGACCGAGACGTCGGCTCAGAACCCTCCTTACGGTCGCTACCAGGTACCCATCGCCCAAGCTGCGCCAGTCTCTCATCCGCTCGTGCAGCCAGCTCAGTCTGCAATGTCAGCACCACCGCTTGTCTCCTCTGCTGCTCCACAACAACCTCCGTTGCCAGGCCCAACTGCTTCCGTCTCACGGGCTATGTCACCACATGCCTCTCACGCTCTACGCCCTCCAGCCCCTGCCTATGTTCCGTACCCCGAACGTGCAGAGATCGACTCGAAGGTAGCGCAGTCGGCTGCCCAGACTCAGGCCCAAGCTCAAGCACAAGCACAACAACAGCAGCAGGCTGCGCGCATGTCCCAGAAGCCGCCCGTTCCAGCCGGTGCTTCATCGATGCCCCCCGTCTCGGAGCCCATGACTCGTCCGGCTCCGGAAAGAAGCTGGCAGACCGATATCAGCATGCAGTTCTCTTTGCTTTCGCAGCAGAACGAACTTCGCAACCGCGAGGCTCGCGAGAGGGAATTACGGGAGCGCGAACTTCGCGAACGGGAGCTGCGCGAGAAGGAATTGCGCGAGAGGGAGATGCGCGAACGGGAAATCCTCGAGTTCACGCAGCAGCAGCAGCAGCAGCAGCAACGCGAGCCCGTTGGACCTGGCCCTCAGCCAGTGGACAGGGCTCCTCCTCTGCGTGGTTTGAAGCAGGAACACGAGTCCGGCATGCATCGTGCGGAATCGCCTTATCCGCCGTATCAGCCGACGCATCAGCATCACCGGTCGCTGTCATCGCGTATTGAGCCGGCTGCCCCTCTGTCAAGGCCGCAGCAGGAACTGCCGCGTACTGTTATGCCGCCAGCATCCCAAGCGTATGGTGCTATGCGCAGCCTGTTGAGCGAGCCTGTTCCTCCTCAACAAGCGCCAACCGGGTCGATAACTACCGAGAGGCCCATGTCAAGCATGCAGCGGCTACCTGTATCAATGCAGGAGCACTACCATGGTATTCCTACCTCAGCTGCGCCGCCTGCTCCTCCTGCTCAACAACCTCCGGCAGCCCAGCCTACTCCCCCTCCTGTCTCTCGTGCTCCCGAGCCGCGCAAGACCAGCAGTCTAATGGCCCTCCTCAACGACGATCCTCCTCCGGCCCCTCCTGCTCCGACCAAGAGAGTTACCGATGTGACGGCCATCAAGCAAAGCTCTCCTCCTCCCCCTCCTCCTCAGTCTATGGTTCGCCAGCCTCCTCCTCCCCCGCCCCCGACTTCTGCGCCCATAGTAGCTCGTCGAGAGCCCGAGCCAGCCTATGCATACGGACGCAGCACTGCCCAGACCGCAATCCCTCCTCTTAAGCCGTACCATAATCAGTCCCCTCAGCCGCAGCATACCCGCGTGCCGAGTTCTGGAATGGTGCCGGCCCTCGATGCTGCTACCGAGCGCGATCCTTACTACAGGCATGCTTACTCGTCACACCAGTCCGGCGCGTCCAACTCTCCTCAGCTGCACCCGACACATCACTACGCTCAGCAACCGCAACAGCAGGCTGCTACGATGGGAGGTTACCCCGGCCAAGCATCCTATCCTCCGCCAAGGGACCCAAGGGACCCAAGAGATCCAAGGGATCCTCACGGGTCACATATGTCTTCGCCTACTACGCAGTACGCCGCACATCCGTCAACATCATCAGCTGCACGTGAGCGCGAACGTGATTCAGTCTGGATATCATCACAGCAGCGTCCTTTGCAGCCACCCTCACTACATGGTCAACAACAACAGCAGCAGTCGCCTTGGATGCCTTCGCAGAAGCCGCCCGCTGCTCAGTCTGCTGTCCCAACGCAATCGGCTTGGGGTGCCCAGCATGGTGGTATGCCGATGTCGACCAAACCATCGCAGCAACAGCATCATACCTGGCAGTCCCCTGCTCCTACGCCTCAGCCGCAACACCAGCATCCGCTTAGCAACCTGCGTGGCGATCCTCCTCGTACGACTGGGGTCTACGCTGCCGCTCATGATGTGTCCAGCCCGACTATGGCGCCCCATCACCGGTCAACCGGGTCCATCGGCGGAGGTGCCGGGTCAAGTCTGAGCAGCGCCGCAGGTTCGCGGTATCCTCCTCCAGCTGGCCCCGGAGCCCCACAGGATCCGACTCGTCGCGTTGCAGAGCCCCAGCCGGCCCAGCCCCTCCCGTCGGCTGCCGGTCAATCCCAGCCGTATGCTCGGTATGCTAACACCCCCGGACCAGCCCAGCAACCACGGGAGCCTCCCCCGACTGTTGGTGGCCCCCGAAGCTATACCCCCGTTGGCAGCGGCTATGCTGTCGCGGCCCCGCCGCCGCCGCAACAGGCTTATGCCGGCATGTCGGCTCGGGAGCAGGAAGCTGCTGCCGCTCTGCGGGACGTCCAAATGCGTGAGCAGATGCGCGAGGCCCAGATGCGCGAAGCTCACATGCGCGATATGCGCGAGGCACAATACCATCGCGACGCCCAACTCCGTGAGCAGCAGCAACAACAGCAGATGCTCGAAGTCCAGCGCCGCGAGGCTCAATACCGCGAGGCCCAATACCGCGAGGCACAACAGCAACAATACCGCGAAGCGCAGTTTCGTGACCCCGCCTCTGCGGCACAGTACCACGACCTCCAGATGCGTGATGCTCCGCTGCCACAGGACGCCCTTCCCGGCGACCCGAGGGATCCAAGGCTCAGTCGAGAGGAGCAGATTCGTCAGGCGCAGTTGCGCGAGCAGCAGCACTACCAGCAGCAGCAACAAGCTAGTGGTGCGGTGGGGCTTTTGGGACGCGGGTTGAGGCCTGCTCCCAGACCGGGACCGGAGGGTGGGGTGTATGACCGTGAGGGGAGGAGGTATTGATCAGGTTGGAGGGATGCGTGGAGTACATATATGATGCAGCTAAGACGGGGAGGGAAATCTCGTTGAGTGGGTTCGTCTCTTGGTCGTCAAAGTGGAAAGATGGACAAGTGGGAGCGGGTTTCGCCTTGATATTTCATCCTACTACTACTGCTGCTGCTACTGCTTTTTATGGGGTTTGCGGATAGCGTGGGATGGATGGGTGGATCGATGGATGGAAGCTGTTGGTGTCCTTTTTTTTTTTTTTTTGCTTGATGCCATTTTTTCTCTTGATAGGGGCTGGTTTGGGATGTGGGGTATATGTTAGTGGATGTGTGTATGTATGGATCTACCAATGGATGGTTACAGGGCATGCTGCGAATGAAATGTATGAGTACATATCCTGTTGGCATGTGATGGCTTCGAGGTTTGTGAGTGATGTGTCATTAAGCTGGGTACATTTACTTATAAGTGCCTGCAAATTTAGAAACAAGGACATCTCTTATCTTCTGCCCTTCAAACCTTTACTCCTGTTCTTTTACTTTTTTTTTCTGTACGAGCCTAAGCAGGCACTATGTTAAGTAGTCCTCTCAAGTTTATGTTACTGGCGAGATACCAAGTCACACACCGGCTACGAAATTGGTAAGTGCCAACTCTTCATCACTCTAATTATCCTCTACAGCCCAGTTGAAGTTGCTGCAAACTAAAGCGAGCAGTAGCATGTCTGTTTGCAAGATGTGAAATCTTTTTGAAGAGGAGAAAAGGAACCAAGACAAACCGGGGATTAGGTGCCATCCACTTTCCCTGCTCAATCATCGAGCACAACATTATCCGACGGGCCTTTTGCGCTGCTCTTATCCTTCAGCCTCTCCTTGGATCGGCACTTTTCCCTCCGTGAAAGGTGTTCTGAACTCGTAGTTCAAAAACCCTTGCATAATCATTGTTTTATCATCCACTGCCAATACCACCGAGTTTGAAGCCTTTGATAGCTTCCCATCACTCCTGGGTATTTCTGGGATATCCACTAGCTTTGGATCACCTCTCCTATGCGAAGGAACAAGATACAGGTCTCTTATTATACTGTTTTCTTTGGTTGCAAGGCTGACGGAATAAAACAATGTCGTGTGTAGTTCTTGTGGCAGCCAGAATCTTGATGACAGCTGAACGGATCCAGCCGTCGTCACACAGAAAGTAGATATGAAAATCATGAAGTCCGAGGCTTGTCTTGACAGGAGAATCTAACTGGCGCACAACGCACCTTGTAGTAATGGATTTCGGAAAATCGGGTCAGCTATCGTTCCCTCTGGCCATGCCTGACATTGTGGCTGCCGAGGGCAGATCGAGCAACACAAATGCTGTGTTTGCATCAGTCCTTCACCAAGCCAGATGAGCATCTGAGCAATGATTCCGTACCATTGACTGACACGCCATATCTAGCTGATTCCAAGCTGTGCAATGGAATACACTTCATAGAATAGGTCCCCCCAGGCAAAGGTATCATACACATCCAGCAGAATTATGGTGATTCCCTCCTCAGTAGTCTCTCGTGCTGGATCATTCCAATGAAACACATGCATTATCAACCTGAAGAACTATGTCTTGATGAAGACGAAAAGAAGGGACAGGTCAATTGGATGGGTGACCTGATGCAGTTCCAGATCACCCTTGCCAATCCAATCCTTTGGATAAGTGCAATGTATGATGATCTCCGCTAGTCACTTTCTAATAAAGACGACCCCGTTTTTCACACGCACAAGGAATATGGCAGTGATCTAGGCCTGATAAGCCTATCGACAACCTTGGTATTGCGGTCAGTCATGCACATGCATTGAGGCCATGATCTGCCAAATTGGTCATATTGATCTGCCATCCCAGGACAAGGCAGCAGATCAAAGATAGCAGCTGACGGAACTGAAAGGTATACAGTCAAGTCCATTCCAACACCAAAAGCACTTTCCACAGTGGTGTCCATATTGCCATTGCAATTCTTGTAGATGTCGAATGGGCATTCAGCACACGGTTTCATAGACATCAAATCGCGTATGCCAATGCAGTCCGGTCTCTGACATAACAGATAACTAGAGTCACAAACCTGTGCCATTCGTAAAATCAGACTGGAAGGTATCCCTTGAAAGAGTGAAACAGGATCTGAATGTTCTTCTTCACAGCTACCATTGTCTGAGCCTTTCTTATCCTTTGCATTCCATTGAATTCTCCAACTCCAAGTTGTCATTGACAAACACAGCTGGCTCCCACACATTGATCCAATCATCACCTAGACTGAACAAAATAATATGTTTGTTGCTTGAGGGAACTTTTACGGATGCCAGGAACTCAGGGAACATGATGCGATGTAATGACTTCAGTATGTCCCATGCATAGAACATTATGCTCTCCTTAGGCTTTGCGGCCAGTTTCAGTCTATCAGATGAGGAGGCTAGGGAACAAGCTGCGACTTTTGTTGAACACCGTTGTTGTATGGTCTAAGAGTCGGATACCACAACCTTTTTTTTTTTTTTTGTCAAGCTACTGGTAACAAATTCTGGTCCGGATTCTTGTTGGATATGAGGGAGTTCATAGATCCTAAATCGCTCAGGTTGATGAGCTCCTTGATCTGCTGACTGTGATTGTAATATGACATAAACAAGCGTTCCCTCTTTTCTGCCACCGCAGAGATTCCCTGAGTGTAACAAACCTCCATTATGAGGGGCCACTCAGCACAAGCCACCCCAAATGACTGGGATAGTTGCTTCCAGTCGATCACCGTGATTGAATCTAGCAGAGCATCATCGGCTGTCCTATTGACGCGTAGTGTACCCCTCTCAACGAGGACAGTGTAAAGCCTGGAATCATCGACGTTGAACTTGAGCTCGATTGATTGAGGTTACCATAGATCAATATCACAAAAGTCGTTGACTATAGTATTCCATATGATGTTGTGAGTATGGTCGGGTCTTTGTTTCCAAACAGTGATAGTCCACTCTGATAATAATGCAAGGAACTGGCTGATGGTGTTGCTAGTTGCAAGTGTAAAAGTTTTATTATATAGTCAATCCATACGAGTTGGCTTAATCTCTAGCATTCCCATCAGCTCAAATGTTTCTTGCCGATATACTTTCAGAAGTCCACCGGATAACCCAACTGCAAACCATTTTTCTGTGCGGTTTCGCCAAAGAAACTCAAAAGATACGGTTCTAAGAGGTTTCTCCATACAAGATGGTGATTGTTGCTGTAATTGTTGACGTCGTCCTTGTCGATTGCGGCCCGAAGCTTCTCATGAATGGGAGAGTGTGATGAAACCACTTGCAGAGCGACTGACAAAAAGAAATTTGGTAACACTTATGTTAGTGTTGCCTTTGAAGAAGATATAGGCACAGTCAATCTCGCAAGTCTGAAGGAATCGGATGACATGGCTTGCTGCGACGGACTTGCCAGAACCAGGGGGGCCCCAAAGCCAGAGTAGACGATGAACCGAGCCAGCAGACCTCGATACCGTTGACTGGGCCATAGTCGAAGTGATGTTCGAAGTGATATGGTCAAGAGAATTAGCAGGTTGTTTAAGGTCAAGCCAACTGCTGAAAGTAGGGTGACTGATTGGCCACTCGCAACAACCAGGATGCAACCTATCGAGATGCCAGAGAAGGTCAGCCTCTGGTTGTTTTGTTACTCCAAAGGCCTTAGTAATCCGCCTGATCTCAGAGCGCAGGTTTTTGGAAGTTTTGGAGGCAGCTTAAATGGTTAATTAAGTTCCGATTTCTTTTGTATTCACAGTAATGTCACATACACAACTTTTTCATCCCATCATTCGACTCGTCGAAGCGTTGGAGTAGTGTTTCGTAGTTCGTGTCCGCTTTCGAGGAAAACTTGCACATGCCACGGTGATCAACATCAGGATACCTCGTACGTTCTCCAGTCAATTATGATTGTCTCAGTTGGACTCAAAACCTCGAAAGTGTCGATGAGAAGCTTACCCATATTAGCGGATTCCTTCTCAACGCTCCTCAAACTGACTGGCTCAACCTTGGTGGCTGGTTTTCAGAAAAGGACTACAGACGGATATCGTCGCAAATTTTACGACACTCGTCATTGATGTCGAGTTTTGGCAATGCTGTGAACCAAAATTCAAGATCTGCACTTTCCAACTGCTGGGGCTGATTGAGTTTCAACGTATACAGTGGCATGTGGAAAGTCGACAAGTCGTCAGAACAAGATGTCCAACCAGAGTTTTACACCGTTCCTAGGGACCTCCATCCTCAAGCTCAAACTCTAGAGAAGCGGACCTAGGAGCGGTAATCCATCATTATCACTCACAGCAAGTCCGAAATGGATCGTGAACTACCCAGAACCCAGCACTGCTACTGAGGAATCATCTTGCCAAAGCAACACCGAGCCCCCCTTCACCTCCCTCCAGGCAGTGTTCCCACTTCTCCGCAGAAGCAAAGGCAAGGCTCATGAGATGACTTGAGAAACACAGCAGTGGCGAGGGGAAATAGGAGAAATTCCAACTCCCCAATCCTTCCGCTTGCCTGCCAGTATTGGCCGATAAGGGGTCGCTGCTCGTTATCCTCATCACAGGGATCAACTACGCCATCAATGCGGCTCTACAGACATTCATTGATGCGCACTGCGTGGGTCTGTACGAATTACCTGCCCTACGGGCTAGTCTGATCTATTTCCCGTCTGGTATCGGTGGTAGCACTGGGGAGCATGGGGCAGGTCGGCGGTTCCGGTTCAAATTCCGCTGTGTCCATGCTGATGGCATACGAAACGAGTAGAGAAGTTCACCGACTGGAATTACTGCCGGGCTGTCGAGCAACTCTCTAAGGAGAGTCAGGGTACGCTATGCGACAAAGCGTCACCCAACTTTCCCCTCGAGAGGACAAGGCTGACAGACTTCCATGTCCCTGGTCATCGCCACAGTCTTGAGCATCGTCCGTTATTGCCTGGCAATCAATTGTGAACGTATAAGTGGCAGCTTGCGCCGTGGTAGTTCTCCAATAGATTATGGAGCGCGTCGGCCCGGTGAGGTGTTACGCGGTCGATGCAGCCATCTTAGAGCTTAACGTGCTGATGAGGTGGGTATTGACGCGGTATAGGATTGTATGCACAAGACGAAAAGGAAGAGAGCATTTGTTGATCTGCAGGGCAGGGGTGAGTATAGCAGGGAGGGGGTCAATAAGCACGTGCGTTGTCGATAAAATGGGTTGGCAGTCATTTAGGGTAGTTGAGAAACGCGTCGGCTCTCTGATCAGCGGAGATGGAGAGTTTGGGATTTAGTGTAACCGCTCAGCCAGTTATGAACAACGGACAAGGTTCTATGGTGTAGCGGTTAGCACTTCGGATTCTGACTGAGGGAACCCCTCATTACAGAACATTCCGACAACCCCGGTTCGATTCCGGGTAGGACCTCAGAACCTAAATCTTCGCTTTTTTATTTCTGGATGCGAACGTTGAGATTCTTAAGAGAATTCTTTTTAGCCGCAAGACAATGTTTTAAACCAACATGACTTCTAAGACAGTCAATTTTCGTTACGCTACAGATCAATTAACCGTAGCAAGATCGCTAGCCCAAGAAGGCCTTCTTCCCGCTCACTATCAAATCCATCGGTGGGGTAGCAAGCAAAAGGCACTGGGGTGTGTTTTTAGTAAGCCTGACGAACGGCTCGAGAAATATATTATTTGAAACCCCCCTATCTGGTTTATCTACTCAATCCCTCGTCATATGGCCTGCGATGCATCTGCTAGAGATGTAGCGGCCTATGGATAGCAGGGAGCTTTTTTTGGACCACTACTTGGGCAATTTCCAAAGTTTACTACTTTCTGCAAGGGGGATGAAGATCTGACTGGAACCTTCCATGTTCACTCCATCGATCAAACTGAGGTACCTACAACTAGGTAGGAAGGTGTATACAAGTACAAAGCGATTCCAGAGGCCCAAAATGGCGGGAAAACCCCGCATACCGTCGTATTGGGCCGCACAGTGGGTTGTGAGACTGATCAGTGCCACACAGTTAAGTTCTTTGACATGGTTTAAGACACTCCAGAGCCTAGAGTCCGTACTCAAAGGCACCGATGTTGCTTGTTCGAATCTCTAACGCAAAGCGGATGCGGCTTTCATGTATGGGCAGTGTTGAACATAATATAATGTGATTATGGAATAGGAGAATAAAGGCTCCAGACAAAACGTTTAGAGCTTTTTAAGACACAAGAATGTTGGTCATTGCTCGTTGGGACTACCAAAGCTTGCTAGTCTAATTTAATAGAAGCAGAAGAGCAAAAGTAAAAAGAAGGGTAAGCAGATAGCTTGCAGCCCATTGCTACATAAGTCAGTCAGCTCCTCCGGGAAGGCTCGAACTTCCAACCTCCTGATTAACAGTCAGACGCGCTAGCCAATTGCGCCACAGAGGATTATCGATGGATACGCTGATCTTTGGAGTTAATTGTATTTCCCAAGTTTGCCGGGTGCGGTGCTCAAGGAACTTGTTGTCTACATAATTACTTGGTTGATTGGCGTTGTAAAGTTGGGAGTTCGCACATCTAGTGGAAAAATCTCTAACCACTGGCAGCGGGATCGTTTTCTCTTTCGCAAATCAACGAATCCGTTGCAGCGGCGAAATCGAAATCTCGTGGCGAAACAACACGCCTAAAGTAAGGAACAAAAACGGTTCCTTATCTGCTCGGCTAGCCCAGTCAGTGAATCCGGATCCACCATTCAGAACGTCGAAAATACGGAGGGACAGAGCTTCTCCACAATTGGTACGCTACATAACATGGAAGCAATGTACGCACAGCGGCGTTTCAGTCTGCAGGCAACCTTTGGTGACCCACATTTTTCAAAGGTGGCGCCTCTGCTCAGGCTATTCACATGCTTCACGTATTCCTCCTCACTCATATCCAGCTTTCTCTCAGCGCTAACTTTTTAAATACCCGAGGCTTCGACCTTTGGTGGCGACCTATAAATTTCTGCTCCAGAGCAGGCCACTTTTCGAGAATCTGGGTCACCACCAAAAATCGAGCTCCCGGGTACTGGACAACAATGCATTGAACACTGCTCACATACTAATCGGCCGCCGGGCAACGTCAACGCTTCGGGTAGCGGACTTCTGTCGCAGCATTTGATAGGTTAATCAGAAGTGTGTATTGAAACCTTGACTTCTTTCGGATGCCTCCTTATCGGGGCAGGATGTGTGTTATGCTGGCTTCTTTGATCTCCGGCCTATAGGATTCATCCATGGCGCTTCTATCCTATATTCGTGCACTCTGCACACCTGTAGACAAGAACCCTACGCTCTATCAGTTCCTGATTATTGCCGAGCTCTAGGCTCGAAACCATGCAAATATCGGTAACCAGATTCGACCCTTCCTCTACAATTCAACGGATATATCGCAGATACCCACGAAATACTCACCCGGCATACAATCGACCCGGAATATGAAACGTTGAAGAGGGCTGTCGGTGTTGTTACCGTCTCAATTGTAAGATACCAAGCATGATTCATTACGCCATCGCGACATTACCAACACCCCCGCATGTCTTGGCCCTGTAAACCCCTACCCATTGATCTTGCCTAAAAAGGAAGACAGGAAAGAGTGTGTGTGGGGGGGGGGGTGGGAAAGCTTCAAAGTGTGGGGTGTGATCTACCTACTGCCGAGGGAGTGCACCACCAGACGCCCCACCGCTCACCTGTGCATGGGGACTCCTGCCATAGCACAGCCGACACTCGAACCCGCAAGTTTCCATTTTCCAGCTCAGTTTGCTCTGAGAACGCCAGGCGGAGGATACCTATCTACCTGAGAGGTGGGAACGAAAGACAGGGAATCCTAACCTGCATCCAATCGACATGGACAAACTTCTACCGGGGGAAAGGAGAGAATTCATGGAACTCTGCAGCTGCTCACGTGCCTATCCACCTATTCTGATCTCCAAACTGTTGTCATACTAAACTGCCCGTGATTCGAACCACTGTAATCAGGGGCAGACGCAGTCGGGTCATCCATCAGTCTTTGACAGCCTGCAGCTGTTTTGCATCCCATCGTGGCTTGGGCGGCACACTCGTCATAACCCCTGTCAAGCAACTCCAAGAAAGCGTTAACCCTCTGGTTCCCTGCCGAGCCTCACATAGGTATGGGGTTTATTGATGGAAACATATCATAAGAGTTGTCTCTCATTATTGGAGATTATTGATCTAGCTGTAGATTAGTGCACAGTTGTAAATTAGTGCATAGCCGTAGATTAGTACATCTGTCAAGTTTCCCTGCTTTAATGCACTCGAAGCCTGAGATATCTCCTTTAAGGATTCTATCACTCGTACACTCTGCGTACATGTGCTTCGTCGTGATTGTCGCGATCACAAATATTGGGAAATGGATGGACGATGGACCATCTACATTTTGACTCCCCGAGATGGTTGGGCAAATCTCTATATAGGTGGAGTCCAAATCCCAATCCGCTAAAGCCTACCTTTCACTGTTGTTTCCAGGGGTGTGTATTCAGACAGGTTGATACCTCATCTGCAAGCAGCCACCTAGCAGCACATTCATGCCCATTGCCATAACTACACTCTCCACATGGCCAAGCCACCACAACTTTGCGATCCACACACCCCATGCCAACTTGCACAACCACACCATCACACTACTGATGCTGTCCATTTGGAAGCATTGGTGGTTTGGGTGGGCAGCATGCAGATGAAGCTATGTGTACTTTTTCAGCTACAGTGCACTCGATCCAAACCGTTAGCAACTGAGGTATAGCAAATGGAGTTCGATTATAAATAGAGCCTCTTCTCGCGTTGAAGGTTGAAGTTTGGATTCCTCCTCTACAGCAAGCCGTCAAGCTTGGATCTCTGGCACCGTATACATAACCCTTTATTCCTCCTACCTGGCGCAGGGAGTGACCATCTCAACCATCAATCACGCTACAAGGCCTGCTAGCCCAAGTCATATCCTCTTCAGATTTGATCCCTTCTGGGTGGGGAGTGAAGACTGCACAAGGTTTATATTAAGTTTTTTTTTTTTTTTTTTTTTTTTTTAGTACTTTCTTACCTTTCCTCAGTACATCATGACTTAATTGGTCACGAATATAATTTTAACCTGTCTACACGCAAACGGAATCATTACAAATTGGCATTCTGTTCCTCAAACTTCTGTCTAACCAAGTACTAAACCCTTCTAGAAACCAGCCAATGACTGATCACCAAGCTCCCAACAGTCATTGCCTCCAAGATTACTCCATTCTCCATGTCCGCTAAGGCCTACTCTACGGACAGCTCTGTAGAGGGGATTCGTACCCCTAGCTCTGGCATAATCTCCTCCTCAGACCAGGATGATGCCTTCAGCATCGAGGACGGCAGCATGCCCGTGGTGATCACTATGGCGGGCTCCAGCTTAGGGCCTCATTCTGGTTCCGACGCCCATAACTCTGGCGCCACCAACCCAGGCCTGAGCGCCACCTTTCCAATGCGTTGGGCCCTACAGAGGTACCTCGCCGAGTCCGCCATCATAGAGGGGCCGCTGTACGGACGGTTTCTCGAAGCACAGATGCAGACCGACAACAGCATCCCCAGCCCCTATGAGCGCGTCGGCTTTTACGCTACACTTGCGATGAGGGCTATCGACCAGTTTGAGGCGACGTTTCCTGACCATGTGCACGTTTGACGATGATTCCGGTGCTGGACATGGGGCCGGCTCTGGCGCTGGCAACTAATGTTTCAGGTCTGTCAGCCGCTTCGAATCATTCTGTCTCTCCTGTCAAAGCTGCAATACATGCGTCGTGAACGCTCGGAGAAAAGGGGATTTTTCACTGACTGTTGACCCGGAAATCTTATGTTACCATGCATAGGTTGGTTGTGATTTCACGGAGCTTCGGGCTCAGTTCTACCTAGGTTAATGTTGAAATAATCGGAGGCTCGGTCATATCCGGATTAATGTTGAAATAGCTTGTAATAACATTGATAGCCATCAGAGGAATAAGTTCTTACCTGCGCAAGGGGGGCTCTCGTGAGCCATATTGTACTGCTATGCTAGGAAAAGTGGCGGACACGAATGAGCGGCTCATATGTTGAATGCACAGTTCTAAAGTTAGTCAACATTACAAGTAAGCTAGTAGTACCTAGATGCCTTCTTTGTTAGATGTCTTGTCCAGTCAGCCAGTTCGGTAGGAAGGTCCAGTCCTTACAAAGCCGGCTTCTCTATTTGAAAAACTTCCGAGCCATGAAAGTGTTTTGCTCCCAACAACATGTACGCAACCATCAATATATCAGCGAACAAGCCAACCATCTACCAGGCCACCCATATACCATAGAGGCCTTGCAACGGTCGGTTATTTTAGTTATTGATTGAATGCAATGGTAATGCATGTTATGATCCACCTAGTCTTCCTTGTATGGGTTCGGATCCAGACTACGGCTTATCCTATGGATGTGAGAGACAAGCGTTCTCACACAGATTCAGGGGTACTGTGATCACCAGTTGGGTATGTGCGACTGTTTGTATTGTTGACCGAGGAACTCTTCATCCTCTATACCTACAAGAAATCTATCTGCCTTATGTGTTCGAAGTCCTCCTTTTTGATTCTTCCTTCTGCTAAGGGTGTTTTTGTTGCGATCAACAAGAGTGTCATGCAGGAAAAGCCAGGCACAAGGACCAATAAAAACGCGACGCGGCAACGGTCTTTTCTAAGCAATTGGTGCTTCCTACAAGGTAAACAAGGGGGTCGGAACATTGCGAACTGATACTCCCACTCCCTTGTCAATTACGGGTACCTAAGGTGATCTTAAGTAAGGCAGATGTGGTGCGCGTACCAACAAAGTAAAAAAACCTTTCTTTCAAAGATTCCTGACTGGGCTGACTCTGGTACGCACCAGGTGCATACCGAGGGCGTGGCGCTGTCAACCTTTATGTTTCTAAAGCTGACGCGCGCACCATGAACAGCAGTTAGCAAGCCTAAACTACAACGCACCGCCACCCCCCCCCCAATTCATCATCTCCACATGGTTGATGACAACATTACCCAGTTGTAGAAGTATATATACAACGTTCGTTGCAGTTATGGTTTCCATATCGCTTCTTCAACATCGGGTTGCACCAGCTTTTGAGACAACTCGGTCCGAAGAATTCATCATTGTTCTTGGAGGCTCATTAGCTAGCGACAAATGCCCTCACTCTCACAGGACCCTTCGTCTAAAAAAGATACGCATTCATGGTTCACCATTCAGATCTCATACAGGCACAACTGTACTGGCAACATGGGTAGGAACGACGAAAAATCAGATCAGTCATGCTCCCCCAGTGTCGGCCCTTGGAGCATCAGCGACATCATCAGCGACATCCCAATAACTGCCGACAACAATTACAATCACGTTGTTTTAGCACCAATGGACAACCTGGACTGGTTTCTCGGGCAGGATCAGTTTGAAGATGGCTTTACATATAGTCGCGTAATTGGTGACCCATCATCGCATCCATTGAAACCTGAAGAGGCATGCATAGCATTCTATCAGGGAAGAGCAGCTCATGAGGCTACAAAATTTGGCCATGCAATGCGTCCGCAGGGACCGTCGGCTCACCGAGGCGGTGAAGTAGCTGGATGTAAAACTCTCCGTCTGAACCCCGACGATTGGTCCATTGAAACCCATTTAGGCTCCGTGCTTGACTAGGTTGCTAGAGAAGTGGGTCCTGACCCCGCGCTTGTGTCTAAGCGGGACTACCGCTCTCCCACTACCGTCCAATCACGCTAGGCTTTTGAGATTTGGAGAGCGTCAACCCCCCATTGTGCAACTTTCTTCAAGTGCATTGCAATATTTGAGTTTTGGGCTGTCTCATCCCCCCGGAATAGCTACCAACGGACGATAACTCCTCTTTTGCGGATCCTTCATGTCTTAGTATATTCGGTTACAACATAAAAAGAGACTACACGACTACTTATGTTGCCATAGCATTTTCAGCATTCCGCTCGTATGCAACTGTCTTTAGACTGGACAGCGTTGTCTTTACTCGTCTGCTTTAGATTCAATTCTCACTCTCGCTACCTCTCTCAAGTTTCATGTGTCATGCGGTTTCCGCCAAGCCCCTCTACCACACGCAAATGTGCCTGTCCCGCCTTTACATCTCTCCACGAACATATACTTAAGTTCGTACGCGCCCCCATTTGTCGTTCGATCTCCCATCCTCTCACCTCCATGGAAGCCCGCGTTTTGTAGCTTCAAACCCTAACCCTCCACTCTTCACAGACCCCCGCCCCCCGATCAGCCCCTTCAACACTCCCACCTTGCACCAGCCCTACTGATCCCTCCACACCCCTCCCCCGCTGATACCTCACCCCCCACTCTCTCCGCCCCGTCAGCAACGCCCGACAGGCCTCGAGCCGCGCATATAAACACACATCCGCCCTCGCCCGAGCACTGCCAATCTCGTCATCAATCACCTCCAGCACTCCTCTCCCTTCCACGTCCCTGACCCCTACGTTAGCGCCCAGCTCGAGCAGCGTCGCAAGCGCGACTTTACGCCCCAAGCGGGCGGCAACGAGCAGCGCGGTCTCGCCTCGACGGTTGCGGGCTTCTAGGATGGGGGACGGTCCTGGAGCTGCGGGGTGAGATGATGTGTCGCTGGTATTGTTCATGTTGGGGGATGGGAAGCCTAAGGTGCTGCGGCCGACGAGGGTTTCGAGGAGGGTTTGGAGGGTCTTGGCCTTGTCGTCGTGGTGGTCGGGGATGTGCTCGACGAAGGCCATGAGGGGCGTGGTGCCGAAACGGTCGTAGTGGGTTGGGTCGACACCAACGGTGGGGTCGAGGAGGGAGTGCAGATGGCGCAGACGGGTCGAGAGGGTACCTTCGTCTGCCGTAGCGGCCGTGAAAGGGATTGGCGTTGTGATCGTTGGGCCAGGATTAGACGAGGACGGGGGTGGTCTCTGGGATGAAGTGCTCGCGGTTGTGGGAGGGGAAGTGCTGACTGTTATGTCCTTGGTGCTGAGCTTCCTTTTGAGGTTGGGTCGTTGCATATGACGGTCCATGGTCTGCGGGTTGATAATTGCTTCGGCGAGGCAGTGTAGACCATTGCGACCCTCGCTGTCTTCGATGCGCGGATTGTTGTACGAGGACCAGATTACCTCGACAAGACGAGCATGATAGGCCACAAATGAGTCGTCTTCGCTGGAGGACGGAGGTCGGCTCGTCGATCGGAACGGTCCAAGCTCTTCTCTCTGCGTGCTGACCTGAAAACCACCTGCGCGGCGAGGGGGGAGAAAGACGGACTCCGCCTTGTTTTGAGAGAGAGGGTTGAAGCCGAAGGCGTCACGGCGCGACGACAAATGTGTGTTGAACGGAACCAGGAGGGCAGCCAGGGGCTCACGGTTTCGGACAATGCTATAAGCCCGGTGGATAAACGTGCGTCCATAGACGTCGGTTTGGTGGACTATCTCGGGGCAAACTTCTCGGATGAACGCCAACAACCTTCGCAAGGGTGCTGTTGGGGTGGCAAGACCCATGAACCACTTGCTATGGAGGACATGGAGGAAGTTTTGACGCCCGGTATTGACGGCCCGCAGGACCACTTGGTCACAGCATGCAAGGATCCGGAGTAAGGTCTCTTCGTATCCTTCCAGTGCTGAAAGAAGATGCAGGACTGTATTGCCAAAGTTATCGCAAAGCCGTGTATTGGCTGGAGACGGATGTTCGACCACGAGTTTCGCACGACTGCTCAGCCCACCTCCGGGAAGAAGCCAGGAATCGGGCTCATCGGCCGTTTCCTTTGCAATGGCACACCAACATCTCCCAGCATCATGTTCAACTTGTTGCCCAGGAAAATCAGCACAACTGCGCGTGTGTGCGCTCAGAAAGTCTCCAGGTAGTGAAAACGCCGGTTCAGGAAACGCGTTGTTAACTTCTGCGTTTGGGGTGAAGTTAGAGTCCGCGACATCATCCTCGTCAAATAGGACGCTCTCGACTGTAGAGAGTCGGCGGCCGATCGAACGTTCATCATCTGAGGGTTCTGAGATGGTGAACTCCTTGATCAACGTCGATATCTGCAGAGCAAATTGAGACGAACAGTCCGATACTCGCCGTTTGATGTCTCTGACTGTTGCAACATAATCGTCGACGCTCTCTACGCTGTCAATGCTGGTCTCTCCTTGGTCCTTACAGGGAGTCGAAAATATTGTGGTGTTTGGGATGTGCTCTGGAGAGTTAGTCAAGTCGAAAGTGGCCTTTGACCTAACATCATGAGCAGGGGCCCTCTTTGAGGAGGGTTAGCTTGCATCTAGAGAACCAAACATGGGAGATCGATGGATCGGGGAACAGATGCCGACCTGCAACGGTGCAACTCTCTGAATGCCACGTGGGAGGTTTCCGGAACGGAGCTTCCGTCTATGCCGAGTGGGGGAATTGTACAGGCTGCTGATGCGTTTGCTCATCTCGAGTCGAGACTCGGGCCGAAGGTAACGTGGATCATTGTCCAACATCTTGTGAATGGTCTTCTGTGCTGAGTTTTTCCTGAGCTGGTTAGTAACTCCCAGTTTGCTGATTTTTTTTTTTTGGTTCCATTCCCATACTTGGGTGAAAACCCATCTTCTTCGAGAACTTTGATGATCTTTTCGATAGACAGGGTTGAGAAGAGATAGAGTCTGGCTAATTTGCGGGATCGTGACACCGTCCACTGGGGCGGACGCCCTATTCGAGACCCCGAGGGAGATGGTCCATTGGACAACGACCCCGGCGAGGCCATGTTGATCGGTTGAAAGGTTGCGCAGGTGGTATGTTGGATTAAACAGAACGGCAATGAGAGGATATCAGGTGGAGAAACATTGAGGTCGCTATTAGGCCCATATAATGGGTCTCCATCAGGAGCAATAACACAAGGGCGAGCTGTCTGAGACTGACCAAAGATGGTGACGGGCATAGTGTTCACAAGGAGGCAATAACGGTGCCGGAAAACTTTCCGTGTTTGCCGATCAACTCAAGTTCATCCCGATACTGCACCCCTCTTGCGTGGAATGTGTAGATATATACATGGGGAATCAAGGATGGCTACTTAAATTCCAAGCACCGCCCGGCCTAATACTCAAAGAAGTCAGGTATGGGAAAGGGGATTATTTGAAATTACCTATGAAGATCGACTGCCAACTTCCGAAGGCTCAAAAGAAGGCGCAGTGCCCATGGCGCGTGGCGTACAGACGTGCAGAGGCGGCGGCAGACTCCATAGCCACGGAGTCACAGATGAGAAGCTGCCTGTTTGGTAACGGGCATCTGTACCAAACATTTAACAACATTCCGGTACTGCACTAGGTGGAAAATATTGAACAAGAAACAACTTCACCCAACCGGGCACTGGGCCAAGAGTGCCTCTGCAAGAAACCCTGCAGAGCAAAGATGTCCGACTTCCCCGTTCCCGGGCAACATGACTTCTCGTTCTCCGTGTGGAGTGTACTAGCAGGCTCCTTGCCGCTACCAGAATCAAAGTGCAGCGCGGCGCATATGTGAGGGGTGAAACACCAAACTATGCTGTCTTGGACCAAGTGATAGTTTGGACGAGGTTTTTAGCAGTCATATGGTCCGTAGGACCCGATGATTAAGGTGAACCTGTCGGATGCATGATGGAGGAGATGGGGATTCTGCCTTGCGATGTTTCGATTCGTGCGGCACATTCATAAGAGTTACAGATCCGCAGCCCAGCTATGGATGGTTCCACGATACGTTCCCGCCCCTATGCCGTGTTCCACTTCTCTCAATCGTCTGGTCCGCAAACAAATTGGGGTAATGGTTAACTGGTTGAGGAATGAAAAGAAGCGGAATATGAGCATTAGATATTATGTCTTCTTGGCCCATGAATCCCTGCGATTCCTTCCAGACTGTTTCTACGCATATGCAATGATATTGCGCACAGAAAAACGGATACGATTCTTTAAAGCCCGTCTCTAAAGCTCGTAGAGTACATTATGCAGGATGACGAACCAGGGAGTTCGTTTGCCAGCACCTCATCAACACAATGTTGGGGTGAAATGAGCCAAAAAGCACGGGGGCGGCCGAGTGAGCTAGTCTGTCTGCTCTCAGGCTCAGTTTCGACCTTACTGACAAGTCTATGGCTTTACTTGCTGCCGATACTGTGTTTCCGGCGACTCGATAACTTGGCGACTGGAGAAATCCACACTTCGATGAAGGCGTGAGCATTACGGAGAGGCATCGTCTCTCGTTAGAGAGAGCCCCGCAGCGAATAAATGGCTCCCTGTCTAGATACCGAGATAATGCAGCCAGAGACTGTGTGGCAGAGGACGAAGGTACAAAGTGAGGGACGACTCGGATGAGCTTGGAAATCCCCAATTCTTGAAGATGTGAACCGCCAGCGCTGAGATGACGCATCAAAAGTGATATTCCATAGCTTTGGGCCCAAAGAAGAATAGGAAAATAACACGACAGCAGCTGTAAGCGCCATAATTGCAGTTTTGGGAAGCTCATGTCCTCTCTAACGATGCCGTCTAGCCGCTTATGGGGGTAAAAGCGCCGATCTGTTTGCCAGCAGGCGCTTAACTTGCTGCGAGCACGACGATTATCGCCAATTCCTTGGCCTATTGGTGATAAAAAAGGACAACAGCGACAAACATGGCTGGTCTCGGCAATGTGAGAGGGAACAGGTCGCTGGGCATCAGCCAACATTATCCTCCTGAATTGACTTCCTAGAATCAAGTGTCACCGAGACCTGTTCTGTTCACACAGAAAACCTGGTACCAAGAACAAAGAGACAACAAGCCAGATAGATGGCGGCTGTCTGTCCAGGCGCCTTGTGCTGCATGGCATCCCGAGCCTGCTGCACCTGCCGTAGGTTCTGGGTACCTTATCCAGGAGGATTCAGGTGGGAGATACAAGATGATCACGGTCCCGGGTTCCGGATGCTCGGGGGTCTTAGAGTTAAGCACTTACATTCTTTGCTTCGGTACCGAGTCTCTCCCTAAGCGCTTATGTTAATGACAGATTCTGTTTTACTTCTTTGCAGTTTGGGCATACGAAGTTGGTCCTGATCTGCTCAAGAGTGCGCCAACACAAACTGGCTTTTCAGACTGCCAATGAGGGTCCGGCAACGTTCGAACTTTGACATCCATACTCCAGGCTCCTCTCGTCGCCGGTACTTGTAAAAAGTCCCATCTCAAATAGCACACGATGGCGTTCTCATCCGGCCGGCAGATTTGCCGTGCACAGTCATCATTCACCGCTGCCCATTAACTCTTGGACTTTGCGCCAACAGCCAAAGTTTTTGCCAGGTGCTTGCAAGGCATTAGAAACAGCATGGGTTATTAATACCGATGATTCTCGGACCATATGTATGAGCTGAGAAGGTGTCGGAAAAATGCTTTGCACTTGCATCACAGGATACTTCTCCTTCTGTGAACAAAGGAGTCTGAGGCTGTGAAACACAGTGAAAGGTGTTCAGTTCCAGCCTGCTTTGCTTGACTGGCTGTACCGAGAGTTTATAGCCGCAGCTTGCTTGGTTTCCCGGCCTAGGAAGCACTGGAGATCACACTCAGGACGGTAGGTCTCGGCAACTGCCGAGCACTTTACTATCGATCTGTCTCGTTCCTGAACTTCTTGAGTTTCATCAACTCCAGTTTAGACAGCAACAAAACAGAATGACACTCTCCTAATATGCTCGACATTGACGACAACCTTTGTGAATATTCACTCAAGCATTGTGATGCGGAGCAAACGAGTCATATTGATTGGTATTTGTGGCAGGCCACTTAAGTGTCGAGGCATCTAAAAGCTGTTTATTGCTGCAGCAGGGCTGGTAACTATCACCAGGATTCACATCCTCCCCATCACTAAGGGTCTGGCATAAACAGACAATTCTATCCATAGGTAGGCAACCGATCAATTTCCTTGATTGAACGTCTGAATGCATTTGTAGGCTAACAGCAAACTCAATTCTAGCATTGCCAGCGCGAGGATGACTGAATTCACCGCTACCCTTCCAGATGCGGACTTTTCCTTGCTAACCAACCACATGTGTTGTATCTCCGCCACAGGTTAGTTAATGATGCCAAAGAACCGCAACAGTTGCTCCTCATTAACTGCAGGCTCGTGGCCAATTCCTTGGCCAAGATAGCCAACCAACTTCGTCCCATCACCATAAATATGCTGCGTCCACTGCCCAGAAGTAACTTGGCGAGTGAGCTGCAGACCCAAAACATTGGACCACTGCTTAAGAGACTCATAGGCACACTGAGGCCTGACAAGCCAGTCGTTCAGGCCGTGCGTGATCTGCATCCGCGGCCGGCGACCATTGTAACCAGGGTAGGAGTTGCGCACAAGGTTGCCCCATTCCTCGGGGGTCTTCTGAAGACCCTGAGCACAGGTTTGGTTGGGGCTGAACGGAGTAGCAGCGGGAGCACCTATAAGGGAGCAGGATGATTAGCTAACTTGCGGTCTATGCTTCCAGAGTGGCAGGCCCGACGTTTCGCAGAGTCGTTGAAAGCGTGAAGAAGAGTAAACGTTCACGATCCTCAAGCTAATACAGACCACCTCTGAGGCTGTTTGAAGAAAAGTAAGGGAACAAAGGAGAGTGGACACATACCAAGGAAGCAAGCATGAGGAACACCGGAGTAAGCCGCGCCGGCCTCGAAGACATCGGGGTACGAGCCCGCCAGCACATTGGTCATCATGCCACCAGACGAGAAGCCCATGACGTAGACGCGGTCGCGGTCGGCTCCGTACCGATCAATTGCGTAGTTTACCATGCTGACGATACCAAGAGCATCACCACCGGCACCATGAGTCAAGCTAGCGGGGTTCTGCACATCCCAGCAGTTGCTCATGTGAGGAGTGCTGGGGTAGATAAGGATGAAGCCATGTCTGTCAGCGTACTGCGGCAGCCGCGTCCCGCTGAACCACTGCTGAGCATTGCCGCCGCAAGGATGCAACTGAACATCGTTCACGTTAGCCTAGACTGACTTCTTTCACAACGGGTGACTTGCTCATGGCTTACAGCAACAATGATGGGTGGCTTGTTGGCCAGTCTGTCAGGCACATAGATGTGCATGTTGATGTTTGTAGGGTTGGACCCGAAGTTCCAAACCTGCTGGAGGGAGGCAGCGAGGCAGCTGCTCGCCATGGTGGCGAGCCCAAACAGGGACGGGAGGAGCATGATGATAGGAGGAGGTAACCGACTGATGAGGCCTTTCCAAAGAACTAGAAGTTGCCCGGCATCAAATGTTTGTCGACACTGCGATGGTTTGTCTTGCTCATGCTGAATGTCTGCCAGCTATATACACTAAGACCCCCCTTCTTCATGCCTCCCTCCGCTTTCTTCGACGAGATCCACATCTTCAAGGCAATGAAAATCGGCAAGTTGAACATCACAAGCTGTACAAAACAGAACCGGAAGTGGTTGCCAAACCTTCCCGATTTGGCGGTACTGGTCGTTATGATCTGCGGCTATGGGCGGGTAAATTGTGCAACGTAACGGTCAAGCCTTGTCAAGGGTGCGCATGTCTTGAGCTGCTCTTCGCTTCCACAGTCGGCATGTATATGATGCACACATATGCAACCCTTTTCTGGGGAAGTCGGACAACGTTCCTCAGTCGGCAGCTGGAGTCGGCAACGTGGTGGTGTAACGCTGGTTCCGAGAACCTGTCTTGGGAGGTGAAGATGTGTTCTTTATGCATGCGATCTAATGTGCTGGACCAGTCGCCGGAGATCGAGATGCAGAGCCATGTCACCGGAGTAGTATTTGTGATGTCTTTGTGAGTGCCTAAGTTTCTCAAGGCATTCCACATCAATATCAGCAATGCAACATCCATGGCAAGCAGCTATATACTTGAATGTACTGGCAAGATGAGGGGATTCAAGGTCTCAACGCTTCGGCATCAATACACGGGATGTAGGGAGCTGAACAGCTGCGGATGAACTGAAAGCGATCGGGATCCAGAAGAAATCACGAGGAATAGGTTATGTCGGATAGAATGTCACTTCTGATATCCGAGCCATGTATCTTTGCGTCTATCACGTCTGGCTGAATATGCGGCATTGGATGCTGAAGAATGCTTTCTGAGAGTTACACCTAGGTGGTCTATCACATAGTGAGTAATAGAAGCAATAAACCTACGTCCCGAGTATCATAGTGCCCTTGATGGAATCTTTGCCAGTCAGTAGTAGCACACACATTTTGTAACATGTTCAGGAGGGACAGTCGGTCCGCAGAGTGCTAAGTCTAAGGATATCAAAGGGCCGAAGGCGTCTAGCTCAGTTCAGTGGTTGCACATTTTTAGTTCGTCATCAGCTTTTTTTCGTACAGATATTAGCATAAGATTGATGACAACTCGGCTCAGTCAGTTCCCCTGTGTTGCAGTCGTCAGAACAGCGGGGATCTCGGCACGATTATCTACCAACGGCCTGCCGCCGCTTGATCAGTTGAGACCTTAACACCTTGAGGACTCCTCCAATGCTTAGGGAGTAAATAAGCGATATTATTGTAATGGCAGGAAGTTAAGGCGCATAGACCAGACTGTTTCCTAGAAAAATTGGATTTTCGGTTCCCTTGCTCGCATGTTTCGGAAGGGTAGCTACGATAAGATCCGCGTGGTTGGGTCAATTGCCACCTCATTGACGTCTCAGCTTGGCGGGTGTTGGATGACAGTGTTTCGATTGGTGAGAACGCCTGCCAACAAGTCCCACAAACAGCCCCACATAAATGTTGCTGATAAGATAAGCATGTTCGCAAAGGCGCCAGAGAAAATCTCGATTGAAGCCGCAGCAGATACAGCAACCTTCAATTGCGCCAGTGCTAGACAAGATGCCCAAGCGGAAAGTTGCAGCCCTAGAAAAGGTCGAAGCTGACCTTGTCAACCTCCAGTACAAGATAAGGAGAGATCCAAAGTGTGATGCGTCCGCCCTCCTGCTCACTCGGATTTTATTGCTAACCAAAAGGCCAGATCCTATGCCCAGGAGTTCTACGACCAGTGGTTGGCGTACGATGCTCAGCGCCAAATCTTTTTCTCATCGCCAGCAACAGCATCGTCTGAAGATATCAAGAAGTTCCATGATCTTGTCGACCTGGTTGCGCATGTCGCCGACCTCTACCCCGATATCACCGCCCCGTTTCCTGACCATCTCAAGCAACTCCTGACCCAACACCATACCACGCTCGACAAGGACCTGCGCGAGAAGGTGGTAGGAAGCCTGGTGCTGCTGCGCAGAAAAGATGTGATTGACTCCGTCAGCCTCCTAACGACGCTCTTCCCTATTCTCATCTCGTCGCCGAGCAAGTCTCTTCGCACTTTGATTTATACAAAGATCATCAGCGACCTAAGGGAATCGAATGCGAAGGCTACAAACCATAAGCTCAACCGCACTATCCAAACCGTGCTTCATAACCTCCTTACTTCCGACCGCACTTCTAGCAAAGGCCTCTGGGCATGCCGAATTACTCGCGAGCTATGGCGCCGTCAGATATGGACCGACGCCAGGCCCTGCGATGTCATGAAAGAGGCATGTCTTAGCGACAATGAAAAGGTAGTTGTTGGGGGTTGTCGGTTTTTCTTGGGTGGTGATAAGGAGAGGGAAGAACTCGAGGATGAGGAAAGCGACGAGGATATTGACCTTAAGAAGGTCAAGCACCAGAGCCTCATCAACAAGAAAACTAAAAAACGTCAAAAAGCTTACGAGAAGGCACTGGAGAAGATCAAGAAGTATGGAGGCTTGTTTACGTTTTGTTCTTTATATGGACACTGACGTCGGAGAATAGGCAAGAACGAAAGAAACACGCGCCACATCCCCTGAACTTCTCAGCTCTTCACCTCATCAATGACCCTCAAGGGTTTGCCGAGAAGCTGTTCCAGAAGCACCTGCAAAACTTAAAGAACAAGTTTACACTCGAGAACCGCCTGCTAGTACTGCAGCTCGTTACTCGTCTTGTTGGCTTGCACAAGCTTACCGTCCTCCCCCTCTACTCCTGGTTTGTGCGGTACCTTACTCCCAAGCAACTCAACGTCACGACCTTCCTAGCTTGTCTTGCTCAAGCAACGCACAATTTGGTACCACCTGATGTGATTGAGCCACTCGTTGTCAAGATCGCCAACGAGTTTGTATCTGAGGCTTCGGCGGCTGAGGTTGCGGCTGCTGGTCTCAACGCTATCCGAGAAGTGGCCATGCGGCAGCCCTTATGCATGAGCGAAACCCTTCTTCAGGACCTAGTGCTATACCAGAAGAGCAAGGACAAGGGTGTGATGATGGCAGCGAAGGGTCTGCAATCTCTGTACCGGGAGGTATACCCAGAGATGCTGCAGAAGAAGTTCCGTGGCAAGGAGGCCACGATGGGTCTTCGCGCCGGAGAGATCAAACCTCTCAAATTCGGTGAAGAAGAGGCGGCCGAGGATATCGAGGGTATCGAGCTATTGGAAAAGTACAAGGAAGAGCAGAAGAAAAAGAAGGTCGAACAAGGCGAAGGAGACGGTGAGAACAAGGATGGTGGCGAGGAGGATGAGGATGATGGATGGAACTCGTCAGAGTGGGAGGTTGCCTCCGATACAAGTGAATCATCTGGTGGTTGGATTGATGTCAGCAGTGAGTCTGAAGACGAAGGCCCAGCAAAAAAGAGACAGAGGAAGGATTCCGGGGCTGAGGAAGTCCCTGAACTTGTCGACACGTCGAAAACTAATGGCGAAGTCCAAACAAATGGCGAGGCTAAGGCCGGTAGCGAGGCTCGACCGAACGGCACAGCAGAGTCTACAGCTGAGGCTGAGGCGAGGCGCATCTCTAAGCTTGCCACTACGACTATTTTGACGCCTGCCGATTTGGCCAAGCTGAAGGAACTCCGTCAACAGGCCAAACTCGACAAAATGCTTGGCAACACCGCCAAGCGCAAGAAGGAGCTGATTGAGAAGCACATCGAAGATGGCTTGACAGCTGAGGATATTGAGCTTCCGGCACAGCTAGGCAAGAAGGCAACTAAGGAAGAGAAACTGGAACGCGCGCGCGAAAACAAGCCATCGCGCGATGAGCACAAGTCGACGCAGGCTCTGCGCAAAGCCAAGAAGGAGGCCGAAGGAAAGAGTTCAACCAACAAGGAGAAGGCGCGTAAGAAGAACTTCTTTATGACGCTTGGCAAGGCGAAGCAGAAACAGAAGAGGAGTTTGGTGGAGACAAGGAAAGCGTTGAGAGCGCACATCAAGAGGAGCAAGGCTGGAGGGAGGAGGAGGAATGGACAGTAGGTTCAAATTCCATAATTAGTTGTCTCGTTAATGGAAGTATGGCGTTGCGTTGTACAGGTGTGGGAATGGAAAATGGTATGTAATGCTCTTGTAGAGCATGTTCTTGGGTGCCCAATATCACTACTGCAAGTCGCAGCTGACAAGCGAAGCCTATCCTCTTTCCAAGACTATTCTGCTGCCGCAGTATTGCCGATGGATCCGGGATTGCACACACTCTTGACGATATGGCGCACAGAGAGCGAGGCCGTATCTTTTTGTCTGTTGATAGTCTGGTCGCCCGGCAGGACGTTATGGCGAGGGGTAGATCTATCAAATGCAGGCATTGGTTGCAGTTCAAGAGCTGTATTCCATAGCTCATGCCATACATGAAGCGTTTCTCAAGCTGTTATTGCGAGGGAACCATGTACAACCAACAACTGCAGGCAACCATTTGTTGGTCAGACTCAGCCATGGGGAGCAGCCATCGCAAGCTCTCTTGATGGCCAGTGCACAAAGATGCAATTGACAACGAAATTGATGAATTTTGTTTTTGACAAGTTCTACCAATCACAAGGAAAATAGTCCTGTGGTCTAGCGGTTAAGATTTCGCTCTTATACCCCTTGATGGGTAATGGGTATGCGACGGTCGTGGGTTCAATCCCCACCAGGACTATAAATTTTTCTAATTTTGCTAGCATGTTCCTTGAAAACACTCCTCGAAAGCAGTTCGATTCATGCGAAAAGCAATGTAGCATATTACCGAGATGTGCGAGATTGCAGGGCATGCGTATCCGAGCTTTTTGCCAGTGATCTGCTTTTTGTTGGACATGGGCAGAACATAACCCTAACCCTACGTATTTCTGGTTTGTCAGGTCTTCCTCGTCAGCCTCACTTCACTATCGCTCAGATGTTTCACTTTGGTGTCCTCTAACTACATTACTGTAGTCTCACGTATCTCGCATTTATGCATAGGTCTATGTTGGTGCAGTTGTGTATATGTTTGAATCTTTTGAGACTTCGCTTTGAAATCTCAGTTGATGCAATCCAACACTAACCCTTGTTGTTTAGAACTTCAGCTGCAGAGGTTCTTAAGGTGGTCCTTGGAAGGTGTCAACCTGCGTTATTGGCAATCAACGAGGAACATAACGAAAAGAGGTTTTTATTCCCTCTTTTTCAAGAATACTGAGTTACTTCGCGGTTCTGACGCCAATTGGATGGTCTCTTCCTATCAAGTTTTATTATAGAGTGAGAGTAATAGTGTCTGATTTGGTTTCGTTCTTCAGCTAGAGAGTACCAATGCCAAACAACTGGCTGGGTGATCCCCGAAACACATGCCTTTCAGTGTTAATGGTCGAGATAAGCACCGGATTTGGAAGTGCCGACATTTCTCATGCCTACTCATGTCTCTCTCGGAGGCCGCCAAGGTCGTAATAAGCGAGAGGATGTGGCGCAGATCACCGAGCATCCCGAAGATCAGATCATCGATGAACTGTCGTTTCAAGCTTCTGGAAGGCGGGGCCGGTTTCTATATAATACCCAGTTTTGCTGAGAGAGTTGTCAGATCAGAACAGCCGCAACAAGGCTTATCCTGACAAAAGTCCGTGTTGAGAGTACGTAGTTGACATGTTTGAGAATGGCCGTGCATCACAATAAGAGCGACAGAAGACAACCCCACAAATGCCTCTGCCATCGGTGTCGCGAATGCCGATTGTCCGATGAGGCGGTCTTGGCATGGTGCGCATCGTAAGCACCTGCGGTCAGCTGCAAAGAGTCCACTCGCAGTCAGCGGCGTAGCAAGCCATGAGAAAGAAGTATGTGTAGGTCGAAGTAATGGCCCATTTGAGCTATCTACTGTCAGTCGATATGCGAGGCACAGGTCGTCTTGGTTACCGTAGTTTGCCGGTTATAACCCAACCATAATCTGTGATAGCTTGTTTGGTGTGGCAAATGCACCTCTAAAGCCCCAAGATGTTCTTACTTGCCGTAATGAAAACGGACTCGGCTGGCTCGATCGGAGATGGAGCGATCTCCGTCTGGAACTCGGGATCGGGGACAAAGCTGGCCGCTCGCGGGAGCAAGGTTCTACCGGGTTGAGGAGAGCATCAACCATCAGGACCATCTTGTGTCCCATGAATTGTGGGGAAAAACGGCACACAGCGTTTCGTCACCAAGATTCAGAGTTCCAAGCGACGGAATGCATTTACTACTTCGTAAGCAGATCCTCATGCTAGTCGCCAGCACGTATCGCGCGCCGGAGAAGCTGTCTGAGTGGTGGCTCAAGAGAGCAGGCCAGTTTCAGATAGCCGGGTTCATGGCCCCATATCCAATCGATAATTACTCAGGGTCAAGCTGAGGCAGTGCAAAACGGCCGGATCCGATGACGAGTGCACAGCCTGTTTGTCGGCCGTGCTTCCCCGTCAGCTTGATAAATGATTGCCCAAATGTACAAACAAGAGTTAGCAGCCGGCCAGAGCTCCGCGCTCATATCAGTACCTCAGCGACCAAGAGCTCGCCTGGAACGCAAAGCAGCAGCTTCTGAAATCGCTGCCCAGGCTAAGCCGCAGCCGTAGCAGCAGCAGCCAGCTGCAGGCCACGACATCGTGGGGAGTTATAATCAGCCACTCTGACGTGCGAAGCGACAAGCAGAAGGCATCAACATTTTTAATCCTTGTAAGCCGAATGATCCTTCGCCTAGGGATGCAGTCCAAACGCTGTCCCGTCGGTTCCGCACGTGTGGGTGGCTCTTCTATGTCCCCAAACGGAAGCTACCCGTTTTGGCTTTATCTCGGAGACGGGGACCAGGACGGAGACGGGAGCGTGGATATTCCATCACCGCTGCCGAGTCCGACCTGGGGACGGTGTTTTCAGCAGCTGATATTGACAGCTAGATCCCATCAAGGAGCAAAGCTCCCCTTCACGTCAGTTTCTAGGTCGCAACAAGCTGTTACGAACGAGCAATGCTACTGATTCTCTTGGCAGTGGATTTTAGTAGTAGCCTGCTCGGTTCTCTGGGGCTGTTGGGTGAATAGTAGCCCTGGCGCTGGATTACGCGTCCCCCCCTCCCAAAGCAACACAACCCCGGTCAGCCTGCATGGGTCCTGTCCAACCGGGATTGCAGGCCGCTGAAAAGCCACGGTGCGCTTGTCACACCCCCGGCGTCAGAAAGAGAACTTGAACGCCCAACCTGTCTAACTGCTGGCTCATCCCATCCCCGCATCCGTCCGTCTCAAACGCTGCTGGTCTCTTCGATTCCCTGAACCACGCCGGGCAATCAAAACCCCCAGATCCCACTGCCAACCACCAACTGATCCCCGTCTTTTGTCCGCTTCTTGACCTCTGCAGTATTCAACTACTACCCGCAAACATTAAATACCTACCGCTGCACTTACCTGTCTATCCACGTATACACTTGTCGCTTTTTGCATATACTCGACCGAGCGCGACCAACCATCCAATCCGTTACTGCCGACCGTACGTTGCCAGCGTCGTCACCGGTTCTTCGTTGCATCCCATCGCCGCGTCACTAGGAACTCGAGTTTATCAGGCGACCGCGCATATCGAACAAGCTTGCGCGTACCGAATAGTCACGTTTTATCAGAATGTCCAGTTTGACTCCCACAAGTCAGGCCGGTCCCGATGCTAGCCTGACCGACCAGATGCTTGACCTTCTTGATCTCTCTGCCTACGATAGCCAACAGTTCGACTCGGCATCTTCGTCGCCTTTGGAAGGCCTCAAGACAACATCAGTTCCCGAGCCGACCATTCCCGAGACGACCGCTGCACCCGGCACCTTCTTATCAAGCCCACAATCGTTTCCGGCTCCCAGTCACCAGTATGACCAGTACAAGCAACAGACTGGCATCGTCCCCGGCGCGCTCGCGACCACATTTGCTGTGAACGAGAACAACCCAAATATCCCGGGATACATGGACTTCAGCGTGGATCTTCTCAGCACGACGAGTAGCGAGAGTTTCACTTTCAATTCTCCCCTCCTGGGCAGCAACCCCCAGGGCTTTTCTGACTGGCGCTCGGGTACGGCACGCAGTCCCCTCAACCGGACACTGAGCAGCCCCCATCTTGTGGAGGCTCGAGAGCAGCTTTTGGCCTCGTCACGTCCCAACGCTCCCATGGGTCGGGTATACCCCGGCATGCATCAACAGCAAGCAGCCCTGGCAAAACTGCGGGAGCAGCAGAGACAGCAGGAACAGCTGCGGAAACTCCGCGCTGCTAGCTCCGACTCGTCCGACAATACCGATCCTGTCATTCAAGAGCAGATTAACAAGATCCTCAGTGAGATGCGTAACAACCCTCTGCCCAGTCCAGAACCAGTCGGGCCGCCCATTCTTCAGGCGCCACGGCAGAAGAAGCCGGAGGCGGAGATGGATGAGGATGAGAAACTCTTAAACAGCGAGCAGGGCAAGGCTCTCTCAAGCAAGGAGCGTCGACAGCTTCGCAACAAGGTTTCTGCTCGGGCTTTCCGGTCTAGAAGAAAAGGTAAGACGGCATGAATATCTCCCCCTCCCCCGTCAGAAACTGCTGACTAATCACCTTGCGCAGAGTACATTGCTCAGCTTGAAAGTGAGGTGTCTAAGAAGCATGCCGAGAATGCCATGTTGCGCCACCAGAATAAGGCGCTCATCATGGAAAACCAGCGACTCGGTGACTTTGTTCGCCACTTACTCTCCAAGCCCGCTTTTGCTAGCGTACTCCAGGAGCTGATCGCCAACCCGGACCTGCTCCCAAAAGCCAACCCTCCGCCACCCACACCGCGGCCCCAACAGCAGCAGGCACCCCAACTCCCAAAGGATGTGAATCCGTATGCGGCACAACAACTCCAAGCTCTTCAACAACAACAGCAGGGGCTAGTCCCCATTCCTGAGGATCTGTCACTGGACTTTGCGGCTGATACTGCCGGTCTTAGCAGTCTGACAGCCCTCCCCGCCATGAACTATCAACCTCAGGTCTTCGCTGCTGTTTTCGACACCCCAGAACCGGTTATCGACACCTCCGTCTTGTCTGGCAAGTCGGGCTCCCTCTTCTTGTTCTCAAGTGACGATGAGGACTTCAGCTCTTCCAACTCCTCCGACGACAAGCTCGATATTCCTGCTATTCAGGCTTGCCCGATCGTTCCCTCATCCCCAGAGCCTTCTGAGACTACTGTTACCGGATCCGATACCAAGTCTGCCCCTGAGCCTGCTGCACCTGTTGTCACCGATGAAGAGTTTGAGAATGATCCTGCTTTTGAACTCTGGCAAGACTCGCCTTCACCGTTATCTACGTCCTCTCCAGTCGCTCCTGCTTCACCAATTGCTCCTGCTGCCGAGCTCGACATGACTGGCCTTTCGCAAGTCGACATTTTTGGCGGTATCGAGCCTGAGAAGATTCTGGCTCGGTTCGAGCTCGTTGATGCCGCTGCTTCTGGCGATGAGAGCACCTCAACTGTCGAGGAGAAGGCTGAGGACGAAATTGCTGCCGCTTTGGCCATGGCCCGTGTGAGGAGGTTGATCTCTAACCTGGAGGGAGTTGTAGCAAGGTTAGAGCTGTTGACCGTGGAATTGCAATCAGAATAGATGTGATTCAAGCGTGGATTGTGGATGTGATGCGTTTCTTGGCAGACTCTTGTTTGGGTCTGCAGTCTCTCCGCTCTTGACTCAACTTGGTACTTATTTCTTCCTTTTTTTTCCCTTGTGCATATTTGGCATGGTATCGCCTTTTGATTTCTTTTTAGGGGTTCATTGCTGGGTATCATGGGAGTTATTACAGTCAGGCGTCTTGCGGTTTGGGGGGTTGATGAACCAACGACCGAAGAGGAGAAAGGGAGGGAAGGAGGGAGGGATGAATTTGAGCTTTCTTTTCAACTAGCTATTCCTCTGGGCGGATACTTACTTACCAGTCCTGTTCTGCGCTCTTGTATTGTGTCTATGTTTGATGATGACGAGCCCGTGATTTGACATAGGGGACTTACGAATGGCTTCCGAGTTATGAGAATGAGCGGTTGAAGGAAGGGCGGGTTTTAATTTGAAAAAAGTCAAAAGATCAATCCATACTCATTTCAATGTCTCATGTGGCAGGGCGTATAACATATGCCGTCGATCGTTCTCGGGCTTTGACCTCTACTTTTACTGACATTTACTTGTGATACTTGTTGATGGCGACCGATTAGTTGCTGTTAGGTAGGTGCCTCTCTTTGCAAAACAGCTGCAGCACATTGTATGTTGGGCAAAGTGCAAACTCTTCTGGTTTTTCATCCTTCTATCGGTGTCCCTCAGACGTTAGGTGCTTATGACCGAAATCCTATTATTTTTTATCTCCCATCGAGAAGGCCTGCTACCTTAGGCCGACTGACCGAGAGACGAGAGATCAACTGTCCTTCGACACTCGGCTAAAACTTACAGGAAGAGCGGAGATCAAGCTGAAAATGACATCAAATGAATGTAAACAAACCCATCCAACTCACTGGTGGGGACTTCTTATGGACTAAGCCCACCAGCTAAGGTCTGGCTAAACTCCTCAAATCACGAGCACTGGCATAGGTACTTAGCTGGTCCTGTCTTAATGAACAGGTCAGCTTGCACAACATATGACCAAAAGCGCCCCACCAAATCCATCTGGCATTTTCATTGCGGAAGAGGTTGCAGCCCAACGAATGCTCGAGTTTTGGAGACCACGTGTCGCTGCGGTTTTGACCTGCTTCTCGACTTAGGAGAGCTGAACCACTTCCCTTGACCTCAGGATAAGAAAATGCTCGCGAGCTCGCTGACTAGAAAGTGGTGCTGCTCCATAGAGGGAGCTAGACAAAACAAAACAAAATCCAAAAAAAAAAACCTATGAAGGGTTGGTCTGGGGTAGCGGGCTAACATGACGAGGAGCTTGTGATTGAGATGAGGTAATTGAAAGATGCCGAGGGAAGAATCGGCAGCTCCGTAGCCTGGCAAGTGACTCGGGTTGCCTGCTTCGTCTGCTCCGAACCCACCGAAGAAATTCTAGAGATGAACCTTATTTTCACATGCTGCTACATAGGCATTCCGGATTGCATGCGAGCGCCAAGAGCGCATAATCCCTCATTGAAGGGCATGACAGTGAGCGAAGCGTTTAAGACGTCGATGGGCTTCTCTACCCACCTCTAGTAGAGCCCACATTCATGTCACCCAAAGATTCCAGACTCACAATCTGCGGGTCCACGATGACGTCGAAGTGGGTCCAGGCCACTTGGAGCTCGAGGGAGTCGGACTTTGGGGCTTTGTGATGACGGGTTCGACACATAGCAGGCCAGCCCTTTGTTTGGAGAGGGAGATCAACGTAGCCTGCTGCGGCATCAATAACTGTGTGGTGTTTTGGGACATCTCTCAATCCCACATGCACCAGCGACGATGCTCAGGGGATAAATAGGGCAAATGCGACTGTGCAAGTGCGGGATGCTGCCGTGTGCCATAGTCAAACAGAGGTGGCGCCCAGCTGCATGATCCACCTTGGCCCAAGTGCGGGGCACGTTGGCCGCGCAACCGTTTGTTTACGCCGCCGCCAATTGGCCCAAGGCCACCATCACAGCCCACTTCGGACTTCGTCTGGTCACCGCCCTGTCCAGGTCCCTCTGCAGATTCTCCTCTCCTCCCCCCCCCCCCTCCGAGCGCCCGTCCGATGAGCCAGTCGGATGCACTGATCGCCCCAGCCATTTTGCAGCAAAGCTGGTCGCTTGGAACAGGCGCCAACGCAGCAACGCTTTAGCATCTCCACTGCCGCCCGATTGCCCCAGTTGCTAAAAGTTTCCCAGGGGACGGGGACGGATGGAAACGGGACGCCTTCGGCCCGCTATAAACACAATCCTGCTTGCCGGTGGTCCCTTTGTGTGACTCCCTTTCATCCCGACCATGCCTGGGAAGGTCCCCAACTTGGACCTCGACCCGTCAGTTCGTGTGGATCCGACCTTCGAATGTGCCGTTGGTCTGATGGTGGACGGCATATCCACGACACCCAAGCGGATGTCCTCGTCGGCTCGAGGTGGGAGGGAAGGCATATTCAAAGCCGGCGAGGGGACATCGAGAAAACCGATGGAAGCAGCTGTTGTGGACCCGGAAACTATGCCGCAGGCCGAGACCCACGCCGACAGCATCAACGGGCTTCACGAAGCAATCGACTGTGCCTACGAGTCGCTCCATCCCCACATCGCCCAGCGAAAAGGTTCGCTCTGTGCCGAAGCCTTGGTCCAGGAAGCTGCGCGGGTTGTGCACGACAAGACCGAGAAGTACACAGCCCAGGCGAACACCGGCCGGTGCGACGATGGCCGCAGTCTCGAGCATTCCTCATTGAACACCGGCTCGCAGGACGGCCGGGAGGCTAATCGTGTCCGTCGCCATCCCCAATACCGATCCACCTCAAGCGAAGATACTGGTAGCTCACCCAATGAGCACGATGACGACGTCTTTAGTGACCGCAGTGCACAAAGCTCGCCGTGTTCTCTCGACGCCAAGTACGAGGTTACCGATAGCTGCGACAAGACCGCCACTGGTTCGCCACAGCAGCAGGATGAGCTGCTGAACTCGTCTCTGCACCGTGAGTCGTTCACCTCTTCCCCCAAGGAGTCCACGCGCAGAACGTCGGGCTATTCGGGCATCTCGGACTTGCACGCGATGACATCGTCGCCTACGCCATCGATCTCCAACGGCAGTTCGCCACTACCGTTGTCGAACAAAAAGCGCCGTACCAACGGGTTAGCAGCACGGATCACTAGCCCTGTTGCGCCGGTTCAATATTCACCTAAGGGGAAGTCCACGCCGCCAAGGTTCCGTTCACGCAAGGAAGCGCCATTGGTATTACTTCACGTAACGCTTTTGCCGCTGCGCTGGGTATGGGGGGATGTGGTGAATAACATGGATGCAATCGTGACGGCACATAATGCTAGGCTGAAGGAACGGGTGATGGCAAATCTGGAGGCGGAGGGTAAGCCGATGATTGGCAAGCTAGAGCCGTCGGATGGTCTGAAGACCCTTCGTGATGTATGGAGAGAGCTGCAGGATCGCGTGGGAGACACCGTGCTCGAGCGTGGGATTCTGATTCCGCACCCACAGAACGACTACGAAATCCTCGAAGAGCGCTTATTGGAGGCCCTCGAGCTGCCGGTTAAGCGCCGGGCGAGGATACTCGAATGCGGGCACTATCTCGGGCCGTCGAACGTAGATGACGACTCCGAAGACGACCCGGATTTTGACGATTACGATGACGACTATAGCAGGCGAGAAAAGCACGGCAAGCGACATTGGTGCAGCCTGTGTCGCAGCGAGATCAAGTTCGAGGAGCTTGGTCCCAATAAAGCATTCCGCATCAAGGTTTACGCTAGCAACGGGCTGATGAAGGCGGGTGCCTGGGAGGCTTGCTGGAAGGAAATGGAACGTGTCGATGTCGAGATCGAGCCGTTAGTGGATATCCCAATGCAGAACGAGCTCGAAAAGCTCGCTATGGCCCAGTTCGAACTTGAAGACCATCATCGGCGGGAGGAGGAGGTCGCCTTGGGCATCGGATTCGAGCAACACGCCCGAGACGCTAATGAATCCTTCCATCTGCGCTCCGACACCCCCGTCATGAACATTAGGGGCCAGTCGGCAGCGGGCCAGCTCTCTTCCGGTGAGGCGATGCCGACGCCGTCTCCGGTTTCTGTCCTCCCTGCTGCAGAGGAGCTGGCCGCTCTGCGGACCAAAACACCCATGATCGACATTTCCGGAGGGTATCGCCATCATGATGAGGAGCTCCTGCACGAGATCCATGGTGAAACAGACCTGGTAGCTCCACGGAATGAAGCCTTCAATCCTTACCAGCAACCACAGCAACGAGCCCAGTCTCGATCTCAAGCATCGTCAGCTGCGATGGTCGACTCTACTGTCTGCCGTCCTCGCTCGCAACATGCTGACGTTCACCAATCTGACCCGTATCGTCAGCCGCAGCCACCTCGGCAGCGGCCGCACTCCAGCCGGAAGATGTTTGTCCTAGACGAAAACACCTCGTTTGTGGACCTACTGATGGAGGCGTTTAAGGTGCTCCTCCGTGATCCTAAAAATGTGGCCATCATCGTTCTCTCTCTGTTTCTGGTCGTCTTGGTAAAGCAGCCCCGCAGACCTGGAAGTGGGCTGGAAGTGGTGATGCCTGGACGAGCTCCGCAAGTTATTCAAGAGCCGATGACGTCAGTGCAGAGTCAACAACAACCTCAGCAGCCGCAGGTGCAACCTGTGCCCCAGGTTCTCGATGGTCCCGGTGCTCAGATGTCCCAGCTTCCTCAAGAACAGTCGCAAGCGATGGCATTGCAGGTTCAGCCTCAGGGGCTTGAGCCGATTGTCGCAAGTTCTATTGTGGCTGAGTCTCCCTTCGATCCCCGAGTTGGTTCTGCTTCTGACCTTTCTCAAAGTCCAAAGAAGGAACGAATGCAGATTGAGGGAACGCCTTTTTCTCAGCTTAGCCAAAAGGTCCAAGCTGCGGAACTTGAGACTAATGGTAGGGCCAGAGATGCTAAGACAGTGGCTCTTGCCTCCTCCAACTCAGTGATTGATCCTCTGGTGTGTCACTGGCTGGAGCATCCTCAGTGTCTCAAGATCTCGCCTTTCGACGACTGCATTTCTTCGCCCATTAACGCCCTCAACCTGTACGACGACCACTGCTTCGACTCTGAACCGACTCTGACGATCTCGGTCTCCTCCACTGACCCGAGTGTCTTCGTTTCAGGACCTATGGTTACTGCATGTAAAACAGTCCGCATATATGAGACCGTCACAGAGACGGTGCGGGTCAGTGTGATAACGCAGACTTAAACCGCCTCAACTGTAGCGACTGCCATTCGACGAGCAGTGGAGAAGGCGAAGGTGGGGGAAAAAAAAAAAAAAGCCGTGTTTCTGCTTGGCTGTTCGAGTGTGATAGATAGATAGATGGCCGGGTTATGAGACATGAGTTCGAAGATATCCCGGGGTTATGATGGATGGAATGACTGACGAGTTGATGGGCTAGAATATGGGATATGAATGCGGATATGAACTCTTTTGTTTAACTTTTCTTGTCTCTCTCTCTCTCTCTCTCTCTCTCTCTCTTTATTTATTTATTTATTTATTTATTTAAAGAAAACTCTTATGTATGGCGGATGTTTGCTGGGGATGGCAAAGTGACCACTGGGAAGGGTTTTCTTTCGAGCAATCTAAGTAAGTATACAAGCACACACAGTAGTAGCTATCTATGAATCGCAATCAAGAACAACTATCTGTTCTGCTCTAGTAACGAGTCGAGATTGCATGGTTGCTCTTGGTTTGTCCACACATACCATCTCCCCATAGCATCATCTGTCTCGAGCTCGACACACGGAGCTCAGAAGAATTTGAGCCCGATGTTCTTTTGGTTTCACTTATTGCCACCCGGCAGCTGGCCAATCCATGACTTGCCGTCTTCGATGCGGCCCACTGAGCGATCTCCCGCGCAGAGCAGAACCGGAGGAGGTCTGAGCGTATGAGCGTCTTAAGATTGCTGTGATCAGCACAGTCTTTAGGCTGCCTTTGTTCGGAGTTCTGCATCTGAGATTCACAGCTCACAAGGGAATTGGTGCAGACGGCAGTTTGATGTAAATTTCATACAAGTCAACGAGTACTTTTTACACACGTTATAACCACACAGTCCCAGCCAGTGACCAAGGATAAATAAAAGTTTCTCTGATGTGTATGTATGGCTTGTGACGGCGTAAGACTTTTTGTCCCAGGTCGGTGCTACGGGCAGATCTCCTGCGCCGACCACCATCCACCACTACCACCACCACCACCACGAATTGGTTGCGTGAGAAACTCGCTTCTTTGATTGGGCAAAAGCAACAAGAACCCCTGGCCGAATTTGCGTCCCACTTTATTTTCGAGCACGCCAAGCCGTGAGCAGGGCCATCTCCAAAGTTTAGGATGCTCCACCACTCCACATTGCCAATCACGGACAGTGCAGCGAATCCACAGAACAGGGTAGGGGTAGTCCACCACAGCTCCAGCTCCATCGCGAGCTCCTAGTCAGGGTTCCATCAATTGCTCTCTCAGGGGCCATCGGCGAACTGATTCCAGATCTCCTTCTCGAACCCATTCGGACCCTGCAGTATTCCAGCCTGCTTGCTGGCGGCGGCACGCACATCACCTTCTGCATCGCTCATTACCTTAGCACCTTATCGTCATTGCTTGCGACCTGATTAATTGAATTGGGGTGTTTTTTTTTGTTTTCTGTTTTCTTTTTTTTCTTTTTTTCTTTTTTTTTACCTGATTCCCCACAACCACAAACAACTTCACCTCCCTTGATCTTATTCCTGTCTTTCCTTCTCGCATGCACACCATCCCAACTCTTGACTATCAAAATCCCCCAAAACTTAGGACCCAAACCCGAAACCATTGCAACAGTGCACGTTGCAGCGCGCAAGTTCCCCGCTTCGATCCCCGTGTTGTGCTCTTGGTATCCTCTCGCATCGTCAACAATCTAATCTACGGTTAATAACTTCCTCGACAACACCTCGCAAGTCGACACGCCCGAAGCATCTCCGGCAACCTCGACTAGCTTCGGATGAGGCAGTAAAGCCCGCGAGGCTCTGTGCCCAGGACGACGTCATTCGCAACATCTTAGATGATTGATTTGGATCGTGCCGGGAATCGTGGTACTGTGGTAGGTTGTTGCTGAACTATCTGCCGATGAATCCACTCTCTGCAGATATCACGACCTGATAGCATCGCAACAGTGACGTGAAAAGGTAGAACATGCAATTAACGATGATGGAACTGACATCTTCTGTTTGGCACACAGAGATCTAGATGCCTCCCTGCCGACAATGCCCTGGCAACCGCTGCCTCGCATCGCCTTTGCGGTAGCCATCTACCCTTTCGCCGCCCAGGGTCCTCAAGATCTCCCCCTCGAACTAGGCGATGAGCTCTACATCATCGAAGAGACCTCCGATGGCAACTGGCTGCGCGGGTATCTGGTCGCCCCGCCCAGCCTGCTGGCCGGCTTGACAAGCGTCAAAGGCCAAACTCTCGAGGCTCGCGTTTTCTCGGGCATTTTCCCGCGCAGCTGTGTTGAGATCCGCGAAGTCTTGGGCGAGTCCGACGAGTCCGACGAGTCCGACGCAAACTCTTCTTCTCTGACTGACGAAGATGGTGCTGCCCCCGAGCCTGGCGAGAGGGGCGTTGAGAACAAGCGCAGAAAGGCCGGCAGTAGGAAGGGAGGGAGGTCGACCAGTCCAGGACTGCTTTCAGTGCCCGTGAGGCGCGACCCAAATGCGCCGCGACCCCCTGCTCCCGTCCCCATGCTCAAGATCGGCGATGAAACACCCACGTCCGCGTCGGAGCCGCTCATTGACGAAATCGCCTCGTGTCTAAGAGAATGGCACTCCACGAACCTCCACGAGCTGCTGCTGTCGCGGCAGTATTCCAAGCTCGACACCTTGTCGCATCTGATCACGTCCCTAAACCTCGCCCGTCAGCAGTTTCTACATGATGTTCTTACAAGCTGGGAATACGAGAAACTCCGCGAGAAGACCGTCTGGGATTTGGTGAAGGTCAACAAGCTGTGTGGGGGGGAGGTTATCGTGCGCGATCCGAACGCCCGAGGTCGCGTCTTGACTGGCGACGACTCCGTGATCGAGGTCACCAAGCTGCAGTCCATCATGAGCTTGCTGGAAGAGCCGCCCACGCAGCCTGTTGAGCTTACTGCCCTGCACCACCTGCTTGTCGACATCAAAGGTTTTGCCGGCGCATCCACGGAGGCTACCACGCTGGTCTTATACCTGGCCATCAAGCCTCCGGGAGGCACTCTGAAGCCGCTTTCCGAGTGCTACATCGTCGAGATGCCCGCCGGTGGGCAGATGGGCCACCTGGCCAGGAACGCCCAGATGCGCACCCTCTTCACCGACCTGACTGCCGCTGAGATCGGCGATGTGCCCGCCAATGAGCCTGAGTTATTTCTTATCGTCAAGATTCGCGCGTCGCAACAGGTGGTCGCCGTGAAGCCGAGCTCGCGGTCCGGCTCCATCTCCCAGGCGTTGCCACAGTTCGCTAAAGATCATAAGCCCCCCTTATCTGCCGGCGCCAAATCCGTGCGTAGGAGCCTGATGTGGGCCGGCAAGACCACAAGATCCGCGTTTTCTAGGGGAAACGCTAGGCTTGATTCCCTCTCGGAGCAACCCGAGGAGACGGTCGGCTCGCCGCACACAGCAGGCGCTGAGAGCAGAGACGGCATGCCGCCCGGCACTGCCAACTCGAAGTCGGGCGGGGGGGGACGCACGTCGGTGGATGGCCATGTCGCTCAGGCGACGGCCGACCGGACCGTTGGTGTTGGCATCTTGAAGCTGAACTCGGTCATGAAACAAGCCGACGAGGTCGAGCATATCGTCACCATCTGGTCTCCCTCGGTTAGGGTACCGGAGAGGAATGAGGCAGGCGAAGAATGGGACCCCATCATTCGCGACTTGCTCGAGAGCAAGACGGGACACTATGAGAAGTCGAGAAGGGCGGAGCGCGTGCAAGTTCATCTGCGCGCGTTTAACCACCCGGATGCTGACGCGCTCATCAAGGCGACCCCAACCATGCTTGCTGGTGTCTGCAAGACGAACAAGATGGGCTTCGCCGGCGCACCGACGAAGCCACGTTCCGACATCTACCTTACGCTTGATGAGGCCGTCCTCTCCCGGCAGACTCTCCTGTCCCGAGCTGGCGGCAGCCCGACGTCGCTGCCGAACGCCGTTCACGGGACCAACCTCCAGCTGACGCTCGAGGTCCGCAGGTCAACGGGCGAGCGCGTCGAGAGCTGCATTTACCCATCGTCCAATGCCGAGCCTGCCAGCGCGTGGAAGACGGTCGTAACGGAACGCGGGGAGAAATGGCGCCAAACCATCAGGCTCTCCCTCTCCCCCTCCGACGTCTCGCAGTCGCACGTCGTCCTGCATCTCGCCGACGCTCCGAATCCCCCTTTTGCCATCGCCTTCATGCCCCTGTGGGATCGCCAGGCTTTCATCCACGATGGCGCCCACAGCTTGCTGCTCTACCGACTCGATGAAAATACCTCCAACGCTCAGCCGGGCTCCCAGGGCAGAGGTGGCTACCTGAGCCTGCCTTTCGCCGCGGCCGAGGATAAGCGGCATCACCACGGCCCAGGCAGCGAGGGCAGCGGGCCTCTGGCCATGGTGCGTGTGGATACGTACCTCTGCAGCACGAGGTTCTCGCAGGACAGGGTGGTTCTCGGGCTGCTGGCTTGGAAGGAGTCGTCTCGGGAGGGCATCCCACATCTTCTGAAGCAGTTCATTTTCGTCCCGGAGATCGAGGTTGTCAAGCTGCTCAACGACGTGTTGGATGCTTTGTTTGGCATTCTGGTCGAGTACTCGGGCAACGATGACTACGAAGACCTCGTCTTCACCGCGCTCGTGCGCGTTCTCGACATCGTGCACGACCGGCGCTTCAATCTGGCGCCGTTGGTTGACCAGTACGCCGAGACCCGGTTCAACTATCCGTTTGCCACGCTCTGCCTCGTCCGGTCCTTCATCCGGCTGCTGTCCAAGCCTACCGAGCCCGAGACCGCGAGGAAGCTTCGCTCAACCTTCAAGGTTGCGCGACATATCCTCAAGTTCATCACCCACGCACGCAGCCAGCAGAAGGCGAAAGAAGCAGGCATCGGCATCACCGGTCCGAATGCGGGCTTTACGCGCCACTTGCGCACCATCTTCAAGGCCCTCGACTCCATGATGCGCAGCAGCGCCCCGGTGTTGATCGGTAGCCAGACCCTGGCTGTCCAGCATTTCCATACCTGGCTGCCGGAGCTCACCGGGCTGTTGAGCACGGAAGAGATCCTCCATATAGCTATTGACTTCATGGACTCGTGCTCGAAGGTCAAGGGCAAGCTCATCCTCTTCAAGCTGGTGCTCATCATCAACTATGCCAGGCTCGATATCTTCTCGGGGGCCGAGCAGCGGTCGGCCCTGAGCGCTAATACGGTCAGGTGGATCGCGCCGCATTGGGGCTACACCGACGAGGTTACCGACCAGTGGAGGGACCAGGTTCGTCTCTGCTGCTCTGTGCTCGCCAGCCAGATGGACCACCTTGGTCCGGAGATCCCGGATTACATCCCCAAGATTATCGGGTCCTACCTCGCTCTGCAGAAGGCGCCCAAGAAGCCGCGCGACCGCCTCTCCCTGTTGTTCCCCACTTCTTACCGTTCCCCAGCAAGCCCATCTCGGAGCCGGCGATCTTTGACGAGGCCCTGATTGAGCTTTCGGCCATCCTGTCGGCGTTGTCTAGCTCCCCTAGCGGTATGCAGCTCGAGTTAGCCGAGGACGATCTGCACGTTATCGTCGAAAAGTGCCTGCGTGTGCACATGTCCATCCTTCAGGGGGAGGCCTTCCCCCAGAACTGGCTCAGCGTCCACATCTATCACCACAAGTCGGCCATGCGCGTACTACAATACCTAGCCAGCATCCTCCTCGACTCTTTCCTGCCTCATCCCGACGAGGCCGAGAGCTTCAACACGGAACTGTGGAAGCTCTTCTTCACAACCCTGCTCAAGCTTGTCGGCAGCCCCTCGCTCGCGCTCGAGACCTTCCCGGAGCAGAAGCGACGCGCCGTCTGGAAGATCGCGGGAGATGTCCGGGAACATGGCGCTGATTTGCTGCGCAAGACTTGGGAGGCAATCGGCTGGGAGACTACAGTCGAGGAGCGCGCGCGGTTTGGCCTGTCTAAGCTGGGTGGCTACCAGGTTCAATACGTGCCTACTCTGGTCGCTCCCATCGTGGAGCTCTGTCTCAGCGTGCACGAGGGCCTGCGTAGGATGGCCGTTGAGGTGCTCCAGACCATGATCGTCAGTGAATGGACTCTTAGCGAGGATCTGTCGGTTATCCAAACCGAGATGATCGACTGTCTGGACGCCTACTTCAAGGCGAAGCCGCTCACAGAGAGCATCCTGCAGAAGCTGTTCATCGGCGAGCTCCTCGAGCGGTTCGAGCCGTTGCGCAAGGTCGATTCGGAAGACCCGCTCTACAAGTCCCTGCGCGAACTGACCGACACCGTCGACGAGTTCTTGGATCTGCTGGTCGCCGTGCACAGTGGCGACGGCTCTGGCGAGGCGACTCATCTCATCCATCGCCTCAGGCTTATGGAGTTCCTGAGAGATATGCAGAAAGAAGAGATCTTCATCCGTTATGTGCACCAGCTAGCGAACCTGCAAGCCCAGGCCCGGAATCACACCGAAGCCGGCCTGGCGCTGAGACTCCATGCCGACCTCTACGACTGGGATCCGCTCAAGACGACACCGGCCTTGCACGAACCAGAATTCCCCGCTCAGAGCCATTTCGAGCGCAAGGAGCGCATCTACTTCGACATGATCAAGCACTTCGAGGACGGCGAGGCTTGGAGCAGCGCGCTGGCAGCGTATAAGGAGCTGCAGACGCAGTATGAGACCAATGTGTTCGACTTTGCAAAACTGGCCCGCACCGAGCGCGCCATCGCCAGCATCTACGAGCACATCGTCAAGAGCGACAAGCTGGTGCCCAAGTACTTCAAGGTTGTCTTCAAAGGTCTCGGCTTCCCGCCCAGCGTGCGCGACAAGGAATTCGTCTTCGAAGGCTCTCCCAACGAGCGCACCGCCAGCTTCACCGACCGCATGCAGGAGATGTACCCAGCTGCTCGTATCGTCACTACCGAGCATATCGACGACCTCGAAGGCCAGTTCCTTGTCATCTCCATGCTAAGCCCGCATCGTGACCCGAGCCACCAGGTCTATCAGCGCGCTCGCGTTCCTCAGATCATCAGAGACTACCTCCTGTCGGCGAACCCGCAGACCTTCTCGGTTACCGTGCGCCGCGTCACGGCCGGCCCTGTCCATGAGCATTTCACTGACAAGCTGGTGTACACGACGGCGGAGCCATTCCCGACCATCCTGCGGCGCAGCGAGGTCGTGTCCGTGCGCGAAGTACGCCTCTCCGCCGGGGAGACGGCCCTGGAGCGCATCGTGCGTAAGACGGCCGAGATGTCAAGCCTGGAGAAGAAGATTGCAGACGGAGAAGCCGGCGAGGATGCTGCCCAACTGCTGCTGGATGCCGTTGCTATTAGCGTAAACCCCGGCTCTGAAAGCAGCGTGGCTGCGTATCGTCAACTGCTGCCGGGGGCGAAGGAACGGACTAGTGGCAGCGAGCAGTTTGATCTGGAGGATCTGGAACAAGCTCCTGAGCTGAGTCCGCAGGAGAATGCCATCAAGATGGCCCTGGTGGATCATGCGATTATGCTGAAGAGGTGCTTAGCGACGGTAGCGAAGTTCGGGAGCGAGCAACTCTCGAAGAGAGTTGAGGAGCTCCAGCGATGTGAGTCCTCATCCCGCGGTTCGTATCTCGGATGCGTGAGAACAGCTCTAACTGAATATTCCGCAGATTTCGAAACCACCTATGCGCCTGAAATTGCCCTCTTCACTCCGGCCCCGGCGATCATGTCTTCTTCTACTGCAGGCTTGACATCGGGAACCCTCCGATCTTCCCCGTCAATGTCTTACCCTCAGCAATTCCAACAGCAGCCTACGCAGCAGCCTAAGAACGGCACCTCCTCTTCCCCGACGCCCGAGCACAAGCCCGCTCAATCAATCTCCTTCCTCCACGGCCGCGCCCCGCGGCTCAGCTTCCTGCACAGCAGTCGCAAGAAGGAGCACCACCATCAGAGGTCCGCCACAGCTACCAACGGTGCAGATATGAAGCACCCGCTCTATGAGACCGAAGGCAATGACACTGTCGTGTCACTCGGCGCCGCCAAGAGCGTTACCTCGTCCGTAACAGGTGCGAGCACCGCTAAGGAGGGTGCGTCAACCGGGCATCACGGCAACAGGCGTAGCTTCTTCAAGGTGACGAGCGTTCCGAACCTCACTGGTAGTAGTTCAGGCCAGGGCAATACCAATCATAATATGAATGGCGATGGCTCACACCACCACCGGATTACGGCCCAGCCGTCATCGAATGTCGGCTCGGGAGTGGCTGCCGGGATGGGGGTCACCAATGAGTGGGTTACTGATGCCGGTACCTCCTCGGTGGCGGGGACCGCGAGCTTCGAGCATCACCGCAACTACGGAATGGCGGAGAAAGACGGGGCGGTTGTTACCACTTCGAATCCCGTCAGCAGCAGTGGAGAGGGCCAGACACACGGCCATGGGCATGGGCACCACCACCATGGTAGCTCGATTGGTAGCGTGAGGAAGAGGCTGAGCCTATTGAGGCTCGGGAAGAAGAGTAGCAGGGGCGCCGGAATGTTAGGTGGGGTTGATGAAGAGTGACCTTAACCGTTTCCTGGCACCCGACTTGCTACTGCGGTAGATGCTCTCGGCATTCTCACTTTCTTCACTTCTATTCTGTGGTTGGTCTTGTTCAGGATATACCGCTTGTATTGTTTCTTGATTCATTTGTCGTATCATACCCCCTCCCCCTCACCCCCTTCCCCCCCTTCGCTTTACACATACATGATCAGAACTCCCTTGGCTGGCTTCGGGGACATAACGAGCAGTCGTTGCGCTTTTTTTTTTTTTTTCCCCTTAGCTTCTGTTCGAGGTTTATATTCTGCTATGTGTCTTTACTGCTGATATTGCTTCCCCCTTGTACACAGTTTTCTGTCCATCTCATCACTTACGGATTGATCCATCGGAGTTTTGTTTCCTTGCTTCTGTTGCATAGCTTTCTGAGGAGGGGCTTTGTTGTGTCTGTCGAACTCTCCTCGTTACAGGCGCGGCTCCATCTCTTCTGTAGTCGGTGTACCATTGTAGTGTTTAGGTAGCTCCGTACCAAGTGTCCAGGTTTTTCTTTGTCGGGTATAGACTGCGTTGAGCAGCGGTACAGTACAGGGGGTACCGGCTCAGACGAAATAGAGTAAACATGGACGACAAATGTTTGTCTGGCCCTCTTAGCGTCCAGTGAAGTTGTCGATGAGCCCCCGTGTCCACTTCACAGCAGCTATTTGTTTACTTCAGGGGTAACGTGTCTCAGGAGCGCCTGTCGCTCCATAAATTCGTGATGACGTCTATAGTCAACAGTTGGTAATCACCTGAGGTGCTTCCTGCAAGCAAATGAATGCAAGAATGACCACGGGACCGTAATATCATTTTTAATCCCGTCTCTTCGTGCATATCGTGTCATGTGTTATTTCTAATTGAGAGCATGTCTAGGGAAGCAACAGTCAGTTTTGAGAGCTTGAGTCCCGGTTGCCAAGACGACGTGCACCACAACCACAAGCTGTCGCATTTTCCCACGTAGCTGCCCCAAACATACGAAAAAAAAAAAATATAGGCACTACATGCTTTCAGGTCGCTGATTCGATTCGGGGTTCGATCAGCTTGCACCGTAGTATCCGCAATAGCTATGGACGGGGCCATCTAGCTGATGGCATCATTGGTCAATCTTCTCTAAGTGATGCCCTCAGCTAGAGCTCTGGGTTCACAACTGTTGCTAATATGACGGTAGCGAGTGTTACGCGCGTCAATTTCTTTTTTTTTTTTTTTTTTTGCTTTTTACTGATTTTCAAGAAAGATCTTCAGGAAACGTAGTCTCACGTGCATCACCGTTCAACAACGCTGTTTTCCCGCAAGAAGAAGGCGTAGAAACTGTGATGATTTTTTTTATTTTTTTTCGCCACTTTATTCATTCTTCCCACAAAACCGAGAACACAGGGAGCAGAGAGCATCAACAGTTTAGAGAAGAAAAGATATGTTGTTAGCTTCGAAGAGGCTGCCGGAGGGGGAGGGGGAATATATAACTTGTGGACGAGGGCTAGGTACTGCCACTTTCCCCTGATGTGGCAAACCAACTGGCAATTGCGTTAAAACAACTGCATCGAACACAATATGTCAGCAAGAACATCTCAATCATTCGTAGGTTCGTGGTTGCCATAATGGAATTGAGAACTTGCTGTCAGCGGCTTCGTGGAATTTCATCAGCAGGAGTTGACCCCTTTGCTTTTTGATATATAAACAGCAAACAACCAAACAAGAGGCCCTCCATTACTAACTCCCATCAACCCATCAAAAAGATCCAGCTTGTTCCAGCCCGTGGAAGCACCTAGCAATGCACATCAGCATCAAAGCGCGATATCGACTGCTAGTGGCAAGCCTGGCTGCCTGTGCCCTTGTCTTGGTTTCCTCTGGGGCGAGATGGTATCTGCGGCCAAGACAGTCACCCTCGAGTCGTGTCGACGTTCCGCCGTCAAATCCAATTCGGGGTGAATCTGCGTCCAGGGGAAAGCCGAACTCCCCCTTACGCGGAACCGATGCCTCCATTCCGACAGATGACAACAGCACCCCAAAGGGCTTCGACAACACAGATGTCAACTTTTGGAAACAGTGCCCTCACGCTTCCCTTGCCCACCCCAACTTCGACAGAGAATCTCTCCCAGCTATCCCCCAACCACGCTTCAAGTCCCCCTCTCCACAACCTACTGCCATCCAAAACCCATTTCCTCTCCTCTTCCAGGAACCACCTCCGAAACGTTGGGTACTCCGAGCCCCTCCCCCAAACAAACCGTCAACCCCTCACGTCAAGCACGACACGCCTCTGTTGATCGGCTGGACGCCCGAAGAACTTGGATGGGATGTTGTTTTACAGTGTGTTGTAAGCTGGATCGGAGCCGGATGGCCAGCCGAGGACATTTATGTGGTGGTAAACAGTAATTTTGGTCAGTGGGATCGTGGCGGGCTGCAGAGAGCGTTGGATGTGTTAGGTGCGGAGATTAAGGAGGTAAGATTCTTCAGGTGCTCTGCTGATTACCGAATAGCACTGCCTTCCAGGGAGTTCAGCCTCTTTCTGCATTGTCAACATACGCTGATTGGGAGGGATGCAGACACCAATACAACTTAGCAAATCCCAATTGCAAAATTTCTACTTGTGGTATGGCTCGATGTTGTCCGAGATTAGCTCCTGCATATGTTGACCCTAATCTTCATAGGTTCGCTCGTGACAAAGAGTGGGATCAGTTCTTCTGGACGCATCCTGACCTGCTTGTGCTGTCCAACGAGAACGAAGAGTCAGTTCGCTCAGCCTACATAAAGGCTGTTGAAATCCTACGCGAGCTCAAAAACAAGAAGCTCCGTTGGGCAAATTACTTTTTCGAATGTGACCGTATGTCCAACCTTCGACCCTTATATTCACCGCTCTCCAGCGTGACTGCTATAGCCTGGAGCTGACCATCCTCAGGTCTCGTTCTCACTAACGTTGCTGCTCTCCTCTCCATCGGCGGTTGGGATGCCGCCATACCCTCTGCCCTTGCCCATTGCGACGTGTACGCTCGCCTAGCCTGGGCCGGCTACTGGCAAGGTTCCTTTCCTGGCACTACGCCAACCGGCCTCTTCTTCGAGGTTGACAGCACCATGTATGACTTGGGAGCCCTTCTTCGGCTACCAGGGGCTCAGGCGAGGCTGGCACCACCACCAGAGAGATCGAGTGATGGGAGTGACGAGGATAATGAGGTGTACACTTCTGAGTATGTAGAGCATGTCAACGCACATGGGGAGACCTTCAAGAGACTGGTGGACATAGCAACGCGCCTACAAGACCGCAGGAGGGAGAGGGAGTCGGCCCAAAGTGAAACAGGGGAGCAAAACGGGTTCAAGAGAGGGGAGGAAATCTTGTCAGATGCAGGGCGGGCAGTGTTTACTGAGAAATGGGGGCACCTCGCAAAGATGGGTTGTGAACTCTGGAGGGCACCCATCAAGGGAGACGACGCGTGGCGCCTGGAGAAGAGCGGGAAAGAAGATGAAAGAAAGGACCGGGTGCTGGTATAGGTGGATTATTCGTGATTAAAGTTGTGTATTTGGCTCATTAAGATATGTATCATGTTGCTCTAACTTGTCTAACATTTCCCCTTTTACCGTTCCCCTTGTAAACACCTAGCCTTCCTTCAACGCCATAGCATTCCGGGAAAGTAAAAATACATTCCTCCTTTCAAATCCAGCCAAGGCATACCATGTGATGGCACATATTTACATCCATATCCTCCATCCGACCGACATCACGACAACTGCGGTTTTTCAAAGCACCAGAAAGCCAACAACAGCCAAGAACGCTGCCCAGAGTTGAGCTGTGATCCGGCCAGCCGCATTCGTCACAGGACAGCCCTCGGGCGGGTTCTTCATCCCACTGCAAAGCCGCTTCTTCAACCTCGCGTCCATGCTGTCGATGTCTGTCTCTTTCACCCTCACCCCGCACGGATCAGGCTGATACGAAGGAGACGAGATCGCCGCAGTCGCAGCGCAGATCCCAAATCCCCATTTCACTCCTGGTCCCACGGGCCACGTCTGGGAAGTGTCGACGCCGATGACTACCGAGTGGTTTTCCGCGTTGCAGGTTGCCTTGTTGGTCTGGTTAGGCTCAGTGAGCGTTGTGAGGTTGATGGACCTGCCGTCTGTCTCGAAGGGCGACAGAGTGAAGGTCACGTTGCCGCGGCGCGTGCGGAAGCGGTTAACTGCGACCTGTACTAGGTCGGCGGTCACGTTCTCGCTGCAGGATTGGTACGAGACCAGCCAGGTGAGAAGAAACCTCCGCTTTCGGCGCAGAAGCCGCTTGTCTTCGTCATCCTCGTCGGCGCTGCTGCTCGTGTAAAAGACGTCCCCCGAGAAATGCCGGTAGAGGAGGTAGGGGCTCGAATCAGAGGAGTTTGTGCTGGCGTCAAGGTCAAACCTTGTTAGGCGCAAGTCGTGCGTCCAGATGATCGTCGGCTCAGTAGTCGTTGGGTCTCCGCCGTCTAAGGGGGTAATGGTGTATGATATCGCGGGGTAGACAAATCGCGCAAGGGTAGGGTTGTGGATGGCGAAGAGGATGGGCAGCCAGCCATCAGTAGAAGAGGAGTTGAGAGCGGGAGTTGGGAGGTAGTATGTGTCGTTTCGAGGAAAGACGAGATCTATTTCAAGAGGGATCGGTTGCGCTTCGATGCTGGATGTCGTCACGGCAGTTGCTGATGTTGCGCTGACGCCCGGGAGCGCATGAGGTGCAATGGCAGCGAAAAGAAGTGCTAGTCCAGAGGGAGATATTGATTCGAAGGAATCTCGAGAAAGGCGCATCGTGAACGGATGCTGCTCGTGTGTCTCAGGCAATTAGACGTCTGATTCCTCAAGCCCCGGACTCCAAAAATTGATGATGCTCGGATTCAATCGTCGCTTTCGTATTCAACTCGTCGAGTGTCGCTCTCCGGCTTTGTGCAACAGTGAGGCCACTGAGATCTCCCCCCCGATTCGCTGTTTGCGGTCCGGACCGGACGGTGTGAGTACTTCCTGGGCTCTGCAGCGGATAACGACCGTTCGGCGTTAGCAGCGAGATCACAGAAAACCAAAGAGAGACAGAACAACTCCATCTCTCCCCCACGGATATCCACTGATATATCTAAGGCCATTCCATGAAAAATGTCACGATGTTGGGTAGTACTCAGCGATAGTCGTATCCACACCCTGTCTCCTGTTCTCATCAAACTCCGGAGAACAAACCAATGAGACAGACTCCCGACTCCACCGGCGACCCCTGACGCCTCGGCCGGACTGCCGGCTTGGCGTCGGAGCTTTAGCCCCGGCATCGGAGATGGAACATGAAATTCATGTGAATCACGTTTTAGGATATCAGGCCCGTGGGCCCGTAGCCATGTGACCGAGATGGGGCGAGTTGCACACGACCTGCGTTTCATGACAAACGCCTGGCTGACTAAGATGCTGCTGCGTCCCAAAGCAGGACTATGTCCGACAGGGGCCTATACGTGGCATTGTATAGATAATGCGAACTGCGGAACGCTCCCTTTCTTGAAAACCACTCTATCAAGGCCAGAGGGGATCGGGGGGGGGGGGGGCTGCCGCGTATTTGTCCAAGGGAGGCTTTGCGTCCGGAGTGCTGCTAAGTTGATCTTCGGAATGGTGCACAATCGGGCTGGGCAGTTGCATCTTATCTGCCACTCCTCCTACTTCTGGCCCAACTTTTAAGTTGGTTCAACAGCACCCCTCTTTCTTGTTCTTGTTTATGTTCGTGGGCTGCTGCTCCACTTAACCCCATACCAGAACTTTGCTCACTCAGCCGGACTAGAGGAACCATTGACGGCCGTCCATGCGCACACTGGAATGGAAATGCGCATTCAGCCAGTCGAGAGACGAGAGCCTTGCACTGCTCCAGTGTGAGCGGATCGTTAAACATGATGGCACCTAGTTAGCATTCACGCGTTAACATGCCTTCGGCCTTAAGCATCACATGAGGGGGTTATGCTAGAGACATACTTCTGCAGGCACGCGAGTGGATCATCTCTAAAATCCCTTCTGGGCAGTCATGAAACCTAGCCGCCCAATGGCCATCATCGCGAACCGCAAAAGATACGGTACCCTGTCGATTATTGCTGTGAAGTTTCCATGCTTCCTTCCTGAGCAGATCGATCAACAATCGAGGCTCTAGGCGACACCTCTCCAAGATAGCTGGAGGCAATGCTCGTACTGTGACTGTTGCTTTCTGGGGGTGCTTGCCCCAGGCAGCCTCAGGAAGAAGCCCATAGTCAATGCCCCAATGGCGAAAATGTCTCTGGTACCTGATGAGCAGGTCGCCATCCTGCCTCGAAAGATCAAAGTGTAGCGGCCGGTCGAGCAGCCGGGATTGTGCTACCAAAAACCCAGGTCGAATGGCATCTGGGACGAAGTAAGTTTTGAGCAGGGCCTCGACCTGGCAACGTTCGTCGGCGGCATGCTGATCGATGAGGATAAGTAAGTGATCGGGGTGGTTGTCAAAGTCGGAATGGTCATCGTCAACAACAACCTTGGCGAGGATGAACTTTTGGTCAACCTGCGCGAGTACTTCGGCTTTCTGGAGAGCATGTTTGGATATGCGGCTGACGGTTGTGATGGGCACACTGGATGCCATTTCTCGTGCTTCAACTTCCCATCCTCCTGCGCTGCATGATTCCTGGTTCAGCGTATCGGATACCTGGATAACCTGGGGTATTAAGGGCTCTGTAGGCTTGAAGATGGTACTGCGCTGTATCTTTTCCAAGGGTTTCCATTTGGGAGCCTCGGGTTCGTGTCGTGATTCCTTGGTCTTCTTCGGCAGTCGACCTTTAATGTTATTGCCTGATTTGACAGCGAACCCTGTCCTTGAGTCTATGAGTGACTTAATCTTGGTGATAGGATCGGTCCAGATAACAGCTTCTCGATAACAGCCAGGCTGAGAGGATGGGAGTTTCGTAAAGGAGCAGGCCGCAACAGGCTCGTCTTCCTCAAATGGTTTATGAAGAACGTTACCAGATCTGTCAAGTAGCCCAAGTGAACTATTCACGACTGGAAAGCTGGATGAGACTTCCGGGACCTGATTTGACTGCGCCGAGGCTTCAGGAACTGGCTGCGAAGTAAGAGCACCCTTTGTTCCGACATCTTGCAGAGCTCCTGGTTTCAACTTCGTCCAGGACGAGAAGGGAGAAGCTGATTTACTTTTAAGACCGGTTACCGAAGTGGAGGTTCGCGGTGCAACCGCCGTGACCTGTTTATGTGTTCCTGACTTGAAAGGTGGTCGGTGGCTCTCCGGTAGCGACTGACTCCGTGTGGATGCAGACGGAGAGAGATGGCGGGAGAGTGGCCCAGGAGAGTTACTCTTTGGCCTTTTCAGACGCTGGAGGGCTGCGACTGACCTCGGGCGGAAGTGGTGTTTTTTGAGAAACTCGTAGGCCATTATTTGAAGTAGATCCACGATAATCGCCACATTAGCGTGCTTTTCGTCGAAGAATTCGTCTACATCCACCGGGTCCGCGGCTGCATCCAGTCTGATATGGACAAAGAACATAGGCCATCGGTCGACGCCTCGTTTCGGCCTCAGTTCTTTCAAGGTGAACCCTTCTGTCTTGACAGGGCAACCAGCATTGACCTGAGTACTGTCCTCTATCCCAAAGCTCGAGTTCTCGAAGACTCGGTTGAATTCTTCGTACAATATGTTAGAGCTGCGGTCATTCGGCAATGGTTGTATGCCCAGGGTTATAAACTGGACACGCTTTGTGGCGGCAGGACGGAGAGAGATGCAACCCTTGACTGATATCCCTGAGGCACTGGCCCCTATAGGCACCCAGTGAGACTTTTCACCATCTTCTAGAAGTGAGGCTTGGGCCAGCAGCAGCGATGTCCGTGATATGATTGCGGGGGAAGTGAGTCGAAAGTTTTGGCTCCAATCTATCGCACCTGATGCACGCAGTACAATCGACCGACGGGCCGCGGATTCCTGGATGGTCACGGTCACATCGCTTGGCCAAGGAAGGAGGAGAGAGACGATTCGAGCCACTAACTGCTCAAAGTCCCTGGCAGATCCTAGACGCTCCAACTCGAGGGCTCTCTGCTTGACGCGAACAGGCATGGAGCCGAACAAGTCGCGTACGACAACTCGGGTACCGCTTGGTGAGGATAATATGCGCTCTTCCGGGGGGACATGCATGCTCCGAGAGACGAGTCTCGAGTTGTGAAATGTCAGAGAGTTGTGCGAACGGTAATCACGATGGTGAGAAGTAACGGTTAAGAGTGACAGAGCAGCCAACGCCGCTAGAAACTCTCCAGATCTCCCATGGCAGTCAGGCTGAGGAGGATACTTGGAAGTATCTGAGTGCCGAAAAGGGGGTCAGCTTGGGTATTGGACAGGGAGCTTATGTGGCCACATACGGTGAAGCTGGCCGAGGCCCCCATCTTCACGAAAATTGTCTGGCGCAATGCCAAGACCATTGTCTTCGACAGAACAGTTTCCACGAGCATAGTCGACCGAAATGGAGATCTTTGAGGAGCCGGCATCGAGAGAATTCTGCACCAGGCCGTAGATAACACCATTTAAAGATGTGATGACGGTCGAGGACTTGAGCTGAGCAGCTACGTCTTTGGGCAGTTGCTGGATCGACATGGCGTGAACGAACCACCCATTTCGTTGCTTCGTATAGTTGTAGTTGGCCTCTAAGTTGAAAGCTCAGGTTTGTCCCGATGTCTGGAAAAGTATCAGTCAGGCTGCTGTCGGTAAGTTCTCTCAGTGTGTGGCTGGATGAAGAAGACAAGAAAGCAGTCCACGGCGCACGGAATCATGTCAATGAGAGGCGAATCAATCAGGACATAGAATGTATGGCGTTAGCTCAGGGGTGCCTTGATCCTTATGGAAGAAGTGAAGCCAGATTATATCGTAGGGTGTAATAGATGGGAAGTGGAAGGTAACTCAAGAGGCCGAAGCTTTCTCTTGCTTCATCGAGCAATCCGCAGGTGCCTCGCCAGTGGTGAACCCGTTTGCCAAGCTGGGGCTCGGGTGCTCCAAACGGTGGATCTTGGGCGGTTGGATCCCCACAGCAGACACTCCGTAAGCTCCACTCTCGACACGTGAATGGTTTCTTTCCGTTCCCGTTGATGCTTGGGTTCCGTCGTCATGACACCCGACAACCCAAATCCCAACCAACGCCTGCGGGAACTGAGGTTGGGATTGAATTCTCACGCAACGTGCGCACGCCAGACTTTCATAAAATTTGGACGACTTGGGGTCAGCACAAAATTTCAAATTGTCTGGGGATCGAGGTTACCTGGTGTGGGCCTGGGTATTGACCGCATCCAGCCCATTGTTGCGGACTACGTACTTAAGCTGTCCGCACGTTAACTATCCAAGCATTCTTTTCTCCTACCCGCCCGTTCTACCTACCGCTCGACCGTGCTACCTGCGACTGCGGACTGCAACGGCCGCTCGCTTGATCCGCATCCATTGCCCTGGGAGCTGCTGAAACATCAGGCAGCCACACATAACAAGTTGTCTGTCCGCTTTATAACACCAGCCTGCGCGCTACTGCTTCTGGGATAGCTGGCGTCCCCGTGATTTTTTTTTTTTTTTCCCTGGGTGATCCGGTTCCCAAGTGCTGCCAGGTATCAGAGAACGTTTTTGATTTGACTTCGCCTGCCCTCCCACGCTAAAACAACAATACGCACGATACGCGCCGCCACTCGCCTGCGCAGCTAGCTCAAAGACGCCCCTTCTGATCGCTGGTTCGCCAACCTCGCTGCTTCCCCACCTCTACCTCTGCCATGACGGAATCCGCTCCTCAACCCCAGGGTACTTAGAACCTCTTCCCCTCACACTCTGTTCCCGAGTCCTTCGCAGCCCCGTTGTCTACACACCACACCATTCCCCTGAACCAGTCCCGCCGTCATGTCGCGACCATGCCGCTCCTGACAGCTTCGTTCTGGCGCCAAGACCCCTCCTCCACGTCTTTTGTCCCGTTCAACAGCGCTGATAACATGCCAGATCGACCAGGACGCCTGGGCCGTCGTCGCCCCTTCTCGTCCTTGATGAAGAAGCTAGCTAGTCTCAAGGCTGCTTCTTCCGGCGACGGGAACCGCCTTGTCAGCTCCAAGCGCGGCGCGTCCAAGAAGCGCCAAAACAACCCGTATCCCCAGTCAGGGCTTGTTGGAGTCCCTACGTCATCTCAGAACAGCCAGAGCCGTTACTCCGTGTCGTCTGGAACCAGCAGGAGGCCGTCGACTGCGGAGTCTTACGACTCTGTTGAGCGCCCAAGCGACGAACAACCTCCGCCGACCGCGGGCGCCCGCTCAATGGCATTAACAATAGCGACGGATCATGAAACTGCGCGCTCAATAGCTGCGGCTTCTCTGATTACCGGGACAACGCGGACTGCGACTTATCGCGGCGGTAGAGATAGCACTTTTTCGTCCCCAGCACCGTCCGTGCGATCCTTGACCACAACCCTGACCACCATCCAGACCACTGCACATGGCGTCACAGGGGGGCATCAGCACCAACATTCTCACCACAATTCCCAAGTCATTCAATTCAGCCAACCATTCCCTACAACTCCAGCGTCAGCCATTCCAGCACATCTCCAGCAGCCACAGCCTGCAGGCCATCCCATCACATATGCCGCTGCGACGGCCAACGGCCTGCTAACCGATAACGCGTCCATTCTGACTCTCGCCTCCTCGTCAAAGCGACGTCGTCGTCGATCTTTGGACACAGATGCTTCGACCAGGGCCCTCCCTCCCAGCTCTCTATGGGGCGGCAGTCGCGAGTCGCTGCCCTTGAGTGTCCTCAGCGCGAACCTGGACAACGTCGGGAGTCCTAACAATACCGCCCCCAACGGCGTCCCTGGCACTCCAGGCTTGCACCGCAGCGGCACACTGACTACAACCGGGGAGCGTGCCAGCATCTACTCAGCAACGGGGATCCTGGCGGCTGCTACGGCTGGCGAGCGAAGCAGTCTACATGCAAGGCAAGGTTTGAACGGCGGCGCGGATGCTGCGAGCGTCAGGAGTGGGCTTCTTGGTCATGGACGGGCTGATAGTGCCAGCGGGAGTGTGTTGGGTTTTGGCGTGGGTACGTCGGCGTCAGCGACGGCCACTAGCCCTCTAGCCACTCCCAAGGAAGGGCACAGTGCAACTGAGGATGAGGGGTCAGGACATGAATCTAGCGGCATGGGTCGGGAGGAACCAGGACGAGATGACAAAGCTTGAACAGGCAGGTCAGGATTTGGTTATTTGGAAACAGTGATACCTTTGGGTTTGCATCGGCGTTTGCGGGCTTGGGATTATTTAATTTGGGTTAGGATGGTTTTTCTGAGACTCGAGTTTTGAGAAAGTGTAAGCCATGGGGTTATCTATGTGTGTGTGTGTGTGTGTGTGTGTGTGTGGAAAGGAAGATGGTTTGCAAGATGGCAGGTTTCAGCGCGCGAGCCTGAACTTGTTCCAGCAAGTGCTTAGTTGTTAGCCCAAAGGTGAGGGCAGCGAATTGCTAGCATTAAACAACAGTTGTCAGTGTTCTGTATGCTTCAGTCCGTGCTCCTTGTTTTGGGCCCTCTGGAGCCCGACCTGCCGGAGACTGTCTGTACTCCGTGTTCATGAGTTAGCTAACTAGTTTTTTTCTTTTTTTTTTTTCCCAGTACGTCACCCATCACTGACTGAGCTAATAAACAAGGTCACGATCATAACTAATGTGGATCAAGCTTAGCCAGCCGAAACCACCATACAAGTCGGCTGCCCAAATGTAATCCAAAAACTATCCGTTAATAGTAAGGCAATGGGGTGAGATCCAGTCCGTCCACTGAAAGCTTGAAACTATCATTCCTCGAATAACTTCCCGCGGCGTCCAGATCCAACCTGCCCCTGACGCAATCGTCAAAATCAACATCCGCCCAGATAAGCCCTTCATCATCTTCCCACTGCGGACCGGCAAGGACATCGCCAAAAGGAGAGACGATTGCTGACCCACCACGCGAGAGGAAGGCTGGTTCGGGCTTGGGTGGTGTATGTGTTGAAGTTGAACTTATGACTGCTGCGGGGCGGGGTTGTAATGCCGGTCGAGGGGATGGCGTTTTATGCGGTTTTGGACCGGGCAGAACGATCTCGTTACCGTCTTCGTCGAAGATGGATTGCCGTCGACGGGCGGCTGGTGGCGGTGGGGCTTGGGAATGAGACGAACGAGGGGAGTGCGACGGACCGGGGAGTGCTATCTCGAAGCCATCTTCCGTCACAAAGGACGTGCGACGGGGCTAGGGCAGGCCGGATATGAGACTGAGGTGCCTCCTCATTTTCGTCGTGAAAAGCTGGCGAATACCGTCCGTCTGCGGCAGAGAATGTGCTTGGGGAGGTGAGCGCTGTAGGATTGCGCACGCACATGTTGGAGCTGATAACAAAACAGCGGCCTTCGATGGCGACTGTTCGGAGCAGTGACAGCCAAGCATCGCGCCCGTCGGCTGTAGGGGCGAGATAGAGGTTGATGTTTTGGGAATATAGAGCTTGACGGACCAGGGGCATGTAGTTTTCCCAGCAGATGGCGGCCGCTAAGTTGATACGGACACCGCGAATCGTTGTGCTGACGGCACGAAGAGTGGCAGGCGAGCCTTGGGCCCAGATGAGACGCTCTGATCCAGTCTGGAGGATGGGATTGATTTCAGCTATAAGTGTAGGCTGAGCAATAAGGGGGCGACTGAGGAAACTTACTGGCATAACTTTTCTCCTCTTCCCAATGATTCCCAATCGCGGACACACGTAGACTACAGCGCAGTAAAGACTTCCACCGGCTCGCTCGATCAGACCAGTAATGATGAATACTCCTGTTTCACGGGCGATTCTCTCGAGCTCCTCGCGTGTACCATCTCCCCTTTTTGCCTTTGATGGCTTCTCGCCCTCAGATCCGGGCACCACATCGCTAGGCAATTCGCGGTTGATCCAAGCCTTTCCAGCGCCAGCGCCATCACCTACAGAGTCGCCGAGGTCGACGGCATTTTGGAAATAGCGTAAATACTCGTCACGGCCTTCTGTGCTGCGCGAGCCTACAACACAGCCAAAGCTGGACCCCCGCGGATAGCCCCCAATATATGCTTCGGGCAAGAGGAGGATATCGATCTTCTTGGAGGCTGCGCGCCGCGCAATGTGTTCCAGTTGGATCAAGGTCTCAGAAGTTGTGGATTGAGTGGCGGGAGAGGCAGTCCCGAGACGGATGGTTGTGGGAGCCATGATGGTGATGGAGGGACAGAATGCAATAGCGGGTTAGGGGTAGGGGTGATGTAAGTGTAACTGTCAGCGGCAGAAAGCTGTTTGGCAAGGAGAGGTGTATCTCAACCTCCCAGATGACATGACCCAGCCTTGACTTATAGCAAAGTTAATGAACGTTCTCCTGCACGCAGGTGGTCACGACCCAAACAATGGATGCTACCCCTCATGTGATTCAGGCAACTTGCAGCAGAACCAGCATCGAGCTTCCAAACTCACCAAGCACTTGGCGTGCGGTGACGTGATGCATCCGCCAGCGGGAGTGCCAACCCCACATTCCCATCATGGCTCAGCCTAGCTCCTCTCTAAAACCTCAAAAGAAGGCTCGGGCTGTGGGACGGAGTGTGTAAGGATTTGACGCATACACGACAAGGTTGGTAGGAGCACCATCACAACTTTCTATCTTTTTACATTGTTCCCGCCACCGGGACAAGCGCCTCAAGATGAATGTGAAGCGAGCTTGACCTTCTTTCTGGCTGAAGCTTTATTCAGAATAAATGGGTTCGCCAGCTAATAACAGGGCAAAGCTAAGGGTCTGCAGTGAAACATTTGGCCAAGAGGTCTTGCATTCGCCAATGGCTGCCATTGCCCACGTTTCACGTTCCTTGGATGCTTGATCATGGAAATGGATCAGTGGCCAGGCTCCAGAGCGAGAACTCAGCCACCAGGGAGCTATTGTTGCCGCAGAGGTTATCCTGTCAATTGGCCAGCCGTGCACTGCAAAAAGCGGCCCAAGCTCCAACCATGCCAAGCCGCATTCCTTGTAGCATGGGTCCGTGGCTGGTCTGGGAACGTTTAATCGTAGCTCCACCATTTCCAGATAGAGCCCGCAGCTTTCCCCCCAATCGCGAGCCATCTCCAGCTTGGCATCAACAATCCCGATCGCATTCTCCTCCACGTCAGCCGTCACGCTCATCGCGTCCAAGGATGCGTCGAGCGCACACTCTCGGTGATCATGTCCCATCATAGCCTGCACCAATCCACGCAGCAGAACCCGTTCATCCCGCCTGCTGTCCCCCCCCCAAGACCCCGATCCCATTGACAATGGCGCTGCCCAAGGCCCTAATCAGCCCATCAACGACAGTGACAATGACAGCTCAACTGCCGACGTCGAGGCTGCCTTAGCCTCTCTTGCATCCGAGTCCATAGCTGCCGTTGAGTCTGCAAACGGAAACGCCGCGGGGCTCGCGGAGCCCGCTCCACACCAAGCCGATGTGTCCACCTTGACCGCAACGCCGGCCCCAGCTCGGAATGCGGTTCCCGATCCTGCCCCGGTTTCTGCTGCAACCGTGACCCCCGGCACAACCGGCCGGAGGGGCAAGCGTGCTGCAACTGGTACTCCTGGCTCTGCATCCAAACCACCTAAAGCTCAACGTATCTCGCGCTGCTGCGATCAATGCCATGGCAAGAGCAGCAAATGCTCAGGTTTTAAGCCGTGCAATATCTGTACGTAAACCTTGCTCTGCAGCCTTTGGCCACCGACGGCCTAGATAGCTCTTGAATCTGACCCTCTCTACAGGTACCACAAAGGGCCGGACGTGTACGTACGACCGTCCTTATACTAGGGGTATCGCAAGGACCCCTCCTCCACCCCCTGAGGACGATGATGGCACAGCTCGTAACTGGGCTCGCCCTTACAATGACAAGGGCAAGGAGCATCGCGATAAGGGTTGGGCCATGCGCTCTTGCGACCATTGTCGTACCCATCAACTTCGCTGCGAGGGCAAGCTACCTTGCGAGAGCTGCTTTAAAGAGCGCCTGCCGTGCACATACAAGCTCCGGGCACACCAAAGAGACGCCGGCGGTTCTGTTCCCCAGTTCTCCCTGGAGGCTGAGGGGCACGAGGATATGTCCCAGGCTGTGGCTGAGCGCATCGGACCTGACATTACACCGCTCCAGTTCCACATGCGATATGGAAACGAGGAAGTTCCTGCGCTGTACTTCCTCCACAAGGCCTGGCGGAGGATCGCTCAGGCTTTGGACCGTTACACTCGGCGCGCGGCCCAAAATGCCAACCAAGGGAATCAAGCTAACCCGCCCCTTCCCCCGGCCCCTTCTGCCGACCCCGAGGAGTTGGTTCTCTGTACCGGTGACCAGCCCTTCGATCTCTCAAAGCCTCACGAGTTCCCCGAGGCTCTCAGCAAGTGGTGGGAGATGCAAGAGAAATTTAGCATCGGCTGGACCGAGACCTTCCATTTCATCCATCGCCTGACTATGAAGTCATGGACAGACGTTGTCTACAAGAACTGGCGCGTCAAGGCACCCCTCGAATACAGCATCGGCCATGCGAAGGCGTCCATTGCTCTGATGACCATGGCGCTTGGTACCATGTATCTCAACGCCAAATGGCGTCCTGGCAAGAAGGATCAGGCCTGGCAGTGGATGTACACCCTTAATAATGGTGATCATCTGTTCCTGCTCACCATTCGCCTCACCGACAAGGAACCTGGGCCACCAACTCTTGAGTCGGTCCAGGCTCGTTTGCTCCAGACTTTCTATCTGCTTAATACCTGCCGCCTTAGCCAGGCTTGGTATGTCTTCGGAAATGTTGTCCACATGATTACTGCTCTCGGGCTCCACCGTCGGCGGGGAGGGAATCGCGGGCTTGGTCCAGAAATCGTGCGCCATCCGGAGTACGCCAAAATCCAATGCGAGAGGCGTACCTTTTGGTCAGCGTACATCCTAGATAAGCAAATATCCCTCATGGCTGGCAGGCCTGCCTACTTCAATCTCGATCTGGTCGACCAAGACTTGCCGGATTGTGTCAACGATGAAGATATGGGGCGAGCTGGCCCTTTTAGGCCTCACCGGGGCGACTGCTACATGGAAGCACTCGTGGAACAGGCCAAGCTGGCGAAAATCGTCGAGCAGATCATGCGCGATGTTTACACTCTCTATGAAATCCCGGAGGAGACGAGGTTGGAGCGTGCTTGGAGCCTTGGTCTACAAATCGAGCAGTGGAGAACTCAGCTTCCGTTCCTCATGTCCCAGATTAAGCCGTCGCTATTAAACTTGACCTACCGTCGGCAAGCCCTGCTCCTGCAGCTCGCCCATTGGCACGCTCAAATGCTCGCTTACCGGCCCTTCTTGACAGCCACCTATCCCTATAACCGAGAAAAGCGGCGTATCGCCGATGCTGCAATTCGCAACTGTACCGAAGCGGCTCGCGCGACCCTTTGTATGGCCCTCAACCTTGCCCGCGAGCAGGGCGAGCGTGACAAGAGCCACTTCCACACTATCCTATACGCTCATCATCTTACTTACTGTGCAGCTGCTATCGCCTTTATCCTGCCGCATGTTCGCGAGCGCCAGCGCATTATCAATGCCGACTCGCGTTATCAGAAACTGCAGAAGCCAGAAACGGACCTGCGTTTATATGAACTGGCCAACCGCGCCATCAGGGCTCTTGTCCAGGATACGAACCCTTACTCACCGGCACGTCGTTGGGCCGTGATCCTTGAGGAACTTCGCGATGAAGCCGCGATGCAAGTGCCTTTCTTGCAACAATTGCTACAGCAACAGCCACAGCAACAACTGCCCCAGCAGCCTCAACAGCACCAGGAAACGGCAGCAGCAGCAGATGAGGACTTTGGCTCGCCCAATGAGCAACTGCTGGAAGATGCGCTGCGCGCCCATTGGGAGGTTGACCTCGCACGTGAGAGCGTGGGCTTCAGTGGAGGCGCAAACCACGCCCAAAACCCTCAGGCAAACCACCCAGAAGTTATGCCCCAGATTGTGCCCCGGCATTGGGACAAGTGGAAGACAACCGACTGGTTGGATCTTGACTCTGCGGTAAGTACTTCCTCCACAGGATGCGATTCTGATGGGCGACATCATCTGGTGTAATTTGATAGGTTCCCCAGGAACTGGCTCACTGACTGCTGTGCGTCCTGTTTGCGACTCGGTTGCCCTATGCATAGGCATTTGGCCCAATTCCTGGATTCGAGAAAGGTGAACTCCCTCTCACTTTCCCGGCCCAACCTGAACAACCGCAACACTATGCAGAACCGCAGCCGCAACTGCAACTGCAACTGCATCCGCCAACACAGCCCCAACCACAGCCAACAGGAGCATTGCCGTGATATGTTCACCATGTTTTGGAAGCATTGAATGTCTTCATTTTGCCAGTTCCAGCTCTTACTATTACTATTATCCAGCAAGCATGTACAAGGAGAAAACAAACACATGAACCTTGGGCATCCATCAAGCCAACCCCCGCTATTGTGTAACCGAAGCATCGAATCGCCCATGTGACCACTCACAATGTTTTACCCCACGAACCGGTTCGCAGCCTAACTTGTGTTACACCACCTGTTCCTGGCTGTTGGGGCCTCCTTGCCCCTGGGGCTGCTGGGGCCGCTGGACTACCTGGGCGTTGTTGGTATCATTGTAATTCCTTGAGGCCAATTCAAACAGACGCTCCGTCACAGGCCCATCCCTGCTCCTAAGGTATCGCAGGAGAGCCTCTTGGTCGCCCTGTCGCGTTCTGAGTAAGAACTTGCGTTAGCATCTTGTTTGCTTCACAGAGTCATTTCCTCATCACAAGTAGCTGCTCTATCACCCTCCATATCACTTACCCTTCACCAGACAGCCTGAAAAGGGTTGTGCTGTCTGACGAATGATCTTCGATGCGATCCATGTTTTTCGCGTTCAAATAGACCTGATTGGTTCTAATGATGCTGCAAGATGCTATTGACAAGAACAGACTATGGACAAGACTTGTCCTAAATTCAGGAGTGTCTTTCGATGTGATTGCTTCTGATCAAGTTGAGCGGCTTGAAGGCAGATGGACTCGAAGAATGTGTTCGCTGTTCGACACAGATGAACAATAACGTCCACAACTGAGAAGCGTGGGATGTGTGATTTATATTCCCAAATCTGCTTCAACTTGCTATCCATCTTCGGTTATTTCCCTTCTGGCGCATTTTCGCAGGAGCCAATCAACGGCACTTGAAGCATATGACATACCTGCGCTTTTGCGCCGCTAGTATACCGCAGCAATGTTCAACATTGGGAATTCTACTCATCGTTTGGGCATTAACTGTTGAACGCTATCAATTTTAGATATTTACCAAGCCGTTGATTAGTCAGGGGCAGTTGTTCGTGTCCAAATTATCGCCCCTTACAGCAGGTGAAATAATAGGTAAAACACAAAGGAAGGCTGGCCAGCCTTATTTGACCTTGCCTACTACTATCCTGAGCTTAACTGTCTGAAGGTTAAGCGCTCGAGAACCAGATTGAGGCGTTTCGCGAAGAAAAAAAAAAAGCGCTCTATTCGCGGTTGACAGAAGAATGTCAGCAACACGCGAGGCTTTGCGCTTCTATTTCTGCGGAACTTGTCTTCTAGAAGGTTTCTCTTGGCACAGACAGGTCGACATGGCAAGTTGACCTCAAGGATATGACGATTTTAACACCACACCGTTTGGGGGAAAAAAAAATCTTCAAGATACAAGTTTCATTCTAGTTTGAACAGTCACTGACATCACTCTGAACTATTCATCTTCGTTCATAAGCGCCCTATCGAACTCCAAAAATAAAGCTAATGTTAACTGTCCATAGGATATGCTCAAGCCTTGTTACGCTTCGAGCCATCTCGGCAAGACAAGGAAATGGATTTCACCAGCCACTGAGCACGCTCTTGAACAACCTCACGACTGGGGGCCAATATTCTTAACAGGGATGTCCATTGAAAACTCCGGCTTGGAGATTCAGCATTCCATGTGCATCTGAGCAATTCAACGCCGAGGGAGTATTGCTATTCCTCTTATCTTGGCTCACTTTAAGTCAAACATTGGGTCTCAGCGAGGAGGCTATTTCAGCCCGGGCATCAGTGTGTCTCAGTGGAATTCTGCAATCAGCATGTCATTATGTCCAGCAGGTGGCAGACCACCTCCCTCTTGGTGCGAGAACTATTGTACTGTACATGGTGGCACAACAACTGCGTCGATGCGAACACCCTCAGAGTCAGCCATCTTTCCCCACGCGTCCCAGTTCCCCTCCCCTTCCTGTCTTCCTCGGGCGAACATTGCACGAGATTGGTCATCTGACAAGTCATGGCGCAAAGTTTGGACAGGTGCTGGCAGAGGCCAAGTATTACTGCATACTCGCTCGCTTCTGCCGAAGCGCTGTAGGCGGGACAGCCATCTCAAAGCCAAGTACGCGGCTTCGTTGGGGAAGCGTGTGATTTGACAACTCTCTGCAGGCCGTGGACTGTGTCTTGACAGGTGCCAATCCTCAACCAACCCACGATGAAGCTACAGCCTTCCATGACTGGCCAACATTTGGACACTTTCCATGGGATTTACAACTAGTCTTAGGATAGAATCTGAGAGAGTGTATCTCTCGCCCTGGGCTACACGCTTATTGCGGCTCATTACGTGTCCAGACTCCGTGAGGCGTTTGCTTTTGCGCCATTGCGCTGTTTCAAGGCCACCTCTGGCCCCATGACTCAGAACTGGATTTGTAAATCTGAAGGGTATTTGGAGCATGCAGTTCAGGGGGTCATTGCAAGATGTTGGGCCGCCGGGTTTGGCCCTCTTTTGCCTGATGATACGGGTCGGCTTGAACTTTGCACCGCCTGCTTGGGGGAACTTCCTGTACTCCCCTTGTTCTTCATAATGCTGACCTCACACCTTCCCACACTGCCTGTAGATCGTTATATTGGAGGGTGTATATCTGGATCAAGATGTTGGCAGAGTTAGGGCAGCACCTAGGCAAAGTGGAGATATGATGTTGCTGTCTAGGCGTGAGATGATATGAAGTGAGGGCAAAAAGGCATGGATTGAAAGAGAGCATAGGTGGAGGACTTCGAGAGATTGACCAGACCATGGAAAGGGCAACACCCTCCATTGCTTCCTGGGAGGGATCTTATCCAAACTCAGCTGGCATTCATCACCTTCCCCCACCTTCCTTCAGCCTTATGGGCATTCAGATTTTATCACCAACATCCGTCTGCTGTGCCCATTCCGTCATTGTGTGCTGGAATAAGACTAACCTGCAGCTGGACCAGCACGGCACACACTAGTGATGCAAAATGCGAGTAACTGCAGATCCAAGGAACATGCAAGTCACGTATCACCACGAGGAACCTGCATGCTCGTTACTCCAAAGAACGATACTGCCTATCATGGATACCTTTACAACTCCTACGCCTAGTTTTATCACCCAGACCTTTGCCTTTTCCAGCTCTACAAATGACATGCATATGCATCTCAATGCGGAGACCACCATAATGTGAGCAGGATTTCGTGGTACTCCTTCGGACGACAGGACATGCCGGAAACTCGGTCACTTTTGAAGCTCTGAATGGGCAGGTAACACCAACAATACGTATTGAACTACCTTTTGCGCAATTGCGCAAAAGAACTACAAGAAAGCAATAGAAAGTTTGCGCCTAGAGCGGCTCATCTACTTGCGCAAATGGCATGTTCGGTTAGTGAAAGTGATGATGGGCCTTCAAATATATAGAGATCCTTTCCTTCCCCCCAGTGCTGTATGATAGTTCCATGTTAACGCAACGGCTTACCAGCTCCTACAAATTTTTCTTGTCTCCATTCTTTTGCCCTTTTAGTATTTTCCAGCACCCGTTATCTGAGGCGGCCATTGCTTAGCTTCATCTGGCCTTCTTGGCTGGGTACGCAATAACATCCGAACATCTCTCTCATACTTGAGCCCATTTTTTTAACAAAAACATTTGTGAGCCAGTGCCTCATGACTAAGGATTCAAGAACTTTCAACTAGTGTCAGTCGACACCTAGATCTACACAGTCATCCTAACACCACATGGCACCGCCATCAATCATTCCAGGCACCACAAAAGCCCCTGGTAGTTGCGTCACTGAAAGTTTTCTCGATCGCCAGAAGGAGGAAATTCTTGAGCAATCTATGGCTCGATTTCTTGGACGCGTTGAAAAATGTCTTAACAAAACAATCGCGGAAAAGCGCCGGCGGGAGAGGCATGATGAAGGTGAAAGTGCTGCTGGATATCAGAGTGCTGCGCACGAGAAAGCCATCAGGAAGAAGCGTGTCAAGAAAAGTGAAGGGCCTCGGTTTGCGTGCCCCTTTGCGAAGCGCTATCCAGAAAAGTATGGGTCTGTGAGGACATGCCTCGGACCTGGATGGATGGATGTTCATCGTGTAAAGTAAGTATCCTACCAGAGTATCTTAGCTGTGTCCCGTGGTGGATGATCTAATATCTTAAGGGAACACCTCTACCGCCGACATTCACTCACAGGGCTGGTTTGTGTTCGCTGTTTCGAGGTCTTCGACAACAGGAAGGACCTCAGAGCTCACCACCGTGATCAGCCATGTGAAGTCTGTGAACTCGATACTGAACAAGGCTTCATTACCGATGAACAGGAGGACAAGCTTCGAACGAGAGCTAAAAATGGCCAGTCCGAAGAACACAAGTGGAAAGAAATGTATCGTATCATCTTTCCTGGAGCAGATGTTCCATCTCCTTGTAAGTCTTGGATCTCATTCAGTCAATGATTGGACTTGGGATTGACCGGTGTACAGACTACCAAGATCCCGAGCCTGAGTTCGCGTCTCCCCAGAGGCCTGTTGCCTCTGAACTTAAGCGAGCATCTTCAACCACATCGGTGGACACCAATCTGCCTCCTTTGGATTCCGGCGCAGAGAATTTGCAATCTTATGAGGAAATGGCGAATATTATTCTCACTGAGCTACCAAAAATCATCAAACCCTGGTTCAAACAATGGATTGATGAGCGCTTCCAAGATCTTCATGAATCAGCAATCCATAAGATGGACGAAATTACGAGCTTAACGGTGGCTCGTCTTTTCCGCACACACAGATACCGAACTTCTCAGGCTACCATGGGGAACGCAAGCTCTGCAGCAGAGGTGATCCCTTCAACAACTCAACCACTGCAAATGCCAACTGCATCAGTTCCTGAATTGCCTGATCTGGATTCTTTCGTCAGAAAGCTCCAGTCTGACAGCAGGTTTACCGATCTGGCTCATGAAATGCAAAACAACTGGGATCAGTGGTTTTCCAATGACATGGACAGCGCTTTTGTCTATGATACTCACGTAAAACCTGTCGCTTCAGGATTTGCGTGCGATCAGGACTCCGCTTATTTCACGTTGCCTTCCAACGCTGGGACAAACGCCTATCTTCCAAACCAACTCCGTTAATGAAGAGTCGCTGTGTCTTGATCTCTGATAACTTCGGACGATGAGCACCAAAACGAAGAAGATGACGGCTGGTGGGCACAGATTGCAGATCTCCTTGTAACCAACACTCTCTCACTGAACTTTTACTCTCTCTCGTTCCTTTCAATTCTTCATTTTTCTCTCATCTTCACGGATTTTTTTTGTAGGAAAATTTTGAAGCTCGATGTTTGTTTATTTCTCGCATTTCGTCATCATCGATCGCTTTCTACATGAACTTGACCTTGGCCAATTTCTTCGGGGATTTGGTCCTGTTTTGGACGAATGTCAGTTTGGCAATTACTCCTTGAGTAGATAGTTTGAGAAATACGACCAATGTCACCGTCATGTTAATGCTGTTGGAATTTCCCTGTAATATATTAAACCTACACGACCAAAAACGACTAGTCAGTCATCTGACTTTTGATGCGTCTATCTGTGTGTGGAAGTGTGGCAGACTTGTTCTATAACAAGTATGAGATTGAAACCCTAACCCTGAGCACAATTGATATGGCAAGTGCTGACGAATCATACGGTTGCAGTGGGCTCCATCCGACAACAAGGTTCCCCCAACGTCGTCATTGCATGAACGAAATGTGGCTGCTATATCCGCTTCCCATTCATGGCTGAGAGCTCATCAGTGTCGCGTTCCAGGAGCCCATCCTCTCTCCTAATGTCTATAATAACAAACTAGACCCCTTTTCTGAATGAGTTGATCCACATAACAGAGCGACAGCACATGATTAAAATGCGATCATGGCGCTAACGGTTCGTCTATTAATCTCCCCAGAGCGTGCGAGGATATGTCTCGGCTAACCTCCCTCGCTCGTCCAGTGGAGGTCCTTCGACTTCTTCGATGCAACCCAGGTCAAAATCACCGACGATGACACACGCACGTTTTTTGAGAGCAATGAGATATCATCGGCATGTTCTGGGTCTGACAATTTGTTCTTGGGCGGTTATGACGGTCAAGTGCGCATCGTCGGCTCCAGTTGGAAGGTTGTTCGCAGCTTTCCTGCCTACGACAGCGGGCCTATCACCCACATGTGCCAGATCGAGGGAACAAGCCTCCTAGTCACAGTGGCTGTATGTGCACTGTTTCACTTTAATAATAATATAATGCTGTTGTTTGGGTGAGATGCGGAGAGCTAATGGCAGCTGCTTTGTTAGGAAGAACCGGGCATAACAGGGGATTCAGTCAACCAACCGGTACTCAAAGTATGGGCACTCGACAAGCCTGTCAAGATCAAGAACATCGACATACCAACATGCCTAAGCACTGTGGTGATTAACAATGGCAAGAAGCCGTTCCCAGTAGGTGGTCAACACGGCGTGGACACGCTACCGTCAGTGTGACTAACTCAAACATCGCTCCTCTCAGATATCTGCTATTGCGGCCACCGAAGACCTGGCACAGATTGCTGTAGGCTTTGCTAATGGCGCAGTCACCCTCATTCGTGGTGATCTGATTAACGACCGCGGCACACGACAGCGCACTATTTTCGAGTCAGACGAACCCATCACTGGGGTCGAGCTCCATGTCGAGGGAGTGCTGACCACCTTATTTGTTGCCACAACATCGCGCATATTGAAGCTGATTATCTCGGGAAAGGGTCAAAGCCAACAGCCCAAGACAGTCGAGGACGCGGGCTGCGGCGTAGGCTGCATGGCGGTGGACAAGCGGGCGGGTCGGATAATTGTGGCCAGAGAGGATGCTATCTACTGGTACACATTAGACGGGAGAGGGCCACCGACAGCGTACGAAGGTCAGAAGAAGCTGATTGCAGTCTACCAGGATTACATTGCCTTGGTGTCGCCGCCTACACCAACAGGGGATACTGATGTTATACGAAGGAGATTTTGGGGTGCTGGTGCTGATAACATCTACACCTTTACCTTGATCCATCCTGACCTGAGAATCATTGCTCACAGCGAAACCGTCTTGTCAGATGTGAAGCACATCTTCCAGTTGTGGGGTGACCTGTATATTCTCACTCAAGACGGCAAGGTTTGTTTCTCGGTCAGGACATGTCTTGACACGGTAACTGACCGCGATGGCTAGGTACTCCGATACCATGAAAAGCCTTTGCAGAAGCGACTTGACATGCTGTATCAGCGCAACCTTTATACTCTTGCCGTTGACCTCGCCCAGAGATGTGGGATGGAAGCACAACAGCAGAACATCATATTCCGCAAATATGGAGACTATCTCTATCAGAAGGGGAATTACGATGAAGCTATGACCCAGTATATCAAAGCGATCGACAGCACAGAGCCATCCCAGGTCATCCGGAAGTTCCTTGACACACAAAGGATACACAACCTCATTGAATACTTAGAAGAACTCCACGAGCGCCACAAAGCGACATCTGACCATACCACTCTACTTTTGAACTGTTATGCAAAACTCAAGGATATCGACAAGTTAGAAAACTTCATCAAGTCTCCGGGCGATCTGAAATTCGATCTAGACACGGCCATCTCTATGTGTCGGCAGGGTGGCTACCATGAACAGGCAGCCTACCTAGCGAAGAAGCACAATGAGCATAATCTGGTCGTGGACATTCTCATTGAGGACTCCAAGTCATACGAGCAAGCGCTGGACTACATATGGCATCTAGACCCGGAAGCGGTATGTTCTGCAACCTCAGGGCGTGTTGCTTGATGCTGACTTTCTCAGGCTTATTCCTCGCTCATGAAGTATGCTCGTGTTCTCATCGAGCACTGTCCAAAAGATGCTACACAGCTATTCATCGACTACTACACAGGCAAGTACAGGCCAAAAGTCGATGTTCAAGCGACAATTGGTACTTTCCCTGTCACCAATGGGGGATTTGTTACCGGCGCCGCCACTGCCGTCCAGAGCCTTGGTCACCTGTTACCTCTACCATACATGTCAGGAGCATCAGGACAACAGCAAACACAGGCCAAGTCAGCAGCTGATGATGCCACGGCAAAACAAGAGGTACCTGCGCCCAAGTATTTCCCACCTCGCCCTCGAACAGCCTTTTCCTCGTTTATAGACCACCCCGACGAGTTCATCGTTTTCCTCGAGGCTTGCCTGAAAGACGACAATGTCTTGCCCGAGGATAAGAAGGACATTTGCACCACCCTCTTTGAGATGTACTTGCACAAGGCCAACGAAAAGAACAAGGGCGAGCAACACCGCGAGGAATGGGAAGCGCGCGCCAAAGCCCTGATCGAAAACAACAAGACTGCAGCCGCTACATCAACCAAGGACATCAAGCCAGCCATCGAAAGCTCCAACGTCCTTCTCCTCTCTCACCTTTCCTCCTTCCCCGCGGGCACCACCCTCGTTAAGGAACAATCAGGCCTTCTCTTCGACATCTTCCGTTCCTATACCTCCGCGCGGGACACACGTGGTGCTCTCAAAGCCCTGCACAAATACGGCCCACAAGAGCCCCAGCTCTACCCGGCTGCTCTTGCCTACCTTACCTCTTCGCCACAGATACTTGCTGAGGCAGGAGATGACGAGATCGCAGCCATCCTGGACCGCATCGATCGCGACGGGTTGATGGCGCCGCTCCAGGTAGTACAGACCCTTGCGCAGGGCGGTGTGGCTACTATGGGTATGCTGAAGCCGTACCTGCGAAGGAGGGTCGAGCGGGAAAGAAAGGAGGCGGCAGAGAATCGACGGGTGGCGGGTCAGTTCAAAGAGGAAACTGAGCTGAGAAGAAAGGAGATGTTGGATTTGCAGACGAAGCCGGCTATTTTCCAAGCAGTGCGGTGTGCTCAGTGCGGAGGAGGCTTGGAGTTGCCTGTGGTGCACTTTTTGTGCAAGCACTCGTTTCATAGGCGGTGTTTGTCCTCGTCTAGTACGGCGGCCGCCGAGGAGTACCAGTGGGGAGCTAGTGAGGAAGACGAGACCCGGGTCGGGGAGTGTCCGGTTTGTGCAAGAGATAATGCCACGATTCGGGCGCTCAAGAAGAGCCAGGAGGAGAACGCGACCAGGCATGAACTGTTCAAGGATGATCTGGAGAGGAGCGAGGACCGGTTCAAGACCGTCGCTGAGTGGTTTGGACGTGGGGTGATGTCAGTCTCGGGTGGGGATTGATACCTGCGGTTGTGTTGGAATCGGATTAAAGAATTAGGAACGTAGTCGGGAATAATGTGTCCGTCTATGGTCTATCTCTAGTATTTTGTCTAATGCCTTGCGTCGAGTCGGATATGAAGACATCGCAGGACCACTGGATGAAATGAAGGCAGCTTCTCTATCCAATCGCATGATGTTGTCGTCACATAATTACTTGCTGAGCCACATACCCAGCTTGCTCTCCTGGATGGCCCTGACAACCTCCTCAGACAACGAGCGCTCTTTCTGCCCTTCAACAGGCTCGGGAATGCCAAACATACGGTTCAGCCACATGCCGACTTGCTCAACATCGAAAGCATCCGATAAAGGTGCTTCGCTGACCGCCTTAGACAAGACGGCACGCCAGTCACTGATGTGGTGCAGCCGCTCTTTGGCCAGGACCTGACTGAGGGGAGAAGGATCTGTCATGTTAAAGGGGTCATCAGAGAGAGACAGGTATACAGATTGGATCTCGCCGTGGCGGACCGTGATACGGCCTTGAAACTGTGAAACGGTTAGGGAATAACCCGAGCACGGGGTACTGGCAGAGCCGAATTTAGGACACGCACATCATGGGGGAGTTGTGCAAGGAGAGATGGGGGCCGGTCGCGGGGGTCATCTTCAGTCGGATGGGTTGAGAAGGTGAAAAGGGGGGTTTGTCCAAAGATCCACTCTGGGTCCTGTGTTGGGTGTCAGTAGACGGACATCCACATGGAAAATAAGGGACAAGACTCACTGTCAACTCTCTCACACCCTTATTGATTCCCTCTGTTGCCAATGCTTCCTCCTCCCTAATAACTAGAACCTCCTTTCCTCCATCCTCCACTCCATACATATCACAAAACTCATCAACCACTGCATCCACAAACTCCTCAGTCCCAACATTAACATTCCGAATCGGACTCCTCACGCTCTCGACGCCCCTAGCCTTAATAAAACCCTCCGCTGGAGACCTCAGTAGCGCCGACACACTTCCCAAGTTCGGCGAACTCAGCAAGCACGTCCCATGATGCAGTGCTCGTGTCCGTGTGAGCTTGTACGCCGACCCAGAGATTTTGAACATGCCACCACTAGGCGAAAGTATGTCCACGACGATATCGTGCCGTTCGTTGACTCGCACCCCACCGCCAGGCCGACTGCCGCACGTTCGATGCGGAACACCCAGCTTCCTTAGTGCGCGCGCAACCATCTCCGCATGGCGATCGCGGTCGAAGACTGCTGGCGGGCAGATCACTGAGTAGTTTGTGTTGCCTTTGTCGTGGAAGACGGTGCCCCCTCCTGAGCGGCGGCGAACTAACGCTATGGGCTGTTTTTTATCCTGTGACTCTGAGGTCGGCAGGCCATCACGAAGAAGACGGAGATTTACTTCTAGCCATGGATTTTGGTTGCGGCCGATGACGATGCTGGGGCGGTTTGTGTAAAGGAAGAGGATGGTTGAGTCGGGTGGGGAAGACTGGAGGAGGTGGTGCTCAATAGAGAGGTTGACGTAAGGATCGGAAGAGGCAGACCGGTATATTTGGAAGGGACGGATTAGATTTTGGGTGAAATAGCGTGTCTGATTGAAATATTGTGGCCAATTTAGTCTTTCTGTTTGTAAGAGGGCTCTATGCGGTGATGTAAGTGGTATAACTGTGGAAGATGAAGGTGAGAATGAGAGTAATGCTGAAGACGGGAGGGACGAGAAAGCGCGCCCTTGGCTAAGGCGCGTTATCGAGGACATCGGCTTGATTAGAGGAATTTACGGTGTTAAGACAGTATTTTTAAAACGTTTTAACTTCTATCACTCGATTCTGATGAGAGTTCTCCTGTTTTTCAGCAGCATGAGCTGGGTTTTGACCACGAGCTTGGGACTGAATCGAAGTTTGTGGTTGATGCCAAGAGCATGAGATCCACAGCTGGGCGGATCGACGTTGTGGAACATGGTCCCTGGACTGCCCCGCTGGGCTTTGCCAAGACCTCGTCCGATGACCCACATTTTCATCACGGCCTGGACAGCGTCCCACAGCAGCCCCCTGTCATGACTGCGGGGTGCCGATGACGGCGCTGGAGGGGTCTGGGTGTTTCCTTTTCCAGAATTTTAAGCAGCGGACATCGTGCCACTCGGGCCGTCATCGATTGGTGACTCGAAAAACTCTACTGTTTCCAAAGCTTCTTCCAGGTCGAAGAAAGCTTCTCTTTCCTCCCGTCTGTCCTGGACTTTAGTCGCAGCACCAATTCGTCGTCAATTAGCTGTCCATCATGTCGACCTTTGGCGAGTACTTCCGTGTGACCACGTATGCCCATGTCTCCTAAACCTCGTCATCGTCCTTTCTATCGGCACCTCTAACTATTCTCTCAGCTATGGCGAGTCGCACTGTCGCTCCGTCGGCTGCATTGTCGATGGCTGCCCGCCGGGCATGGAGCTCACCGAGGCCGATATCCAGCCGCAGATGAACCGTCGCCGGCCCGGTCAGAGCAGCATCACCACTCCGCGCAACGAGAAGGATCGCGTCATGATCCAGAGCGGCACCGAGTTCGGCGTCACCCTTGGCACACCCATCGGCATGATGGTGCTGAACGAGGACCAGCGCCCCAAGGACTACGGCAACCAGACCATGGACAAGTACCCGCGCCCTAGCCACGCCGATTGGACCTATCTAGAGAAGTACGGCGTCAAGGCTAGCAGTGGTGGCGGCCGCAGCAGTGCCCGCGAGACCATTGGCCGTGTCGCCGCCGGTGCCATTGCTGAGAAGTACCTGCGTCTTGCCTACGGCATTGAGATCGTTGCCTTTGTCAGTTCCGTCGGCAACGTCCACCTGTTCCCCCCGACCGCCGAACACCCCACACCCTGTACAAACCCCGAGTTCCAGAAGCTACTGCAGACCATCAGCCGCAAGACCGTTGACGAATATCTGCCTGTGCGCTGCCCCAATGAAGAGGTCTCCCGCAAGATGGAGGACCTTATCGCCTCCTTCAAGCAGCGCAGCGACAGCATTGGTGGTACCGTGACCTGCGTCATCCGCAATTGCCCCAGCGGTCTGGGCGAGCCGTGCTTCGACAAGCTCGAGGCCAAGCTGGCGCACGCCATGCTGAGCATTCCCGCCACCAAGGGCTTCGAGATTGGCTCTGGCTTCGGCGGTTGCGAGATCCCCGGGTCAACTCACAACGACCCCTTCGTCAAGAACGACAGCGAACTTCCCGAGGTTGTCGCCCAGAGCGGTGCTGCCCGCGGTGGCTTCCCTCGGCCCCGGCTAACCACTAAGACCAACTACTCTGGTGGTATCCAGGGTGGTATTTCTAACGGCGCCCCCATCTACTTCCGTGTCGCCTTCAAGCCCCCTGCCACCATTGGCCAGGAGCAGCTGACAGCCACGTATGACGGAGAGGAGGAGGGTATCCTAGCTGCCAAGGGCCGCCACGACCCGTGCGTCGTGCCGCGCGCCGTGCCCATTGTTGAGGCCATGGCTGCGCTGGTGATCATGGATGCTGTGCTCGCCCAGCAGGCGCGGCATACGGCTAAGAGCTTGCTGCCTCCTCTGAAGCAGACCATAAACTCAGGGCTGCCGGCAGGGAATGGCGTGACGGAGCAGGAGGTTAAGCAGGCGTAAAATTGGATATTTTGTACATCAAAATCATGGATTTCGGATACCCGTCTTTTCCCCTTGCATGAATAAAAAGTATAGTAAGGGATGTAGGCAAGATGTAAGAGAAATATACATATAAGTTGCAAATATTGTACCTGAGGATTGAAGCGCTGTTGCTTTCGGAGCGAAGAAAAAAATGGAAATTGTATAAAAGAAGCTTCCCGGCCGGGAATTGAACCCGGGTCTCAGGCGTGACAAGCCTGCATACTAACCACTATACTACCGAGAACTGCTTATTGGCTTATTGCTCGCTAAATTAGCCTATTATGTTGTTTATTGTCTAAACTCTCTTGGCATTTATTGTATCCTTAGATGGAACAAGACATGCAATCGGGGAATATCCCATTAATGTTCCAGCTCACAGTTACTGAAAGTTTCACACCCGATATTTATGTAGATATATGCCACTTTGATTGCGAGACATCGGCATCACTTCGACACCCCTTTCTGATGTCACTACATCCGGTTGTAGCAAGCAGTGAGGGTTTAAACACGTGAAACTTTGCTGTGGGCCTCAACTGTACCTTCTTCCTGCCTATTTTTTACAGCAAGTTGGAAGAAAGCCGATGAAGCCTCTTCTTCCAAGCTGCTTTGGCTCTAGATCCTACGAAATCCTACCCGTACATGTTTGTCAGCAAGAAATCTATAGACATGACTCTGGTCCTCAATGGCCCTGACACAAACTGCCCAATGATTCTGGATTAAGCAGCGATCCGTAGGGCGGTGAGGACACAAATTGCTGTTTTCGGCCCAAAATATCCAAGCGGAACCGACGAGTGCTGTTACAAACAACCACCAGACGACACATCTTGGCATCCGAAGGATCATGATGGATCAAGTATTATTCAGCTGGACCTTGGACTTGTCATCAATAACACTGTCATCAATGCGGCTTGCTGGAAGCCTCTCTAAAACTATGTCGATTTTGATGCTGGAGGGCTCAGACCTGGAGTTGGTGTTGACGAAGTATAAGACACCCTCTTTTTGACTTGCGGAGGTCTGCATTCCTCCATGTTGTTCAAACTCAACATAGAGCTCTTTCCTCTCCCATTTCCCCTTGCTTCTTCTGACAGTTTTCAACGAGAATACGCAAGTGTCCATCACAAATTCTTTCCGTTCGACCATGTCTACCTCGATTCAAAAGCTCAACTTGCCCTCCTGGCTACCCCAGCCCACTGTGCCGGCAAAACTTACATCGTCACCGGCGCAAACTCTGGCCTTGGTTTCCACGCAGCCCTACACCTGGCCAAGCTTGGCGCCGGTAGACTTATTCTCGCAGTGCGCAACTTGGCCGCAGGAGAGGAGGCCAAGGCCCGCATTCTCAGTGCCGTTCCTGATGCGAAGACAGTCATTGAGGTGTGGTCATTGGATTTGGCGAAGTATAACACCATCGTGCAGTTTGCGAACCGCGCAGAGAGGGAGCTGGAGAGGATTGATGGGCTGATTGAAAACGCTGGTGTTTGTCCTGGGAAGAGGGAGATTGCGGAGGGAAGGGTGAGTGCTATTACGGTGAATGTAGTTGGGACGTTGTTGTTGCTGGCGTTGATGCTTCCTGGAATGGGGAGGAAAGCGAAAAAGTATGGGGAGGTGGCCAGGCTGGTGGTGGTGAGTAGCTCGCTTGGATTCCAGGACTGGGTGAAGGGAGCCTTGGAAGGGATCAAGGGAGAACAGGGCCTGCTGGCAGCTGTGGATAAAGGAGAGGGGGAGTATGAGACGATGAAAGTGTAAGTGACACCTGATCAATACTCACCAACTCGACATGACACACTGACAGCTCGCAGCTATGCCCTCTCGAAGCTGCTTTTGACCTTCGCGACACGCTATATTGCTCGCTTCCTGGTCCCTGACCCAACCAAGTCGGGAGTCATCATTACGACTGTTTGTCCAGGCCTCTGCGATACAGGATTGCCACGCTATGCGCCGCCAGAGGTACAAGCCCCTGCTCTCAAGTTGATCGAGCAGTGTGGGCGTACTGCGGAGGACGGCAGTCGCACTCTTCTGCACGGAACTGTGGCCGGGATTGAGAGCCACGGGCGATTTCTTCAACATTGCGAAGAGGGAGAGTGAGTGTTTCCCTAACTATGGGCTCAGTTGTGATTTCGAGGTACCTCGAGTACTAATTGTTGAGTATAGTGATATCCCAGACTGGATCAGGGACGATGTGGGCATGCAGCGGAAGATTTGGGATGATGTAGCGAGGGATTTGGAAGATGCTTCACCAGGGGTTATTGATCACTTGTTGGCAGCAGCACGATGAGAATTGCTTTTAATCTGTTCAAGTCCTGCATCTGTAAGGTTTCAATGCAGGTTTCTTCAACCTCTTCGAATTGATCTTTGTATCCATGGCCATGAGAAACTTGAATAACCGTTTTTCATGCCACCTGATCATGCTAAAGATCTCAACCAGTTGTTGTGGGCAGTCGTTGTGGCGTTTGAGACCGAACAAAAATACACTACCCAAGTCCTGGTCCTCGAAGTGCATTATACGCTCACAGAGCTGTGCGGTACTTGACTCATTCTCGTCCATTAGCACAGTGGAAATGCAGAGGGGCAGTAGGGAATAAGCCAATCTGAACTTGAGGAGAACTTGTGAGTGCTTGTCTGATGAAGAGGACGGTTCATTGATTAGAAGAAGGCTGCTCTTCGGGGTCTCATCGAAATATTGCCTTAAGCTGAATCATTTAGAAGATATATAAAAGTGAGAGAACGGCGTAATTCATCGGCGACATGAAGGCCAGTGTTGTCCTTGATCTCATCTACATTCCTAATATAGTGCCAAGAGGAGTCAGTAGGATACATAAAAACGTGAGCATGGAGTAATGCGTCATCGGAGATATGATGACCAGTATGGTTGTTGGCTTCGGTGTCAATGGTTTTTGTCAGTGATGTATTGCTCAGGGATTAACCACAAGTCGCGGATGTTGACCCGAGGTTTCTGTTCACGAGGGAGCTGAGCAACACTACCCAGTAATGTTCAATAGAAAGATTGCTTTGTTGGAAGCCATCGGACGTTTATAAACAGCATGCTTATAGAAATGCGAATTTGTTAAGACTTGTGTGATTCTCCTTTTCACTTTAGTTTTGAGCCTGTTCCCGGGCTTGTCTGCTCTCTCAACTAAAGGGTCAATCAATTCCGGCGAAAAGGCGCCATTCGCGTAAAGCTTCAGCAAAAGAATGTTGACTTTGTACCGTGTCATCATGGTGCAGGGGGAAGTGTGGAGCAGAGACTATGACAAAAGTAGTTTTGCCGAGCAGAACGACATGAGGGAGGAGTGCATTTGAGTTAAGGCGTAGAGGCAGCTGCGTGCATTCCATGTTCTCATTGGTGGTAAACTGGCAATGATAGTACTCGCCAGCTCGACATGTTCAATTAAGCACCCAGGTAGGAGCGTCAGTCCATCAATGGCTGATGATGCGGACTTTAGTCCTTGGGCGAGCAAGAGAATTTCGATACCATACTTCTCGCTCTGTAGCATTTGAGGGCAATATCTGTAAATACCTGGCGTGTATGCTTGCAGTGGTCTGCTCTTATGGGCTTGATATCGTCCCAATTCTGTACTAGTGAGAGGGTACCAAATATTTTGTCTCGCGGATCGGCACAATGGCAATCCCGAACAGCAAGCAACAAGTCCACGATATCTGGTCCGGTAACAGAGGCCTTAGGGGCTAGCATACACATTACCTCACTATGCTCAACCCCTGAAGCTCTAAGAAGTCAGTAAACATGATAATGGAGGGTGATAAGTTCGAACCACTGTCTGGGAGTTGCCCTTGTGAACGGGACTAAGCAGTCGCAGAGCTTCCAGCGGCTGGCATCGCTGCGCTTCTATAGCGGATTCGGATCGTGAAAGTCAATCCATTTTGCAAGCTTGATGATATCTGACCATTTAAGTTAGACCCCGAAAGGATTAACTCGGTTTTCGGTGCAACCAAAACCTCTTGAACCACTCATATCCGATTCCACCAACGAACGAAACATATATGACGAAGCAAGAGACGTCCCTGCGTTTCTTGTGATCGGTGTATCACATCAAACATGAAATCCAAACTAAACATGCATTCACCTGAGTTTATGTTCCCCAGAAAGAGATGGAAGCAGTGACAGTGAGGAGCTTGGGACAGTCAGCTCCTGGCTACTAGATGGTGCAAGCTGATGCGACTGCTTTGGTGAAAATGGGACCACGATTTTGGGGGTTTGGGGTCTAGCTTCCATGGACATTCAAGATAGATCAAACATTGCTCACAATTCTTACAGATATCGGTCATCAGCGTAACTTGGGCATTGCATTTATCAATGTTGGCCTGATTGATACAGATCGCATCGGCCCAGAGGGCACGCTCTCAGAACTAGTCCTGCAATCTCTTACAGAAACTCGACCAGATCCTTGGGGACAAGCACAATGCGACCTTCAATATTGACTAGCTTTGTATTATGAGAGCCTTAGTCTTCTTCTTTGAATGCTCATTGGTACGAGAGCGCTTCGTAACGGGGGTTTGTCGCTGAGAGATGATGCATGAAGACTAATGAGAGTGTGCTAAGGGTTAGGGTTTGAATACAGGTGGAGCAATCCATATCGCGGTTCTCTGATAAGTTTGAGGGATGGGAATCGAAGCGAGCTGTTGGCCAGACCCACCATTATTCAGGGGTTCTTACATCGCTCCCAAGCAACCTATGTTTGGCTGGCTTAAAGGTTGGTAACATCCCATTTATCAAGCCGCCTGGTTGGATAACTTACAAGCTGATATGCTGGAGCCTTCTGCTATACTTACAGGAGCTCCATAGCCTGATCTCTGGTTCAAGGTACAGAAGACGGATTTGTCTTAACCTTGTATGCCTGGAGCTGTTTCAGCTCAGCCTTTTTCCTTATTTTGTGCAACATGCCCACGCATGGCCCAATCCCGCCACGATCAATACTGATTCTCAAGTCGTTTTCCGGTTCGCCAACATGCCGCGTGTAAGCCCATCCTTTTTATGGATTTATGTTTTGTCGACTTCTCTTCCAACCTATCGTCTGAGTTCCAGCTGACTGATTGCTAGTTTCTCCAACCTTCCTCTCCTCCAGGACTTCTGAAGAAATCAGTTTCGCATCTCCCCATCTCGCAACCGCAATACAATGCGCTGGCTAAATATGCCCCGGCGATAAATAGGCTGACCGCCGGCCTGGCTGTTGTCAGCGCCTACCTTCAGACCTTCACTAGACACCTGCGGCGTCTGGCACGTCGCCACAGCCTATCATTGCGTCTTTTCGTCCTCGTGGCTGCCATATGTATTCTCGAACCGCTGGTCTACTCCTTCTACCTCCACCGCGTCTCTCCTCCGCCACATGATCTCGACGCCCCCTTCCAGGTTGGCTGTGCCGATCCCCTCGCCGCCGCCACCGCTTACCCCCGCGAGAAGGCCGCTCTTGTCATGTTGGCTCGCAATGCTGAGCTCGACAATGTGATCGCAACAGCTCAGAACATTGATGTCCAATTCAACCGATGGTTCAACTATCCGCTTGTGCTGTTGAACGATGAGCCGTTCACCGACGACTTCGTCGCTCGCGTCACTGCCTCTCTGCCGGCCAACCGAACCATCCGCTTCGAAACTATTCCTTCATCTCACTGGGGCTTTCCCTCGCATATCTCTTCACAAACAGCCCGCGGATGGATGGCCGACCTGGACCGCCAAGGCGTCTTCCATGGCGGGGAAGAGTCCTACCATCACATGTGCCGCTTCTACTCCGGTACCTTCTTCACTCTCCCCGCGTTGAAGGACTACCGCTGGTACTGGCGCCTTGAGCCAGGCGTACAATACACCTGCGCCATCACCTACGACCCGTTCGCAGCCATGGCTCGACACGGGAAGGTCTACGGCTTCACCACTGCCTTGTGGGAAGTCCCCGAGACATGTCCGAGCCTGTTCCGCGAAGTTGATGCGTTCGCTCATGATTACGATATCCCCCAAGGTGTGAACTGGGATGCCCTCTTGGACATGGAGAGTGGGCTCTTTGGTATCGGGCCTCCGGTGTTGTGGAAACGTTGGTTGGCGGCGCGGCGCGGAGACGCACACTGGACGAAAGGGGGTGATCGATGGAATTTGTGCCACTACTGGAGCAATTTTGAAATCGCCGATTTAAACTTCTTCCGCGGTGAGCAGTACCAGGCCTTGTTTCGATATCTGGACGAGAAAGGAGGGTTTTACCGTGAGCGTTGGGGCGATGCGCCCGTGCACAGCCTGGCCGTGCACTTGCTGTTACCACCGGAGAAGTTGCATCATTTTGCAGACTTTGGGTACCTCCACGAGCCGTTCTATCAGTGTCCTGGTAATGCCCCTAACGGCCAGTTGCGGCATAGCAAAGAACTGGGGTTGTGGGAAGAAGGCAATTACTCCGAAGAAATGGAGGGGTCGATCGGGTGTCGCTGTCTGTGCAAGGAGGAGAGAAGACGAAATCTCAGCGGGTACTGCCTGGAGAAGTTGCAGGCGCCGGCCGCAGCCCGGAGGATGAGTTGGTGGGATCGTCAGCAGAACCGGTTTCCCTACTCGATTGGCATGCCGGGAAGGAAAGGTGAGGAGATTTAAATGTCGGATGATATAGATGGGATCTTTGAGTCGGCTTTAGACGGAGTTTGGTGTTGGATTTTACCCATACCGCTAGGTCTGTTTCTCTATACCCGAGTACATCTGGTAATGTCTTGTACATGGTACGCGCTCATTGAACATCTTAGGTGCCTTGGGAACCGCACATGAACGCACATAACTTGGTGTCTCGGAGCTTATCGCACTTTAAGTCATTCCATTTCCCCATGGAAATCTCCCTCTCGCCTTGTTTTTCCAGGTAATCCACCAATTGTTGAACAGATAAACGACCACAAAGAGGGCGAACGTCACCATAACGGTCCCAACTGTCAATGACCAATTAGACCTCCTTCCAATTGTTAGAGGCACGAGTGATACTCACGAGAAGCCCACACTAAAGTCCCGACTGTCCAAGCTTCATCTTCAGGGGTAAATCCCTTAATATTGAGCTCCATTACTCCTGAGATCCACGCCAAAGGTGCCTGCAAGCCAAGAGTTAACTCTGCTGACATTAACTTCAGTATGGGAAGCGACTTACAAATATTACCGTCGCTACGGTGAACACGAAAAGAATATTCGACTGAGAGAAGAGTAGGTCCTCTTGTGTCGCTGAGCTGAGGGCATTTTCTGTAATAGCTTGCCGTTGCCTGAGGTCAAGAAGGGTGATGATCTTAGATGGTGTCAGTCAAACAACTCCGTCAAGACTTAAAGCCTTGGTTACGCTCACCGAGTTCCTCACTCTTGTCGCATCCTCCGCTAGCCGGTCGAGCCGACTGACCAAATACTTCGACTTGTCCGACCGCAGCTTATTCAGTCCAGTAAACGACTGTGATTGGAACTCGTTCCCACTTCCCGAACACTCTGTCTGCGCTTGTGCGACCTGAAACTCCCCATTCCATCTACTTCCATTGCCGCTCCCCTCATCTCCCCACAACGGCATCGAATTCGACCTTACCGGACGCGCAGAAGAAAGCGGCGCCATATCTGGTGCTTGGCTTGACTGTGGCGACTGGCTGTCTCCCCAGCTGCTCGCCATGTACATGCCGTCCGTCGAGCCATTAGCGGCGGCGGCGTTCCGAGTGGCCGTTTGCAGCAGGAGACACACTCGGTCCTGGTCGTGGTGCACCCGCTGAATCATGGCAATTTCGCCTAGGATGTCATCGATGCGAACGAGAAGGCCCATCTCACCTTGCATGGCGGGCTGGAAGTGTGCGATGGTGCCTCCGGCAGTTGGTGTGGAGGGGATGTCGGCGGGCATGTCGCGACGGAAGGATTCGTAGCACGTTGTTACTTTGCTCGACTACTTGGATGTTAGATGAAACTTGGTGATGGGGGACTTCGAAGGCTACCGCAACCGTCACTTACTACATAAGCAATCTCGTCACCAAATGCGTCGAGATAGGCCCTCCTAGCCTTGGACATCAGCAACTTGGGCTCGAAATCCAAGCATGTGCTGATGATGAGGTTGACAAGCTGTGAGGCATCCAAATCCCCAGGCACCGGTATTTGCAAAAGGGCGTTGAGAATAGCTTGGGACAGAGGAAATGCTGAGTTGTGGCCTTGAGTCAAACGGTAGTTTTCTGGGAACGAGGTCACAACCGTGCCTATGGGACGTTCAAAGCTGTCAGCTCAAGTCCGAATTCTCACAAAATGCGGGAATGGCTTTATGATTACCTTCAATCCTCCATAACCACAGCTGGGGCACCGTCAGGATCTGCTGCCGGACAATTTTCTCGTTTGCAAGGGCTTGGATCTCTTTCTCGGTGGTCTCTTCCCCGGCCTGATCCTCCTCACTCTCAGAATCGCTGTCCCTCCATCTCCGCTTGGAAAAGAACTCCTCCAGATCGGACCAGCTCCGTCGCAGCTTCAAGTGCCAGGAACCCCACGGCGAGCGCCGTGTCACCGGCCAAGTCTGACTTTCCAGTTGTGCCGGGGATATCGGAATGTTCATCTCTCCTGTGGCGAGTCTCACCGTTGTCTTAACACCGTTCGGATCCTCTACTACTTGCTTTATTGCGGAATTGGAGTCGCGTGATGAAGACGTTCGGCTGCTATCGGATGCTTTGTCTGCCTTCATGGCCCTGACCTGTTTTCTGAGCTTCTCGGCGTAAGTCCGACGGTCTCTCTCTATAAAGCGGCTGACCACTTGGTCTCCATTGCGGAAGTGAAGGTTGGTTTCGTCCATGAACGGATGGATGTAGCCATCCAAGGTGCGCGACTTTTCAACTGCATCTGGGTAAGCTTCTCTCAGCTCTTGAAGCTTCGCAATGTGAGCCCGGAGTTCTTCCTCTGGTGGTTGATCCTTCAAACTGGCCGGCGTTGGCTTCCCTGGTGTAGTCGAAATGACATCAGGGGGTTTGTAGTAGGCTGGCTGCTGAAGGTCAACGTCAATTACAGGAAGCTGTGAGATTGCAGGTGAGTTATCATTAGATTGCAATGACAAACAACTGACACGACGTTGACACCTACCACAAGAGCAAGCATGGGGAAGCTATCCTTCTCAGATCGCTTTCCGTAAGCAATCTACGCTGTGTTAATGTGTGTCTCTACCGATCTTAGGGGGTCAAGTTGGTTCTCACCTTGACTTGAGGATATCTATGCTGACTGAGGGTTTCCAGTTCCGCGAATTGGTTGTTGATGAACCGCCGGATCTGCTGGAAAACAGTAGCATCCGAGTTTTGCTGTTCGTTCAAAGAACTTCCTCCTGTTTTTTGTTTTTCGTTGTTGCCGGACTGATCTGACGAGTACAAACGCTTGAAGACATCCTGAATCCATACGCTCTGAGGAGGAAATGACGTCAGTTCATTGCGGCTTATGCAGTACAATGATCTACCTCTCTTCAAACTTACGTTATTAGCCGGGATATGTATCCATCTCACCCTGTTCCTGACATGCGGTCCTAGTTTCGGCTCGGGATACTTTTGATACAACATCTCAAAAATGCTCATCTCTGTGTACTTCCTGTTACCCACTGTGTCCCCTTCAACGGCTGGCCAAACAAGTCCCTTGAATTTCTCCGCAACCATAGTCTGCTTTTGTGATGGCTTTGGCACGCGAACACGACAAGGCCTGGGCTGCCTCTGAGGGCTGCTTATATCCACCGGAGTCCTAAGCAGATCGACCATATCTTGATGTCCGTTATCTCTGGCTACCATCTCAGGAGTGTCCTTAGACTGGTTCGGGGAAATCCTCAGAGCGTCATAGCGCAGCAGAACTCTGGCCGCCTCAACAGCATTCTGATCGGCCGCAACGTGAAGTGGTGTTTCACCGGTCTTGGATTTGGCATTTACGTCAGCCCCTTCTGTGATCAACATCTCAGCCATGTCTGCCTGATTCAATGCGCAGGCGAGGTGCAAAGGTGTCATGCCGTCTTTGTCTTTCTGGTCAACAGTATCAGCGGCGTGGCTGAGAAGCAGTGCCAGCAGCTCTTTGTTACGGGTATGGATCGCATAGTGAAGCGCGCAGCAGTCTGATGCATCAGAGATGCCGACATCTGCATTATGAGCTAGGAGAAAGCGAGATACTTCGAAGAGATCATTCTCAATGGCAAGGAGCAATGGGGTTCGTCCAGCTTTGTCCCTCAAATTCCAGTCTACAGCCGGCGAACCAGAGACTTGGGTTAGAAGATCGAGCCATCCGGGCTTTTCGGCTCCTTCCAGGTTGTTCTGACGAATGATTTCGTGCACTATGGTACCGCCATAGCGGCCTCCAACGTCCTGATTAACTATGTCAGGGTGTTCAGAAAGAGTTCTGAAGAAGCCTGGTCGATCTCTCTGAGAGAGAGCCTGAAGGAGGGGTTTAAACGTAAACATCCGTTCCCGAGCAATGCTTCTGACACTTGGTTAGTTCTCTGTAGTTTGTCGGGGAGTGGCAGGTAGTGCGTTCGTCCTGGAGGAATTGGCAAAAAAAAAAAATCTCTATGCTCTACTCGGGCAGCAACAGGACTGGTAGGGGCAGAGATAGAATCGCTAGAAGCCAGAGAAGTATGTCTTTGGTGTCTTCCATGAAAATAAATTATGCATGATGGTCCTCAAAAGCCTGCTGTTTCTCCATGACTGCTGACTATATCAGGCTCGGTGATCAAGGCTTGCCTAAGACATAGCGGGCTTGGCCTGGATCATGTGGACAAACATAAGACGATTCATTCGCACATAATATGCTATTCACCACCTACACTTTTACGATCTTCTTGTCACCTGGCACAATATTTAACTTGGCCTTTGGAATGAGGCTGTGATGCGATGACTATGATGAGCACATCTGCTCCACAGCAGTCATCGAGACCCGCGAACAAAGTTTGCCCAACGGAAAGCATGTAATTTACAGAGCTTGCTTTTACATCACAGGCCACCGTTCCAATTCACTTTCGGTGGTTTCTGGACCATGGAATAACTTGCCTGCTTGGGCAATCTTCTAATGTTTCATGTTCCTACCTTACATACTTGAGTCAAGGAAGCATGCAACTGACTGTGAGGTAGCCACATGATCTGAAAATAGATCAATCTTTTCATTTTTTGGTTATCATGATGGGGGCATGCTCAAGGCTTGTTCTAACTTACCGCTTAGAGAACCATCAGCCTGGGTCAGCCTCCACACTGCTTAGCTAGTGGGCCGTGCTTGGGTAAAACTCTCAGCAGTCAGGTAGTTGGACACCGGGCAACAACAGAAGATTGTGCTAGTGTAGTTATGAAGGATACCTTCCAAGGCAGCCAACCTGTTACTCATCAATGTCAGGCATGTGATGAAGAAATGCACCAATCACGGGCTGCATCGTTTGCCCCTCGGTGAAGTATTGCTCGGTGCTCAGCCTTGAGCCAACCCTCGTGTCCGGATCACAAGGCCAAGTATACCCTACCTAGATAGCTCCCGAATCTTCTGTTCTTGCACACCATCATCATATCACGAGCCCTGGCAAAAGGAGGTGTAGCCTCCTCTTTTCCCACTAACGACGCACGCAGCACAGCCACTAACACCGCACGGCAACAAGGAGACAGCACGGCCAAAGACATGAAACAGTCAGCCCATCAATATTGATAATTTCGGTGGTTGCTACCCCATGCCAAACATCTGACTTGCAAGCTACAGCTACCAACAGCCTTGCGCCAAACAGCTTGGATCTTCAAAGGGTAAGTTTGACACCGCAAGCCGCGAAATGGGGCTTCAAGTGCGGATGCTACATCGGTAGCTTAAAGCAGAAGGGCCGTGCTGCAATGTTGCATTATATCAACCTCGCCTCACAACGGCATCTTCCAGCATGAGTGCTTGCTAATTCTTCACCAAGAGTGAGTAGGTAAGAATTCCATGCGAGCAGACCGCAAACTACCTGCAAAGTCAACCACCTACCTGCTTACGTGGGAATGTGAACGTGTTGGACTGTGAAGGAGCTCAAATATAACCTTATCCGAATAGCCAGACTTGCGGACTGGTAATAGATGACTGTAAACAAGGTTATCAAGACCAAAGGACCAATGTGAGGTAGATAAGCATAATAGCTCTTACATCGATGTTTGCCACTTGGACTTCATGGTGTCAAAATAAGATTGTGAGCCAGTGGCCGTTTCAGAGCAATTATTGGAGTCGCTTTTGTGTTTCTCTTATCTGATGTCATCCCCAACGTCTATCGCTATTAAAATTTGGTAGCGCGAGACAATCAAAGAAGAGAATCTCATGAACAAAAAGATTTGTGGGAATTGAGCGTTGTTTCTGAAGACTGGCCTCTCATTTGTCAGCTGTGGTGTCTGCTGGAATAAGTTGTCCATCGATGATTGGGAGCTTGTGATACACGGCAGATGGCAGCAAATACTATGACGAAAGCGCGCTCCGTCTATGGATCAGGACCAAGTCCGAGTCATATCAAAAGATAGGTGCCAAACAAATGGCCAGAAGATAGCTCGATGCACTTTTCCCGGTGTTAACCCGGCATATTCAACAGAGCTAGATCCCGCACTTATTGAATTGAGGCCAAAGACTTAGAATCCGCGTCAACTCTCAAAGCTTTTTGAAAGAAGTAAAATCTCCGAAACTCACTTTACCGGGAATCAGTACCAGTTTGACTCCATTACATATTGGCATTGTCTTTGCTTCTCATTTAAGAGTCTCCAGTACTTTGCAATAGACAGCACTGTGGGATATCGTTATGGACCAAGATCTCCATGGACGTGTGATGGCCTCGCAGCCACAAGACCCGTCGGGTGGTTCCAGAGCGCCATTTTAGAGAGAAAGAGATACAGAGGGTCTTAAATTTGACCAGCGTTCCGCCAAAGATACGTTGTGATGAAGAAATCGCAAGAACGCAAGTACCGTAGCCACAATATGTCGCTGCCTGAGCCTGAAGTTGAAGTCGTCCATCCATAGCAGCTGATCAGGTGTACCATCCCAGAGTATCAGCTTGGGCATCCATCCATCTCTTTCAAAAGGCGCGAGATTCGACTACTTCACTTGGCCCCTGCTCCTCCCTCAGACTAAGGATTTCCGAGTCAAACTCATCAGCTTCCCGCGACATCAACAACCTGAAAGTCGCTGACAAACTTACCGTTGCCTCTTTGGACAACAACTTTATCTACGAAGCACTGTCGTACCAATAGAAGACCCAGGAAGATGGCTCCCGTTCTATTGGAAACAAAGAAGATGTCCACTCGAGACCCAACAACAAGAATCTCGGCAACTTACTGGCTTGGCTACGCCACCATGACCACGAGCGTGTTCTGTAGACCGATGAGCTTTGCAACAACCAGGATGACATAAACGAGCGAAATACACAACTTCCCTTCATGACGATATATACAAAAGTGCCAGAGGTGGTTAATATGGCTTAGGAGTGAGCAAAAGCTCTTACCCGGAAACTTGATTCCAGGACTAATATCCATTTCGAAACCCAAAAAGTTGTCAAATAACACTGTCTGCCAGTTGTTGATGGCACAAGAGGATTGTGACCACAGTCAAGTGCATCACGTACATGCTGCACGGCCTGACAGAAAGAGCTCTGGAGCATGTTTACTACTCCGATATTTGACTCCTGCTGACTGGTGGGATCGGATATGGGTGGTTCAAGAAGTCCTCCTTGCACCAAGATCCATGACGATCCTGCTATCTGGGAAAGAATTGGCGTGGTTTGACCTTGTCAAGTTCACAGTAAAAATTAATTCCATGAACCAGATCTATCTCAGTAGATGATCAATGTCAGCTCCCATGATACTTGTGCCTGTTTGAACATATTGAGGAAAGACTATTCACAGCAATAGACTGAGCTCCTGATGCTTGGCAACAATGTCCACCGGCTGCTTCAGGTCGACAGCTCTGGACACGGAAAAATTCGGACCCAACTTTATAGATGTGCTGCTTGCTGTTCGAGATCGCGACTGCTCTGAGCCCCAAAACAAATATCTTTGGTATCCTCTCTCTGCTACATGAGTGAGGTAATTTATACCCCATCAGAGCATATTATACTAAGACAATCAAGCAGCTTTTTGCCGACATTGCGACACAAATGCTGGGAAGTAGCACGCTTGATATTGCAACACTTCTGCTGTCGCGAGGGCTTAGATCCCTCTCATATAATGCCGGCATTGATGAACCTGACCTACCAACTTGAGTACCCGATTGGACCTGCTGAGAAATGAGATGTGAAAAGCAACTTTTTCACCTATCCAGAAACTTTTCAGCATCTCACACACCCGATATGCAGCCCTTGGTTCTCAACTTAATCACTCCTCTTCTCCCATAAATCACCGTTCTCGGCAGAATCATAGCTGTCTCGGAGAGTGGTCCAGTTTGTCTACATCATCACAGTCAGAAGAAGCACAGCACGAAGGATCGAGAGCAGTTTGCTCGAATGCTCAACCAGTGGCATCGCTTTGTTGGTCTCCGTGGCCCTGACAGCATTTAACAGCATGGAAAACTCGACGACATGGTTGGTTCAATTGAAATTGAAGTTTGAGAAAATGGGAAGCGGCTCACGCTACTATAGGTGCTTTACGTCCAGATGGCCCATAACACCAAGAAAGAAGCTTTCTACCTTACTCAGCAATATTCCCTTCTCCCTTGAACTGAGACACTCTCAGACTCTGGAAACTGTGGCGCGGATTCTCGTACGGTTTGTCGAAAATGGAAGTAACTATGACTCTGAAGGCAGTCAGATACTATCTACCATGGCAAATTGTCTAGCGAATATTGTTTGTCTCATTCCAATCCTGCTTTTGTACCTTGCATCAATCTTCGTGTAAAGTGGGGAACGAAGTTGCGCTCATTAAGGGCATTGATCGGCCAGTTGTTCTGAGATTTGCTAGGATCAAACAAGTAGAGGGAAAGGGTGAAAAGCGCAGCTTTCAGCTTCCTGGGCAGTGCTACGTGGGTGAATTGATCGGGAAGGACTTCGACTGGGAACAGGCCAAGGAGATATATTTGGTGTAGGTGCTTCACTAAGCACAATAACTTTTGGCTAATGGAGACAGCCCAAGATATCCCGACCAGCTACCTACACAGAGGTTCGGTTCGCAGTTCACGTCTAGTGCTTAGTTTGATAGTGTCGGGATAGCAGGACCGAGAACAACGATCCATTTCATCCTACATAACTGGTTTGGTAATGCTGCAAGCAACATCGAAGATATAAAATCCCCAAGCGGTGTCTTAGTACAAGAACAATGTCGCATGACGAAGCCTTCCATCGTCATATCATTCCACGATGCACTGAATGTAGTCCATGCAGCGCTCGCGAAGTCGTCCACTGACACTGGACTGTATCATAATCCTTACCCATCTCGTTCAGCTAAAGCTTCTAATCTTGGCTGACAGGAACGTTGAGGTCGACGCCGATCTCCTCTAACAACAGCTGATTGAGAGTAGACCCATCACGCAAGTAAACCCACTCGCCTACGGCTGTGTCCTGCTTTTCATTTTGGCCCTCGCCCGTGATAACATAGTCATAGCGTTTCGGACCAGACTTGGGCGATGACAACCAGATCTGCTTGTTAGGCGGCTGCTTGTTGATGACATATGTGCCCACCTCTGGACCCATATTGAGCGTCAAGACACCCGACTATTCATGTCAGCGAGGAAACAAAACGGGAACCGCCAAAGAGGGTATAGACATACCTGATACTCAACATCAACATCCTCCCTCTCATCCTGAAGCTCCTCCAGGCGGCTCAGGAGAGCGTCCAGATATTCATCTGCAAGTCTGTGGTATTCGGCAGTAGTAATGTCGGCTGGTTTAGTCGCAGGTTTTGGCGACTTTTCAATTCCGCTCGAGTCGCGTGGCTTATTGTCAGGTGTGATCCCCTTCAAGCTTGAGCTGCTTGAAAGAAACCTGCGGGTGGGGATTGGAATTGTGATAGATGCCTTGAGGTGGGTAGAAATCGAGATGAAAGAAGGAGAGATGCTTGGGGACATCCAATGCGAGAGTTGGGCTCTTTGCAGGCCCAGGCGCGTAGCTCTGGCAACCCTCACGGCTGTTACGCGGCCCATGGCGGGTTGACTGTGAGGTATGGAGACGAATGGATGTAAGTGTATGAGAGGCAAGGTAAATTCGAAACCCGACTTAGGCAGCGGGATTTATTGGCCTCAAAAAATAGATGGGGCCACACTAGAATTTGTTATCTCCGGTATGTCTCAGTGCTTAAAAGGAAAGTTTTCCGTTGTCATCAGCGCTCATTCCAACAATGATAGAAAGACTGAATGAGAGCTTCTGTCGATTGGAAGCTTCGGCTTTGGAGCTGCCAGATGGAACATTGGCCGATGAAACCTTTATCGATAAAGGTTCCCTGAGGGAAATCAACCAATGAGAGGTGGTGGTGTTGGAAGAAAGCACGAGCCAATGGCGTTGACATGCACTGATCGGGAACCTGCACGTCATCGCCCCGCCGTCCCAACCTGGGACAACAACCTCCGGAAGGACCACAACAGCGGGGCTCCAACACGACACTCATGCGCAGCAGGCCAAAACTGATTCCTAAATTTAATGACAACACATTAAGTTGCTCACACACTGTTATCTCAAGGATATTACAGTCGCCATGATCAACGCTTTTCTGGTTTTCAACGGTCAAGGCCAGCCACGGCTAACCAAGTTCTACACTCAGCTGGTTCGTCTTAGCCTCCATACTCAGCTCCTCCTATCATAACAGATGGCACTAACCCGTTTCCCCAAACACAGGACACCCAAATTAAGCAACGTTTGATATCTGAAATCTTCACCTTGGTCTCCAACCGCCCTCCAGGCTCATGCAACTTCCTTCCTCTCCCCCCGCTCCTGGCTCCTCCTGCCAACGCCGACCCGCAACAACATAACGACGTTCCCTCGCTTGTTACTTACCGCCACTACGCAACCCTGTACTTCATCGTCATCTCGACATCGACGGAGTCTCCATTGGCTTTGATCGATCTAATCCAGGTGTATGTCGAGGCGCTGGATCGCCTGTTCGAGAATGTTTGCGAACTAGACCTTATCTTTAATTTTGAAACCTTACATGCGACTTTGGGCGAGATGATCGTCGGCGGTGTGGTCGTGGAGACCAACCTGGACAGGATCGTTGCTGGTGTGAAAGCACAGGGAACCGTCGCCAAAAGACCCGTTAACGAAGGGAGAGGTAGCGGGGGGGCCGGTGGATTTGCAAGCGCTGTTGGCGCGGGGCTGGGAATGGGAGGAATGGTTTGGCATGGAAGATGAACTGGAGACCAGCCCAAAAACGCCGGCAATATACAAATCGAATAAGGGCCAAATTGACCATCAAAAACCACCACTGCGACAGAAACACCATGCTTTTGAACCAGAAGGAAACATTCGGTGCACTCACGTCACGGCAATCTGTCATCCCATTGATGCCGGGGTATTTTCTAACGCCAAAACTCCTGGATGATGGTGGTGGAACAAATAATATACAAGAGGGGGCAACGGCCGCCCCCCGGAAGCACGGTGGCCAGATACACATCAATTGCTGTCTGCTTACTAGGAAGATGGCCTGTCCTTTGGGGCTTTGAGCTTTCTGTTTTCCTCGGTAAAGATACCAAAGAAGCCCCAAACTTTCTCGCGAAGCTAAATAGATAGTCAGATTGGGCTCCGAGTCCTGGGGTGCTGGGGGACATGTGGTGTCACTCACTGGCTCGAAAGGGGTGGGGACATCCTTCCAATCCATAAAAAGCACCATGTAACCGATAACAGCTGAAAAATACGCATCAGCTATGAACAACAAGTGAATACTCGTGAGAGCCGAGCAAAAAGCCATACATGTGGTTGTGACTAGCTGGGCCAACTTGACAAACTTGTTCCACCGGGGCCGTTCCATTTTGAGCTTAAGCCTGCGCTTGTACTTCTTCTCGAAGCGAAGCTGCTGCTGCGGCGTCATGGACTTAAAATCTGGTGGCCACACTTTTTTAAGCTTGTATGGGCTTGCTGCTGCTGGCGGCGTGACTGCAGTAGCATTGGCCGCAGCCTGCTCTGTCTGAGGTTTCGCGACTTGTGCAAGCCGTCTGGTAAGATTGGGAAACATAATGGATGGACTGTCTACTCGTCGCTGTCCTAAGATGAGTGATTGAGCTTGCCTGTGATGATGACCCTGGTCGACCATTGATGAGAGCGAGTTCCATTGAAGGCACTATCACCGCGGGAAATCCCGTCTCCCGTCTTGCTAGCGGCGGCGAACCAGCGGACTGAGCTTGGTATCCAGCGCCTCACAAGTTGCCTGAGGCGTTGTGGCTAAAGCGCCAAAAATTTCTGGAGAGCCCCTGAATGCGCCACAGCCTGCCCCACCTCCAGTTCGGCCAAAGCCAAAACAGCCCCGCGCTGCCCCTCTATGCCTGCCGGCCGTGTCCAACAGAGCGGAGTGACTCAAAATATTCCCCCGGTCCTCGACTGCTCGACTCTAACTGCGGTGCCGTCAGAAAGATCCGGCGCTCGAAGTCCCAAATCACCCCACGGCCGGCTGTGAAGAAATTGACTGAACGGCAAGCCAACAAACCCTGGCACATCCGTTCCAGCGCATACTTGCAGACTCGATTCTCAGCCAACTGAATAAAATTAAGAGAAACAGCCCATTGACCGAGCAACCATGGCCGACACGACAGTGCCAAAGGCCCTAGAGGCCCTCACCATCTCCAAGACCAAGGAGCTCAAGGGCACCGAGAAGCGTGACACCCTGATTGCGATCGAGAAGAAGTACCAAAAGAAGTGGGAGGAGGAGCACGTCTTCGAGGTTGATGCCCCATCAATCGATGAGTTTCCCCTGGAGTCTATCTCCCCTGAGGAGCTTCGCGAGAAGTATGTCCTGCGCGGTGATTTTTGATTACGACCGGGGTGCATGTCGAGCACAGGGGGACAATGAGGAGCAGATGAATATATGGATGTGCTCGGGGACAGTCATGCCCCTGGCTTGCCAATGCGCACCGTCGAGCTCTTCGAGGAATGTGCTGCTGATGCTCGTAAACTAGGTTCCCTAAGTTCTTCGGCACAATTGCTTACCGTATGTGCTTCTGCGAAAGACAGTGCCGTTTTGCGAACTATGCTTATTGACATACCCTGCAGCCTACATGAACGGTCGTCTCCATGCTGGCCATGCCTTCAGCTTCAGCAAGAGTACGAATGACCACCTAGTCCATCTTTGCTTCCCGATGTCCTCTTGCTGATCATGTCTCAACAGTCGAGTTCTTCACTGGCTTCGCTCGAATGCAGGGCAAGCGCTGCCTGTTCCCCCTGGGCTACCACTGCACCGGTCTGCCTATTAAAGCCTCCGCCGACAAGCTGGCGAAGGAGGTTGAGATGTTCGGCGCCGACTTCTCCGGCTACAAGCCAGAGGAAGAAGAAGAGCCGGCCCCTGCTGAGCCCGCGCCGAAGGGCCAGAAGGAGGACCTGACCAAGTTCAGTGCCAAGAAGGGCAAGGCTGCCGCGAAGACAGTCAAGGCCAAATACCAGTTCCAAATTCTGCAGTCAGTCGGCATCCCTTTGGAGGAGATCCATCGCTTTGCCGATCCTCAGTATTGGCTGAAGTACTTCCCTCCGGCCTGCAAGCAGGACCTCACAAACTTCGGCGCTCGCATTGACTGGCGCCGCCAGTTCGTGACTACGGATGCTAACCCTTATTATGATGCCTTCGTGCGCTGGCAGATGGTTCGCCTTAAGGAACTGGAAAAAATCAAGTTTGGCAAGCGCTACACCATCTACTCTATCAAGGATGGTCAGCCATGCATGGACCACGACCGGAGTGAGGGTGAGGGTGTCCTCCCTCAGGAGTACACTGCCCTCAAGCTCAAGGTCATTGAATGGGCTCCGAAGGCCGCTGAAGCCATCAAGGGCAAGCTGCCCGAAGGCGCGTCGGTCTACCTCTGCCCGGCCACTCTCAGGCCCGAGACCATGTATGGCCAAGTCTGTTGCTTTGTTGGTCCTAGCTTGACCTACGGTGTTTACAAGGCCCGGGAGAACGAGTACTTCGTCATCACGGAGCGTGCTGCGCGCAACATGGCCTTCCAGAGCATCTTTGAGAAGGATGGAATCCCGGAGAAGGCGGCTGACCTTCAGGGTTCTGACCTCATCGGCACCCTGGTTAATGCTCCTCTCAGCTTCCACCGCGAAGTTCGTGTGCTGCCCATGGAGACTGTCCTTGCCACCAAGGGTACCGGTGTCGTGACGTCGGTTCCTTCTGATTCTCCTGGTATGTGCCGTTGATTTGTGATTTTTTTTTTAAAGATCGAGCCTAACATTACGATAGATGACTATGCCACTGTAACGGAGCTGGCCAAAAAACCGGACTACTATGGCATCAAGAAGGAGTGGGCAGAGCTGGAGATCATCCCCATCATCCAAACACCCACTTCCGACCTGATTGCTCCCTATCTCGTCAAGAAACTCAAGATCAACTCTCCGAAGGACACCAAGCAGCTTGCCGAGGCCAAGGAGCTTGCCTACAAGGAGGGCTATTACCAGGGTGTCATGAAGGTTGGCGATTTTGCCGGAGAGAAGGTCGAAGTTGCCAAGCCCAAGGTCCGTGAGCAGCTCATTAAGAACGGCGATGCCTTCCCCTACTCTGAGCCCGAAAGCAAGGTTGTGTCCCGCTCTGGCGATGAATGGTTAGTCATTCCCGTCTGATTTTGCCCTGATGTGTCTTTGATTCTAACCCAATGTCACAGCACCGTCGCTCTGCTTGACCAGTGGTATATTGACTACGGTGAGGACTCGTGGCGCCAGCAGGCCCTCGAGTACGTCGAGAACAAAGACGGCAAGGGCCTCGAGTGCTACTCTCCCGACACCCAGCATGCATTCAAGGGTGTTCTTGCCTGGCTCAAGCAGTGGGCTTGCGCTCGCACCTACGGTCTTGGCTCCAAGCTGCCTTGGGATCCTCAGTTCCTTGTCGAGTCTCTTAGCGACTCGACTATCTACATGGCATACTACACCCTTGTGCCATGGCTGCACAAGGACCTCTTTGGCCGCGAAAAGGGCAAAGGCAACATCGCGCCGGAGCAGATGATTGATGAGGTCTGGGACTACGTCTTCTGCCGCACTGAGTGGTCGGACGACCTTGTCGAGAAGTCCGGCATTCCCAAGGAGACCCTGCAGGGCATGAGGAGAGACTTCCAGTACTTCTACCCTCTCGACCTCCGTGTCAGTGGCAAGGACCTGATCCCGAACCACCTGACCTTCTTCCTCTACAACCACATTGCTCTGTTCCCCCGCGAGTACTGGCCCAAGTCGATCCGCGCCAACGGCCACCTCCAGCTGAACGGCGAGAAGATGAGCAAGTCTACCGGCAACTTCATGACTCTTGACGACGTTGTCAGGAAGTATGGTGCTGATGCTGCTCGTGTTGCTCTTGCCGATGCTGGTGACGGTATCACGGATTCTAACTTTGTTGAGGATGTCGCCGATAACACCATCCTGAGGTTCTACACCAACAAGGAGTGGATTGAGGAGATCATCAAGGACGATAAGCTCCGGACGGGTCCGCTCAATGACTTCCAGGATGCCCTTTTCGACAATGAGATGAACGCTCTGGTTAACGAGGCCAAGAAGTACTATGAAGAGACCTCGTACAAACTTGCCCTCAAGGCCGCCCACTACGATTTCCTTAACGCCCGTGATACCTACCGCGAGGCCTGCAATGCGGCCGGCATTCCGCTCCACAAGGACCTCGTCTTCAAGTATATCCGCCTGCAGGCACTCATCCTTACCCCGATTGCCCCTCACTGGGCCGACTACGTGTGGCGCGAGATCCTGGGTGAGAAGGAGTCGATCCAGTTCGCCCGCTGGCCCGAGGTCCCCGCTGCCGACCCGGCGCTCACTGCCGCTCGCGAGTACGTGCGCACCACGTCGTCCAATATCAACTCGGCCGAGGCTGCGCAGCTCAAGAAGATGGCCAAGGGTCGCCAGAGCGACTTCGACCCCAAGAAGCCCAAGAAGCTCACCATCTTCATGACCGAGTCCTTCCCCGCTTGGCAGGCCAAGTACATTGAGCTGCTGAAAAAGGTCTGGGATCCGGCGACCAACACCCAAAAGATCGAGGACAAGGAGCTTAATGGCCGCATCGCTAAGATGGGCGAGATGAAGAAGGCCATGCCCTTCGTTCAGGCACTGAAGAAGCGTCTCCGTGATGGCGAGCCCGCTGAAACGGTGCTCGAGCGGAAGCTTGCTTTTGATGAGAAGAAGACTCTTCTTGTATGTTCCCTCACTCCTTACTTTACCGTTTCAGTGGGCTAACATTTTTTTTTCTTCCAGGCTATGGTTCCCGGCCTCAAGCGCACTGCTGGCCTCGTAGCTGTGCAAATCCTTGCCGTCACCGAGGGCAGCAAGGTCGGCATCGACCTGACCAACAATAATGTCGAGGTCGAAGTCAAGGCACCAGTGGCCGAGTCTGCCCTGCCCGGGCAGCCGAGCTTCCACTTTGAGAATGTTCAGGCTTAAATTAAAAAAAATCTGTCGCGGGAGGGTTCCTAAGCTAAATGTTTTGTAGCTAGATGTGTTACTGATATCAGGACAATAGCGTCCATTAGGTGTTTGATGAGTATCATGTTTGGTTAAGCTGTCGGTGCTTAAGTGCGTCTAGTGGTTTGTGTCTGGCAACTGAAAGGCGTGTACCTCGACTAAACTCATGGAGTAGTCAAGAATAAGCTTGATAGCTTGGAGTTCATGCTTTGACCATGACCACTGCGCAAACTCTGGTACGGAGTCCGGCCAAAGCAGGGTATTATGGTTGGGTAAGAGGGGGAAGCAAGGCGAACGGACCCTCTGACTGAGGTCATAGACCCCTCTATTCCATCCGTTTGCCGTCGATAACCTGGACAGCAAACAGGAGTGATGGGGCTGAGGCTGGATTCGTCATCAAGGCCGGGGAGGGGTTCCGGAGCGGAAAGAAGGGAGGACTATCCCGCCATGATGTATGGCAGAGGGGAACGCTCGGACTTATACGTAAAGAAGCACCTCTCGTTTGACTCCTTTCCCTCCATCTACATACTCGACTGCTGCTAGTTGATAACCATCGCAGAAAGCGACTTGATTCCTCTTGCAATCACATCTTATTTTGTCATCGGACTCCTAGATCCTATCAAGATGCGCTTCTCATTCTTATCAGTTCTGGCCATTGCTGGCCTCGCTGCAGCCCGTACGTGTTACCAGATCCCATGCAAGATATTCGCTCATATCTCCCAAACTTCTCACGCTTACTTTCATAGCTCCTTCTTGTTCTGATTTCTGTCCACGAGGAGGTGAAGGCTGACCCAGCAACAGAAACCACACCCACGCCCTCTGTCACCGTCATCACATCTTTATCGACCATTACCCCGACTCCGGCTGTGACGGAAACGGTCACGGGTACTGCCCCAAGTAAGTGCAATAACTATTACTTCCTTACCCAGAACTTCTTCGCGGCCATCTTTGGAAGATTCCACACAAGCACCACAGGCTCAACAGGCTAACCTGTACCCTTTACCGAAGCATCCCCAGCGGGAACTGCCACGGTCACTGTTGTCCCTGGAGCAGCAGTGCACGGAGCTGGCGTGGAGGGATCGATCCTCGGGCTTGCTATTGCTGGAGCTGTGGGTATACTACTGGTTTGAATAGAATCGAAGAACCACAGGGACACGGGATTCTGGTAAAGTTGATGGATTCATGGAGGTGGCCATCAAATAGTCCCGGCGTGTCGTAGGAAGGATGGGGTTTGGTTAGGTGATTGAAGGTGACCGTCGGTTGAGTCAACGAATCAGAAAATATATGGCGAATTTTGTAAACCCTTCCAGTTGTCCGAAAAGAGCTTGGATATGAGGATTCGTAATGGTGATCGAGGATATCGCGTTCCGATATCAATCTATTACTAGCTGGGCCGCAATGCTGTGTCTTCCGACGGGTATCAATCAAGGAGCCCTCCGTATTGGTGTGAACTGGCTCTGCTCATAATCGCAACATTATCATAATTGTTGCGCGGACGACTTCTATCGGTCGTGCTGTACTAACGTCGACTTGGTGAACGTTTAGGCGGCGACCTCAACAGGCGCAGCAGATGCATCTTTCGGCTTAGGAAGGTTATCCTGCGCGTGGGTCAGTTCCTCGAGCTCATGGGGCAAAATTCCGCCCTTGTTCATATTCTGGAAACCAACCGCATCAAAGATAACCCTGATCATAAGACTGCAGCTTGGGCAAACGGCAATATCTTGACCATCTGCCAAGTCGACCAGCGCGATTTCGAAGCGATCGCCACAGGGGCAGGGGTAGTGGTAGATCTGGAGGGTCTCATCGAAAGTCATGTCTTCGATCTCGACCTCGTCGTAGATTGAATACTGCTCGTCCGCCATTTTTTATATGTTTTTATTCACTGCCTCTGTTGAATCCTCTGGGGACAAGGGTGCAACGCGTTCGCGAAGAAACCTATGTTGCAAAGGAGGATTTTGTTGGACTGTTGAGGGGCAAATTTTTATCTTATCGCACGTGGGACAGTCACGTAAAATACCGTTATTGCGTGTGACCAGTAGAACCCCATTTCGAATACAAAAAACAATTTGGACTACATTATTTCCATTTTACACCATGAACATGACCCTTTTTTCATGAAGATATACCACGTAAATAGTCCCCATCATGATATCATTTCTAAGTAGTTCCCGCCAACTGCGAAATGTACATGAATTCTACTTCCTGCCCTCTCCCGCCTCCTTCGCCAGTGTCTTCAAAGCCTCCTCATACTCCTTCACCCTCTTCTCCGAGAATCCACCATCCTCCACGTCCTCCCCGATCTTCGCTCTCTGCACCTTTCCATGCCGAACAATACTCGTGACAGCTCCCTTGCCCTCACCAGCAAACTCCCTCCAGAACCGTCTGCCCTCCGAGAACTCAACCAACGTCCAAGCGCAGCCCTTCCGTCCTGCACGCGCCGTGCGTCCGACACGGTGCACGTATGACGTTTCGCTGATCGGCACGTCGTAGTTGACCACGTGCTCCAGGTTGAGCAGGTCGATACCACGCGAGACGAGGTCCGATGCGACGAGGATGCGCAGCTTGCCCTGTGTAAAAGCACGCAGAGTACGTGTGCGCCGGGCAGTCTTCGTTGATGATGTGAGAACGCCGATAAGAGGGGCCAGGTCGGGAACCAGGAGGGTGAGTAAGCGGGAGAGACGCAGGGCTGCTTCGTTGCTCTTGGTGAAGATGAGGACCGTAGTGGGGAACTTGGCCGCTGTCGGGAACCGAGTGGTGGCTCGCTCCTGTTGAAAGGTTTCTTCCCGATCCGATGAAGCAGATGATGAGTCAGAGTCGGAATCGGATACTGAATCAGATTCGGATTCGGAGCTGGATGACTCGGAAGAGGATGAAGACTCCGAGTCGCTGGCATCGGAGGGAACTGATTTTGTCTTGGCGGTGCCATCTTTGTTGACAGCGACCATGTGCTTGCTCCGGAGCAGATCCACCAAGTATAATGGCTTCAAACTGGCCTCACGCACCTTGATGGCAAACTCGCTGAGGGTAGACGGCAAGACCTGCTCACCAGCCCTCGTGCCCTCGACAAGAACAAGCTGAGGTCTCGATAACTTCAAACCGTTCAACAGGCTTAAATCACGGGTCATCGTGGCGCTAAGGATAACTTTTCGTACACCGGATTTGTTTGATGTTGGAAAGTCGCGAGCACCCGGCTTCGCAGTGCTCAGCTTTTCTGTAACCGTTGCCAGCCACTGCTGAAAGTCTTGAGCCAACAACTTGTCAGCTTCATCGACGATCAGCCAGCGAACATAGTCAAGCGTGAAACCAGGCGTCTTTGTGATGTGTTCCACAAGTCGACCGGGGGTGCAAATAAGAATGTCGACCTTGGATACATGGGAGATGACATGATAGGGAAGGGGCAGAGTCCGCCCAATATGTAGCTCGTCATCCTCTTCGTCCGATTCTTCCAGATCAACGAAGCTATCTTGCTTCCTCAGGTATTTCTCGAACCCCTCAGGATCGTACTTTTGCTCTTCCCCCATAATCACGGTCTGTTCATCTTTGAATGGTCTGTTACCCATGGCAGTCGCAATTTTGACGCGCTTGCCGCCATTCACAGCAAACGCGGCGGCACATGTCTCGCAGGCGAGTTGGACCTGATGAACAAGGTCTCTTGTGGGCAGCACAATAAGGGCCCTTAGCCTGGTGATGCGACCTCGACTAAGATCATGTACCATGGGAAGCACATAGGACAGAGTCTTTCCCGAACCAGTTGGGGCAGCGACAACTACGTCGCCTTGGCGGTCGGCAGAGGGCAACAAGAGAGGAAGCACGGCGGTTTGCACTGCAAACGCATCCTTGAAACCTTTAGACTCAAGTACCCTTGCTGATTCAGGAGAAATGCCTAGCTCATTCCATGGCTGTTTCATCTCGGGGTTGACCCGGATAGGCGAGGCAAGCCATTGAGGCAGAGTCTCGTAAGTCAACTTGGACTCATCAAAGACGACTGGCTCTGGCTGCGGGATTGGTTCAAGCCCATGCTCCTCAGCAGGCTCTTCCTCTATCTGCTTCTCAGGCTCCGTGCTCTTGAGCTCCTCTTTAGGCAGATGCTGTTGTATCTGGAGAGATCTCTGGAACCTTTCAAGCACTGATGTATGGCCCTTATGGAGCAGAGCCGCCTCGGCATCGGCCATCTCAATATCCTGATCACCCAATTGCTTGTTCTTCTTCTTTTCGCGTTTAGGTGGCTTTTTTGTTGTTTGTATGGCATCGTTCGAGGCTCCAGGCGCAGGCTCCCTGTCGGCTGCACTGTTCAGTTCCAGCTCTGGATCCGCGTCGGGCTGCTCTGTCTGTTCTGTTCCGTTTCCCTGTATAACATCATGTTCAGATGGTTTCGTTGGTTCTTCCTCGTCCCGTTTCCGCTTTCGTGCCTTGGAGGCTTGGGCGTTGTTAGCAGCACTTTGTTCTTGTGCCTCGTCTTCGGGCTTGTTTGATTTAAACTTTGCTTTTCTGGACTCTGTCGTACCCTTCGTCTCTGCGTTTGTTGAGCGGCCATCTTTACTTTGATCATTTGCGGAAAAATCATCATCACTGAAAACAACTCGTTGTGATGCCGCTGGCTGCAGGGGTTGCGCTGTCGCTTGACCGGGGATGTATCGAGCATACGGTGTGGACGTCGAGAAGGCCGGAGTAGCAGGAGGAGCAGTTGCTAGCACGGCCCGAACAGGAGCAGACTGCTGTGTGTCTTTCGGAGGTGGTATATAGCGGGCGTACATCTTCAATGAGAACTCTGGGGGTGTCCGTGTCCTAGAAGCAATGCTGCGGCCAAACTCAATTTAACCAAGCTGTGTTGACGACTGCATTTAAAGATGAAAAAAAAACATGGAGTGTCGCTAGATGCTCCTGCATGTGCGGGGCCGGTGTGGGGCAAGAGCTGTTGTGATCCACTTGTTGAACTAGGGTCTTGATCTTGGCATTCTTGGTACCCCTTATCGGAGGGTTCCAGACCGCTGAAGCAAATGCAGCCACGACATCGCAGCCGAGGCCACGACACTCCCAGACCAGCCTGGCCCAGTATCATCCGTTGCTTGTTGGTCTCTCCTCCCAAACGGACACCACACGTTCATTACACTTGTCAGTACAGCCCGAATTGAACATCGGACAGTTGTGGCTGGGGAAAATGCATCCCCTCCACGCCCGCAGGGACAGACACGATGACGCCCCGTTCCAGACCTACCTACAACATCGCTATGGTTAGCGATTTCTTTTTTCCCCAGCCCGGCGGTGTCGAGAGTCACATCTATCAATTATCGACGAAGCTGCGCGATCGTGGTCACAAGGTCATCATCATCACGCATGCCTACGAGGGTCGTACTGGTGTGCGCTATCTGACCAACGGCATCAAGGTCTACCACGTTCCGTTCCTTGTTGTCTATCGTTCTGCCAGTTTTCCTACAGTCTTCTCCTTCTTCCCGATCTTTCGAAATATTGTCCTACGTGAGAAGATCGACATCGTTCATGGGCACGCCAGCTTGAGCAGTCTGTGCCATGAGGCCATCCTTCACGCGAGGACCATGGGTCTGCGCACTGTTTATACCGACCATTCGCTCTTTGGCTTTGCTGATGCTGCCAGCATCTTTGCCAACAAGCTGCTCAAGTTCAGCTTGAGCGACGTAGACCATGTCATCTGCGTGAGTCATACCTGCAAGGAAAACACTGTCCTCAGAGCATCCTTAGACCCTCTCATGGTTTCGGTCATCCCCAATGCTGTGGTGGCCGAGAACTTCAGGCCTCTGGAGGATTCTGAAGTGCAGAACGGAATGTTCAAAGGGCATCCGGCTCCAGTTCGGCCACCTGGGCCAGACGACATGATCACTATTGTTGTTATTTCACGTCTATTCTACAACAAGGGCACCGACCTGCTCACGGCTGCTATTCCTCGAATCCTGGAGAATCACCCCAACACTCGCTTTATCATTGCCGGTGATGGGCCCAAGGCCATTGATCTAGAACAGATGATCGAGCAGAACGTTCTTCAGGATCGTGTCGAGATGTTGGGTCCTATCCGCCACGAAGAGGTTCGCGACGTCATGGTGCGCGGCCATATCTATCTTCACCCTTCACTCACGGAAGCCTTTGGTACGGTCATTGTGGAGGCCGCCTCCTGCGGTCTGTATGTCGTTTGCACCCAAGTTGGAGGCATCCCCGAGGTATTGCCCTCGCACATGACCGTGTTCGCGAAGCCGGAAGAGGACGACCTGGTGGAGGCGACCGGTCGCGCCATCGCTGCCATCCGTGCCAACAAAGTTCGTACTGAACTCTTCCACGAGCAGGTGAAGAGCATGTACTCGTGGACCAACGTTGCCACGCGCACGGAACGGGTCTACGACGGGATTTCTGGTGCGATCAGTGAAGAGGAGTTCTATGGCTACGAGGCTGTTGACGGCTGGAGTGCCACAAGGGGTCGGTCTGGAGTACAGAGCTTCGCGCTGATTGACCGGCTGAAGCGCTACTACGGCTGTGGTATATGGGCCGGAAAGCTGTTTTGTCTGTGCGTCATTGTCGACTACTTAATCTTTCTGTTCCTCGAGTTGTGGTTCCCAAGGGACCAGATCGATATCTGCCCCGATTGGCCGAGGAAAGAGCCAAAAGAGAGAGGAAAGGATGCCGATTGAGACAAATCGATGAGCGGGCACAATCATCAATCTCACACCGCACTGCCTTGAAACGGAGTACTCTTCGCAGTCTAGCCGAGAGAAGTCCAGTATGACCAGGCTCGGACACATGGGACGTATCTTGATCTGCCTAGTGTCAGCGCCAACAAGCCAACTGCTAAGATCACACTCTAGCTCTCGCTCTCAAAACTCCAATCGTTTCAATTACGGAGCTGTCTCTCATGATAGGCGTTTTGTCCAAAGACAATTCTGTAGTGCGTGACAGGAATGGCAGCAGTTCGGCTGTGGGAGGAGTGTCGTGTTCCTACCCAAGATTCCTACCCAAGAACGGCGACGATTCCAATGTCAACATATGTCGACCTCCGAAAATCACCCTTGTGGTCTACTAATTGATATCTTCGACCTCTACGTAGATTGCACGTAGTGTGGCTTCATAGAAGAATAAGACAACTGATACCATGGTGTATGTCATTTTCTCTTCCGTTTCCTTTCACCTGCTTAAGGTCCTTCACTTGAGCAAGGTCACCTTGGAACGAAATGTGTCTTCCGTCTCACCCCTGGCTCTCCTCCATCGATCTGTCTCTCAAGGTTCAGGCATCTTCTAGGGACCGATTCTGACACTTGGGGCTTGGTAGCACAATGTCTTTGTTTCCTTATCCCCTTTAGAAACAGCAAGCACTATCAACCAGCAACCCCGCAGTTAACCCTTACACCTCATTCAGACTTGGTTTTAATGTCTTAACGGACCTGACAACGCCCCTGACTAGTATTTTGCCACATTGTTCTTTTCGAGCAATGGTCTTCGTACTGGGGACCGATGTATCTCAGTCATTGTCGCTTGTACAGTCCGCATCCAATGAACGGAAGGTCCGGGTCCGTCTATGACCGGGCCCGGTACAAGACCCCGCCGCCGTTAGCACCGTGCGACCACCGACCCCGCCATACTCTCCACGGTTCCACACCGAGGGCTCTTATCGGTGACGGTGCCCAAACGAGCTGCGCCAGTGACGGCATTGACGGAGACGAGAGGAACCGTGGCGACAGCTACCGTCTTTTCGCATCGTTTTATCTTCTGCAGCGAGATTTTTTGGCCGGCTCAAATCGTACGATCTGCAACGTCAGGAAGATTTGCGCTTTGGATTATTTGGTCTTCTCAGCCCGCCGTCACCACTTCTCAAAGACTATCGACAACTTCAACACTCAGCCAACAAGTTGTGCTTCAAACTCTCTCATAGCTAACAAGCTGGAAGCTCCGACTCACATAACTTCAAACTTCCCAAGTCAACAGCCACAATTATGAGACGGTCCAGCAGCTCAGGGGGCACTCCTTTCATCTCCCTCCTTGAGCCACACCCCCTCACAGGCTGGGACCGCACTCTCCCAGCTGACGAACAGCCCGATCTGGACAGCTTGCCCCGCACCTTCGTCGACGCAATGCGTGTGCGCCAGGAGGTCTTCGTTCAGGAGCAGAACGTCCCCTTAGCAAATGAATTCGACGCCGACGATCCGCGCTCCTGCCACTGGGTGATCTACGCCTCAGTCAACAAGACCGTGGAGCCGGCACGCACTGACCCCGTCACAGGCAAAATCATCCAGCCGCGGCGTAGCGAGACGCAGAGCGTGCCGATCGGCACGATCCGGCTTGTGCCCTTCCCGCATCCGCCGCATCCGCTAGACGGCGGGGTCTACGTAGACGGGGAGCTCGTGAACTCGGGCGAGCCGGTCGCAAGGGTACATAGCATCCACCCTGCCGCTGGCGGTGAGAGAACGACCTCTCAGTACTCCTCTAACAGCACCTCCCCAACCCTCCCAAACTCCCAAATTGTGCCTCCAGCTCCCCCATCCCTGATCAAGCCAGCCTTCACACCGGACCGCCCAACCACCTACCACGACGGCGTGGAGCCTTATCTCAAGCTGGGCCGACTTGCCGTGATCCCTGCCTTCCGAGGCCGTGGCATCGCCCAGCAGCTCATCAAAACTGCCGTGGCATGGGCGCGGTCGCACCCAGAGTATTTTAACCCGTCGGCAACAGAGCAAGGGTTTGAGCAGCTGGGCATGGAGGAAGGGAGCCGCATGAGGGGAGGAGGAGTTGTGCCCCGATGGCAGGGATTGATTTGTGTTCATGCGCAGGTAGAAGCGATCAAAGTGTGGGAGAGGTGCGGGTTTGTTCTTGATGAGGGTATGGGGAAGTGGATGGAGGAGGGGATTCCGCATGTGGGCATGTTTCTGAGAGTGTCTTTGGACAAACGAGAGGATGAGTTCACTATATAATTATTCCTTACGTTTCCTTGCAGATTATAGAGGGCACCCCATCACAGTGTCGGTGGATAAGCGGTGTGGGTATTTTTGTAAAAAATCGAAAGAAATCAGGGATGAATCTGATACCATGGGATTGTCACATGTCACATATAAGCCGGAAGCGAGAAAATGGGAAAAGAGAAACCCAAACTCCAGGTTTTGCAATCACACCGTGGGCGCCATTATCCGTTCCTGTCATTCGTTCACATTTTGCTCCCAAATTACGAGAGCCCTAATATGCCTGTTTGACAGGAATGCCATGCATCCAGACCGTAATGCGCAAAAGCAGCCCTGAAAAACAAGCCGAAAAACCGTCCCGTCCCGGTCCACATGCCTTCCCCCAGTGCACCCTTTTACCGGTTGCTCTTGGCGACACGCTCCAGCTCGTCCTTCTTCTTGATGGCATACGAGTTGCTGCTGCCCTTGGCGGCGTTGATCAGCTCCTCAGCGAGGCACTCAGCGATGGTCTTGACGTTGCGGAACGCCGCTTCGCGGGCGCCCGTGGTAAGGAGGGCGATGGCCTGGTTGACACGGCGTAGGGGCGACACATCGACGGCCTGCCTCCGGACGGTACCAGCAGAGCCGATACGGGTGCTGTCTTCGCGGGGACCGCAGTTGACAATAGCGTCAACAGCGACCTGGATGGGGTTTTGGTCGGTCATCAGGTGGATCTGCGAGTTTCTGTTAGAACAGCGTTCCCATTCTCCTTGCGGGACTGCCAATGCTCACAATCTCGAAGGCGTGAGCGACAATGCGGACGGCCATGAGCTTCTTGCCGTTGTTGCGGCCGTGCATCATCAGAGAGTTGGTCAGGCGCTCAATGATGGGGCAGTTGGCCTTGCGGAAGCGCTTGACGGCATAGCGGCCAGCCGAGTGAGGAATGTAGACCGGGGCGCGGATCTGGATGTAATCGCTGCAGAGAAAGCAGGCCCGTTAGTCGCTGAATGAAGGAAAAGAAACTGGCGTCAAGAAATCGGCCTCGCGATCAAACGAGGAACTCGTCGCTTTCGAAATTGTGTGGGTGTAGTCTTACGTCAGAGAGATATCCCGGATCTCGATATCATCATAGCTCCAGCGGTCTGCAAATTACACAGGGTCAGTCCTCAGTCCAGCTCATCGGTTGTCGATGCAATTCGTCGGTTTCCGATTCGACGATCAAAATTACTGGGAAGGGTGCAACGTACTGAACAGCTTGACGCTGCCAACTTCGGCGAGGACCTCCTTGGGGAGGACATCGTACTGGGGCTGGGCCACTTCGACTTCGCCTTCGGACATGTTTGCGGTGGACGGCTGACTGCGAAAACCTCGAGGTGGTGACGGTTTGAAGTTTGGGCGTGGAGGACAATACACTTGAAGTCTTGTGAGGTTTGAGTCGTCAATTTTTTGGTGGCCCCGCAGGTGGTCTGGGCGCCACATCAGCCACTCACAGTTCCGCATTTCTTTAGGGCTTGGTTGACCTAAGCAATTGGACCGCGCGCCATCTGAAAAATCTCCCCGCTTTTGGAGGCTTGATCAACGACGCAACCTTCCATCATCAACCCACCAGAACAGGACATCCAAAATGGCTCCCGCGGCTCAGTCTGGTGCTAAGAAGCAGAAGAAGAAGTGGTCCAAGGGGAAGGGTAAGCGTTCTGTTGCACCGACAGGCTTTTTGGCGGTTCCCGACGCGCCAAAACGGCTGCACTTCGCGACGGACAGCGACGGCTAACATCGAGATCTGTGATCAGTCAAGGACAAGGCCCAGCACTCGGTCATCCTTGACAAGGCCACTTCCGACAAGCTCTATAAGGATGTCCAGTCCTATCGCCTCGTGACGGTCGCCACCCTCGTCGACCGCCTCAAGATCAACGGCGCCCTGGCTCGCAAGTGCCTCAAGGACCTCGAGGAGAAGGGTCTCATCAGGCAGGTGGTTGGTCACAGCAAGATGAAGATCTACAGTACGTTTGTCCGGTGATTTGGGGCCAGCAAGGATTGTCAGAGAAAAGGGGGAAATCAGTGCTGACACAAAACCACAGCTCGTGCCGTTGGCGCCGCTGCCGAGTGAACAATCACCATCTATCAGAACGACAGACCTGGCGGGCAAGGTTGCGACTTTGGTAAAACGGCGGTTCGCTTGGGTTTGCTATTTTTCAGGCATGGCTACGTCTCTGGGAATGGGAATCGACTTGCAGCTCGGTGTAGCATAGGGATCGGAAGGGCTCCAGATCCTAGACTGGAATTGCGTCGAGTTACGAAGAAACAACGCCGCGTCTCTGCCCTGCCAGGGCTCGAGTTTGATGAACAACAGCCGGTTCCCGATATCATGATGTGATACCCCGTGGTTGATGACCGAGTCGGCTCGAGCTGAAGGGAAAAAAGCTAGGGCATGTCGAAAGGCATGTCGAGGTAGTGAATGAATAACCCATCGTCCATCGATTGTCTAAGACGCTTGCCTAAAGTTTTGTTCGAGTCTTTAATCTCTCACCATTGCGTTTGCAATCTGTGGGATGGCCCCGTTTGGCAGTACCTGGGAGGTTGCTTTCATACACCTGTTGGCCATTCTGTTTCATGTGATTGGGGGCCAGCCCTTAGACCTCAACCTATGTTGACCTATGTTGACCATGTTCGCTTCCAACTAAGGTATCTGCATCCTCGAGCACTCTGTAACGCAAAAAGCTCTCAATAGAATGTCTCATCCATCTAGGTGGCTTCACTGGAAGCATGATTCTGAGGAAAAATATGCAGGCCGAATAGCTTGTGGTGGCTTTACCGAGTAGCGATAGGGCAGGAGGTGACAAAGCAATACTTCAAACACTCGAACGCCGGGCAGCGACATAACGTAACCTACATAATCTGCATGCCCCGCAAGGTCCCTCTCTGGTTCTTATCGCTTCCATGCATTGAAGCCTTGAAAAGGGCAGCAACCCAGGACTCAAGCACAAAATTCACGCTCGGTCCCAACCCTCAAGAGTTGCCAACATACGCGGCGGCCCCCCTGACGTGGAGATCGGGGTGTGCATTGCTGGAACTTGAACGTCGAAAACTTTTTGACTGGGCCCAATTGACTCCTTCTCATTGGTCGCACAAGACTTCCGGAGCTTTTATTAGCCTCGTGGGACCGTTCAGCCGAGCAACAGCGCAGAAAGCGCAAGACATTCGCCGCGGATGGCGAAACCCGACCCCATGCTTTGACTCGAGGTGGTGATCAAAACCAAGCTCAAGGGCAGCTGGGACAGCGTAGCTTTAGTGTCTGGAGGGTATCAAAAGAGCGTCTATGTACATAATTCAGGTGACAGATGGAATAAGCAGCATACTGTTTGCGTCAGAGAAGCCCATATGTGAAAGATGCAGAAATGCCTGCCCCCATCTGGCCGTTGCCCCGTTTGCGATATCAACCCTGGTAGACAAGCCCTGGGAACCTCGGGCTTTACCGGCAGGCCCAGATGCCAGGTGCCACTCTGCCACTGGCAGGGCTGCAAAAGGGCAGCACATCGGCCAGTCGTTGCCGTGAATCCCGTGGCTGGGCGCCATTGGCCCGTGCGTAGCGCGGCAGGGGGGCCGGAAAGACTCGCACTCAAAAGCAGGTCGCTTCCGGACCGCTTGCGAATTTTTTTCCCTCTTCCCCCCCAAACCTCCCAGGACCGCAGAATTTATTTCTCGCGACTTCCTGCATCCTCCATCACCCAGACTCTCTCCGTAGAGCTTGGTGCCTCATCTCCACTCCATTCTTTCTTTTCAAAGGGATCTTTGACAAGAAGCCAAGATGTCGGGCAAGCAGCAGGAGAAGGTCCTGGGCATGCCGGTAAGTTTTGACGCTATTTTCCTCGATTTCCCCTCCCCCTCCCCCTCCTTGCCCTAGCGGTCCGCGCGATTTGGGCACAACGGCTTAGTTGTCCGGGCCTCCAGCAATTGGCATCACAAACGGACAGCAGTGAGTTTTGCAGTCAATATTTTGCATAGCATCTGCTTTGCGTTTGTCTGCGTTGCTTGTTGTCTGCCATGGTGTAACTGGGGTCCCTGCATGTAAGCCAAGCGTGCGTCATTGACAGCCATGCTAACTTTGTGTGATAGCCCTTCGTGGCCGACTTCCTGAGTACGTCAATCCTAAATCACACCTTCGCCGAACAGCCCTGACAACCATCGCTGTTCTTGAAAACGGCTGTGCCGCAGTTGGTTGCTGCCCTCGAAACATGGTGCTGACACCATCATCACAGTGGGCGGTGTCTCTGCCGCCGTCTCGAAGACCGCCGCCGCTCCCATTGAGCGCATCAAGCTCCTCATCCAGAACCAGGTATGCAGGTTCCTTCCCATGCTGTATTTGTCCTCGATTCGCCATGCCGTGCATATCCAGACGGTCATTTTGTATCCCGAATAAAGCAAAACTTTCGATAATGTCACGTGCATTTGATTTCGAGGATCTGCACTCTGCGATAAGCAGATACAGATAAGATGCTGACACCCGTACAGGATGAGATGATCAAGGCTGGCCGTCTTGACCGCCGCTACACCGGCATCATTGACTGCTTTAAGCGCACCACTGCCGATGAGGGTCTCCTCTCCCTCTGGCGTGGCAACACTGCCAACGTCATCCGTTACTTCCCCACCCAGGCCCTGAACTTCGCTTTCCGCGATAAGTTCAAGAAGATGTTCGGCTACAAGAAGGACAAGGATGGCTACTGGAAGTGGATGGCCGGTAACCTGGCCTCCGGTGGTGTAAGATTTATCCCCGGTGACACATCGAACCTGCTTCATGCTGATTCTGTTTAGGCTGCTGGTGCTACCTCCCTCCTCTTCGTCTACTCCCTCGACTACGCTCGTACTCGTCTTGCCAACGACGCCAAGTCGGCCAAGAGCGGCGGTGAGCGCCAGTTCAACGGTCTCATCGACGTCTACCGCAAGACCCTCAAGTCTGACGGTATCGTCGGTCTCTACCGCGGCTTCGGTCCCTCGGTCGCTGGTATCGTCGTCTACCGTGGTCTGTACTTCGGCATGTACGACTCGATCAAGCCTGTCGTCCTTGTCGGCCCTCTTGCCAACAACTTCCTTGCCTCGTTCCTGCTCGGCTGGTGCGTCACCACTGGCGCTGGTATCGCTTCTTACCCTCTTGATACCGTCCGTCGTCGCATGATGATGACCTCTGGTGAGGCCGTCAAGTACAAGAGCTCGATCGACGCCTTCTCTCAGATTATCAAGAAGGAGGGTGTTAAGTCTCTCTTCAAGGGTGCTGGTGCCAACATCCTCCGTGGTGTTGCTGGCGCTGGTGTGCTCTCGATCTATGACCAGCTCCAGATCCTTCTCTTCGGCAAGGCCTTCAAGGGCGGCTCCGGCTAAACTCGCTTAACCACTGCACGAACTTCGCGGTGATGGAGGCTGTCGGAGGTGATCGTGGTTGAGCAGCTGGAGGGATGAGGGCGAACTGGGTCTGCGGCGTTGGGGGGAAACGGGTGGATCCATCGTGACAGACGTGCATATGTGTGCGTCTGGGACGTTGGGTATTGCGGGTAACAAAATCGGGCATATCTGGCGTTATAGGGACGCGGATGGGCCGGTCACCCGCTGTAATTTATACACTTGAGCCATTCCCGGTGCATTCCTGCAACACTTGCTCTCTGGGTGTTTCCTTTTATGGCTTGCGACAATAGATCCCTTTGACAATGTATTTGCTGTTTTTTGTGGCTTGAATGTGATTTGATTACTCGTGCGAGCCCTCCATTTCGGTCCTTCAATGGTGAGCTTTCGTAACATACGAACAGTAATCTGTATTTGCACAGTGTAATGTAAAGCTTAGTTGTGACTCCAAGTAACTGCGTCGCGTTCCCGGGTCCTGCATTTCTAAAAGTCGATCTAATCACCAAGTTCACCTAGTCACTGCCCCGCTCTCAGAACGACTGGTGAATCTTTTCGGATCTCAAGTCCGACCTCTTCAGGATTCTACAACATATAATCATATTTTACAGCAATGCCGCCCAAGCAAACGGCCTCTCGCGGCCGCGCTGCAGTCGCACAGAGCAGAGGAAACACAAAAAACACGGCCAAGTCACGGCGCATGGAAGAGGCAGATGAGGAGGTTAGTTCGACGGCTGAGACAGAGCATGGGGTTGAAGAAGCTATGGATCTCGATGATCATGCAGGCGGTAGGAGACGGCGGCAGCGCCGGGATGAGGAAGAGGAGGAATACAATGAGGTCGATGACGATAATGCGGTTGTGGAGGATGAGGAGGAAGACGATGAGAGGGAAAATATTCATCCTGAGCTGCTGACGCGCATCTTGCATGAGTTCTTTGAGAAGGAAGACACGCGCATCACAAAGGATGCTAATGCGGCAGTTGCGAAGTATGTGGATATTTTTGTGAGGGAGGCAATTGCTAGGGCGGCTGTGGAGAGGGGGAGGGGCTTCCTTGAGGTCAGTTGTCGTCTAGCTGCATCTTCATGGGATAAGACTGCTAACAATTTTCTCTGAGTAGGTTGAGGATCTGGAGAAGATCGCTCCTCAGCTTTTGATGGATTTGTGAGCCGAGACCTGTTGGCATCTTCAGGGACAGCATTTCATTGTTGCCGCTTCCCCTTAGGCTCACTGACTGGAACTCCCTGAGCTACCCCATAGGGACATCACAGAGCGTTTTATTCTCGATATCTACGGTACAAACCGCCAATTCGTCTGGCCAATCTCATTGCATTCCCAAGCCCAGACTAAACTAAACCATGCGGCCAGTTAGGACAAGGTAGTTCGGATGGTTGCCTATCCTCGTTCCGTGCCGTGTGTCATGGTCGGAATCGTGGTGACGGGATGACCCGTTGGGATTTGACGAGGGCATTTATACGGATCATCCAGAGGACCTGAGAGGTTGTATTCTCTGCACAGATCTTCCGGCATAAGAGTGAATGGGAATGTCAGGGCAGGGAGGATTGACGAGTTGCATATTGTTTTCATCCGTACTCTCAGCAGGCGAGTCGATCTTGGATCGGACTGATGATCTGGAAACTAGGACGGGATGATATGCATATAGCGGCCGGTCCAAAGATACTTAAGTACATCAACCCTAGGTAATCAAGAGACCAATTCGCAACCAGCATGACACATCAGCATGAGACAACACTGAAAAGCTTCGACAAAAAGTCCTCATCGGCTAGTTTAACCCAACTCTATGCTTGCCTGCCAGACCCCCGGCCGCGAAAACTCACCTCGCACTCCTAGATTATCCAAAAATATGACTCATAGTATTTAAATCCATCTCGACTAGTAGCTCCCAAATCAACTGTGATCGAAAAGTCAGCGAGATACTCTGCTGGCAAGCTTGAATGGATGGTAGGTGTCCAGCCCGCGGAGACGTCCGCATCCAATCCAATAACCCCACATAGCCCCAGTGAGCACGTGCCCACCCATCGATGCTGTTTTTAGGGCAATGATCGAAATTAACCAAAATTCCATGCACAGACCTCTTACTCTCACAATGGTGAAAGTTGGTTTGCGATTGAAAACGGCGAATGATGCGGATGGCAAGCGAAGCGCTTAGGCAGTGGGGCTGAAACCCCCTACGTTTGAAAAATGTCACAAACTGCGGCAAAACGGCAAGCCTGGACTTGGCACCCCTGCCGAGCAGCACTGGTAACCACTGGAGCCATTAGAATTTGTCCAACCGCTATGGCCGGCCTCGTGGTAGGCCGGATGGATGAGGCTGAGTTGTGGGGTGCGGCTCTGTTCCGGCGGCGCAGTTCGGAGCCTTGAGGTTGCAAGCACAAACCTTAATTCTCGGCTTCAGATCTGTCCGGTGCTAGCGAGCAGCATGGGAATTGGGAGGGCGCCGAGAAAGCCGATGAGCTATGCTGGAGAGTGTGTAACACTCTTCTATTCTGCGACCTGCTCTAAGCCTCTGTCTTCGGACTTGTTCAAGCGTAGGCGGCTACAGCGCTATATTCATTGGCGATGTTAAGCTAGGATCAGACTTAGAATGATATCTAACTCCATCAATATTAGCAACAGCGCCTAGGAATGGCTGTGTGTCTCAAGGAACCATTGAAATTTCGTTCTGTGTTGGTCCTTGTCGCTCTAACCAGGTCTCGACTTGACGTTGTTGCTTTGTTGCCCCTGTCTGCGTTGCCGAGTCAGGGGAAAGGAGAAACGTTCAAACACCTAAGCGCACAGTAGACAAGGTCTGCATACATGGAAGCAACTCAAAGAGGTTGTCAGCATGTTTCTCTCCATTACCCAATCAAGCTCTCGTGATTTGCCACACTACTCTTTGGTGGCGGGTGAAGACGCCCAGAGGTAGTGTTGACAGCGCCATCGTGTTTCACACGCCTGTCGTTCGCACCCTGGTCCCTCCCTACAACCACCCCATTTGCTTGGCCCCAAGATGGTACCTTGGACTCCGGACGATCATTTACTCTGCTGCAGGGGCTCGGAAAACTTGTATAATTCATGCCGTTCCCAATCTGCGATCTGCTCAGTTTGCTTTCATTTTCTCTCCATAGTCAACTCTTCACGCCGTCGTCTTTTCTTGACGCTTCACACAGGCTAGTCCTGTCTTCTATTCGTGCATAGCGCTAGTCGCTCTCTGTTAGGCCTTCAGTCTCTCTCTTGCAGTCATCGCTTCGAGTCCGGCACTCATCCGTAATAAACTACAATCATATCTGTCAATATGCAGCTCACTACTCTGGTCCTCTCGGCTCTTGCGGGCATCGCCTCTGGTGAGTTTCCACCGAAAGAATGTCACAGAGCATGGATACTAACAACCTGGGTAGCCCAACAGAAAGTCCATGTCGTCGCTGTCGCCCAGAATTCCACCCTCACCTTCTCTCCTTCCCGCCTGACCGTGGCACCCGGTGAATTCGTCCAGTTCCAGTTCCACGCGGGCAACCACACGGTGACACAGTCAACCTTCGACCAGCCCTGCCAGCCGATCGCCATGCACAGCAACGTGACTGGCTTCCACTCGGGCTTCCTTCCGGTCTCCGCCAGCCTCGAGGCGGGTATGATCCCCACCTACACCATCCAGGTCAACGACACCAAGCCGCTGTGGCTGTACTGCGCCCAGGGCAGGCACTGCCAGAATGGCATGGTAATGGTTATCAATGAGCCGTATGTACCCTCAAGAAGTGATTCTGGGAGTCGTAGCAGTGATTAACATCCTGACATCAGTGCCAACAACGCGTCCCGCACGCTCGAGAACTACAAGGCTCTTGCCGCCCAGGCGACGACCATCGTTCCTGGCAGCCCCGAGGCCGTAGCTGGCGGCGACAACAGCCAGACTGGCGGCAACAACGGTGGCGATGCCGGTACTGGTACCGACAACAACGGCACTGGCCAGACCGCTGGTGCTGGCATGCTCTCTGCCTCGGGTACCATGGCTCTGGTTGCTGCTGTTGGCGCGGCGCTGCTGCTCTGAATGGGGTAATGATGTTACGGGGACATTGAGGGTATGGTAGTATGTATATGGCGGAGCCAGTGTATTGTAATGGTTGTATGTTGCATATGGCATGGAAAGGGGTTAAGCGGAATGATTTGCCTTTGGATGGTTGAGAGAGACTCTGTTGGCTTTATGATACCTGTTTATATCTTTTCGGTCTAAGAAAGGACGGCGTTTTTTTTCTTCCAATCTTTGTCCTTTCATACACATAAGTGCGTTTTCCATGCTTTGTTCCGTAGAGGATAGTACGGAGTATCTCCCCATCTCGATGTGTTCACGTACATCTAGGTACACTGTTGTGGTTACCAATCCTTCCGAAACAAAGAAAAAAAACGGACTGATATCCAACACGGTATTATCCAGAAGCAGCATGTTCATTTACCATCCTTCCTTTCGTCTTTCTTCGGCGGCGTCCTCTTTCTCCTTCCCTTTGCAGCAGCATCGCACAGCTTCCTCCTCGGCTCATTCTTTGGCCAGCCCTCAGGCTTCTTAACATACCCAACAAAATGGTACTTCTGGCTTTCAGCAAAGAACCTTGACCAGTGCGCCAACGCCTCGTGCACCCGTTGCTTGGCCTCAGCGCGCTCGCGGCGACGCATCTCCCGAAGCTCCTCTGGTGTCCAGTACTTAGCATCCTCAATTGGGTCCTCAATCGGTAGGAACATCTCTTCCACGCCGCGCATATCGGGCGTGCGGTCCTCGGCGAAGCAGCCCGTCACAAATGCTCGAGAGGCATCGCATCCAGCGAACCAGTGGTAGCTGCCGCCTGGGCCGTAGGTTGCCCGGTTGGCAGAGACATCGTAGATGGTCCAGTTGATGGCGAGGTAGATGGGTTTTGTTGGGTCGGTGCCGTCATATTGGGCGAGCTCGGCAGGCGTAAGGTATATTGGGCCGTTCTACATCACAGCTGGTCAGAAAGGGTGTGTAAGTCAACCAGTGGGCAGATCCAAAGCTTACAATCTGCCTCTTCCACCAATCCATGCGTAGGTACTTCGGTGGGTTGGACATGCCCCAGAAGAATGTCTCTCCATTGGAGATCAGGTAGCTCAGACCACATGAGGCAAGGAAAAGGAAAGATAAGACACGAAGGATATCGACGAAGAGGTTGGCTGTGGTGTAGTCATCGTCTTGTTCTTCGGCCCGTCTCCGCGCCGCTGCCTTTTGTTTTCTGATTTCCTTGACCTTCCTCTCCGCTTCATCGAAGGAATCGGCCTCAGAATCGGACAGCTCTTCGACGCGAGCTGCCTGCGGCTCTGGCTTGCGTCGTCTGGCGGCTACTTGCTCTGTCATGTTATGTGGGAAGGGGTTTTGGCTGTTAAGGTCTGGTCAAGAGCCAGGAGCCAAGCTCAGTATCAATTCTACCAAGTCCGGACTTCCAAAGATCAGATCAAGGCCAGGAGTGCCAATCTCAAGCTCAGCGTCGCAGTGCAATGATGCCAGATGTCCTTCGGAGGATGACGTCCCTCTTCCTGGCGCGGCTGATTCGGGTATGCAAGGCTGAGATGTCGATGTTAAGCTCCCGGGCCTGACCCGGCAGCCGTATCTCTTGCCCCACCGTCCTCCCTAGGAGCGTCTGCAATGCTCAAGCCACTGCTGTCACATGTCGAAGCGCCGTTGTTAAGGTGTTGGATGATTGGGCCATTGATCGTGGGAAAGAGATTTCTTGGCCGCAAGGCTGCAGCCCCACATGTGGCCTATGTTAGTTGCCTAGGCAACGCATCGCAGCGACCCAATCACACGAAAACCAGCGCCAAGCACGGCGTAAACATAACCCACCATGCGAAATTAAACAACCGGACTTCGTCTCAGTGGCTATTTCCCCCCCTCGACCCAACCGAACTGTTGCACAGAATCTCGAGCCATATTTTCGCGAGACACGGCAACGCGCGGAAACCAAACCGAACAATTTTAACGACCTGCCGACAATAGTAATTCACATTTTCTTCCAACTGGCTCTCGCGCCTCTTCTGCTGCGCGTGTTCTATTATTCAGCTTCCCGTCACCGTTTGTTGATACCACGACTCCGCGACGCGACTCAGCACCATCGATCTTCGAGCGACATCACGCCAACAAACGCGAAACTACGCGATAGCACCGACAACTATCTCAACCCCCTCAACCAAACTTAGCAACAACTCTAGCGCCACGCGCTGCATGACTCTGTCATCTCAATAGCCCTCGCCACCTAGCTCGACGATTATCATGTCCACGCCGTCGAGCCCTGCTGGCGGCGGCAGCAAGCCGCTTCAGCCCGTGTCACACAACGAGCAGCGTGATGCTGCTATTTTCTCGCCCCATCGTCGCACCGACAGCTCCGTCCATGAGAAGATTCACCAGTTCAACACCCTTGCCATGCAGGCAAAGCAACAAGAGCGCAAGACCTTCGATGCTGCCCTCAAGCGCGCCCAGATCGGCCGCGAGGAGGCCGAGGCTGAGATGCGTCGCTACCGCGATGAAGCCCGGATGCTTCGGAAGCAGGTTGAGGAGGGCAAGGACCGCGAACGTCGTATTGCCGAAAGACTAGAGGCTGTGATGGTGCGTCCATCCGCCTGACGTGCTGGGAACGGAAAGCAGTTTTTCGATGCTAACTGTACACACCAGGAAAACTACGCGAAAGCCAAGGAGACCCATGCTCACACCCAACAGCTGTGGGAAAAGGAGGTCCGTCGTGCCAAAAAGGAGGCTTTTAAAGCCCAAAGCGCTCTTCTGCATTTCCAGGAGGATGCGAAGACCGCCCGCACGGCTCAGAAGACTGCTGAGGAGGCTCAGAAGGCGGCCGAGGAAGCGCTCCAGACCGAGAAGGAGCGCAGCAGGAGTTTTGAACAGCAGGCCGAGGAGGCCCAGCAAAAGGTCCTCGAGACCGAGAAGAGGCTGGCCGACGTCCAAGAGGAGCTCGCCAAGGCCCAGGAACGCATCAGGTCCCTGGAGCAGGAGGTTGAGGCCCTCAGGGACCAACTCAAGGCCCAGGAGGACACCATCAATGCTATGCGCGCGTCCACTTCTTCCAAGAAGTCCCGGCGTCGCTCTGATGTCGACGACGAACCCGAGGCTCCTAGGAAGCGCGCTCGTCATTCTTATGAGAGCGATTCCGAAGTCGAGAACATCCAGATGATGTGGCAGTGGGAGAAGAAGCGTGCCGACCGTGCCCAGGAACAGATCGCCTTCCTCGAGGCAGAGTGTCATCTCAAGATGTGCTCGGCTGCTAAGACTCTCCGTCAGCGGACCGGACACTTCATCGTGGATGCCAGTGACAAGATGATTCTTAGTGAGAACACCACGGTATTCATGCCAAAGCCGACGCCTGGCCGCTCCAAGACAGACATGCTCCGCCGCAGCACCATGTTCTCGCCGGCCAAAGAGGCGCGCGAGGTCGCCCCCTACCGCACGCTCTCGCAGGTCGAGGCCGAGACCGAGGCCCGGGGGCGCGAATCCATCTCCTCCAAGGCCGACACGTCACCTACCGCGTCGACTGGCAGCATGCCGGTTACCCCGAAAGATGACGATCCGCTGTTTCGCCGCAGCCCGTCCATGGAACCTTCGAAGGGCGCAGTCCCGCCAAAGGAACGGACATCGCTACTCTCGCTGCTCGATGCTCCAGTCAGGCAAGAAGACCCCGCGCCGCTGTTCAACATTCCTACGATCCCCGCTCCTGACCCGAATGAACAGCCTCAGGAGTCAGAGTCCTTCCCGCTCGTCGGCATCCCCAAGATCCCGGTCCTCGCTCCCCGCACCTCAACTGAGTCGGAGCCAGAACACGAGTCAAAGCAAGTGTCGAAGCCCGAGTCCGAGAGCAAGCCCGCTCCGTCACAGCATGCCTCCGACCATCCCAACGGCGGTCAGCAAGCCCGCAAGCCCCATCCCCGAGACCTGTCCATCCCCGCTCGCGAAACCTACCCTCCAGTGCCGCTCACCGACCCCTTCCCCTCGACCGCCAACACAGGCCTCTCGGCCTCCACCGCCTCCTGCTCCGTCCACGACGCGCCCTACGCCCGCCCGCACACCACCGCGGCCTACTATCCGTCCGCCTCCGCTTCCTCCGCCTACGCAAATCCCCTCCTCAAGACGTCAGCCATAACCGCGCACGTCGCCACAACCAAGGTGCCGCTCAAGGAGGAGACTAGCGACCCGTCGCTGGCGCAGCGCCTCCTCAAGATACAGCGCACGCCCGTCCGGCCCACAGCCGATGGCGCGAAGGTCTGGGAAGACCCGGATAAGAAGCCCATATTTGACCCCACCAATCCCGCGCTGACGCCGACCATGACGCGTGAGCAGGCCCTGCAGTGTATTAGGGAGCGTAGGGACCGCGCGCGGAGTGTGGGCCGTGAGAAGGAGGAGAAGGAGAAGAAGCTGGCTGCTCAGCCGATGAGGAAGGTTAGTGGGAGCAGTGTGGTCAGCAACGCTAGTGCCGCTAGTGGGAAGGCTAGTGTAGGCAGCAATACTAGCAGTGTTGGTGAGAGGGGTCGCTCGAGGGAAAGGGAGGTTGGTGCGAGGCAGGTTAGCGACCCTACTGCTGCTGCAAAGCCTGCCGTGTCCAAGGTTAGGGAGGTTAGTGCGATTAGGAGGGTCAGGACATGATCGGATCCGTGGGCCAAAAGAGTTGAAGCTTGGGTCAGATTTGACTTGGACAGCTCAGAGTACTCCACTTGACTTCTCCCCAGTCGGTTGGCTTTTCTTGTTCATTGTTTATGTTGTAAATATTCTTACCTGCTTTACTACGGCGTTGTCTGTCTGGCATTAACAGGTGGTCAAGATACTCTCGATGGGTTCATTTGGGAACGCTGGGCGGTATGTCGTTAAGAGTCATGGGCAGTTCTGGGTTCACCGGTTCGGGAGTCTAGGAACTAGGGACTGGCTGGCCTCGCTTGTATTTCAAGAACTCTGCATAGGGCTGTTATCTGTTTTAGCTTTACGGTATAGGTGTTATTGCTCTTGTGGTTTAGCGCTTGGTTCGGGTTGGGAATAGATACCCTTCCTAAATAAACTTGGAGACTCTGGCTATCATGATATAAGGCTGGTGTTTGTCAGGGCTCCGTTACAATATGACGATGCCATACGGAGATGGCCCCCTTATGCCAGTTGGTGATCTGTGAGAGCTCTGTCCAAGTAGTCACAGCCTTGGAGATTATCTCCGTGTGAAACAAAGTCCAAAGTTTAGTTCAAGTTATCTTAAATGGTCCTCCCTAACACGAAAGACTACAGATATTTTGCAATAGTTCCTGTCCAAACTCAGAACCTACAGCATCGCAAGCGCCGAAACCTATCCTGTCCTCTAATGTACACAATTCCTCCACCTTCTCTCCTCCCCTCCTCGCCCCAACCAATCTTCTTCATCAACCCCCCTTTAATCCGCTCGTAGAACTGCCTCCTAAAAAAGGCCCGTTTGCGCCAGCAGCACCCCCCTTCCCGGTCCCCTCTCCCTGTCCCTGCTTCTCCTTCCCTCCGTCACCACTGCCTCCACTCACCCAATTCACAATCGAAGCCGACATCGCCCTCGATCGCTTCCTCTTCTCCCTATGACTCATCCCCCCTGCTCCTCCCCCTGCTCCCCCAGCTCCATTCCCAGCGTCCCCTGCCCCCACCAGCCCAGAGAGATCCCCACTGGAACCTCGAGAGGAATATCTCCTCCGTTGGGCCTGTGTCAATGTCTTCTCTTCGATTTTGGCAGACGCGACATGCTCCGCGGTGAGAAAATAGCCCGGCATGAGGATGTCTTCGGAGGCGAGGGCTTTGTTGTAAAACGCTGGCCAGACGGGGACAGGGTCAGTGGCGGCTGCGTGGAGGGGAAGTTGGGAACTGTTGCTGTTGGGTGGTGGAAATTTCGTGTCAGATGGGGTTTGTTTGTCCTTGGGTTTGGTTTGGGAGTGGGAGCGGGGGAGTTTGCTGTTCGGGCTGGAGGAGGATTTGAAGTGGGAGTTGAGGGTGAGGGGTTTCCAGGTGTCATGGGGATTGTCGGAGTCTTGGAGTTTGAAGGTGGGTGTGATGCGGTCTTCGAGACGTTGAATGTATGTCCATTGCTCGTGGGCTTCGGCACAGAAGGCTGTGAGCTTTGTTTTGAACTTCTCTTTGGTATTGGAGGGGAGGAGAGGATTGATGAGGTTGGTGAGTGTGTCTACCACGACGTTGATACGATGCTTTGTTTGAGAAGGATAAGCTTTTTCCAGCTTTCTGGATGCAGCAAGGAGCGCTGCGCGTAACATTGCCTCCCAATCGGGGTCATCCTCGATCAGGTCATCGAGAAGACGCCACAATCCAGTTGCTTTGGATTCGATGTATGGCTCTCCAGCAAGGAAGATTGGTTGGAAGATATGGTTCCGGAGTTCGTATGAGAGTATGGCTAGGAATGAACCGACACGCATCAATCTGGCTTCAGGGGACGAAGATCGTGGAAGAGGGATCTTATTTCCGACGGCAGGGTGTGCTTTGAGTGCATTCCATATCTCATCCTGAGAGAAAATGGCTGGCGGAAGGTCTGTGCCCAGTAGTTCTTCTGCTAGAATGTAGGCAGAAAAGAAGAGCCTGTTGAGTCGTTGCAGGCTGGGGTGAACTCAATGTCAGCAACTCTATGCTCGTCCAACTAAACTCAGATCAACATGCTTACTTACATTTCATTGTCTTCAACATCATCCGACATTGGTATCAACTCTGCGAAGAAGCCAGCCAGTCGCTGCCTCTCTTTTTGTTCAGCGGTGAGTTTTTCGTTAACATCCTCCAGCTTTTTTTTCAGTTCCTTTTCCTTGGCATCCATGTTTTTTCTTGCCTTGTCAAGCTCATGTTGGGTCTTGGAAAGCTCATCGGACAAGGCCTTGTTGTTTTGTGAGACTTTCTTCAGCTCTTCTGCTTTCTGGCTGAGATCTGCCATGACTGTAGACTGGCCCTGAATACCTGCTTTGAGAGTTTGAATCTCCTGTTTGAGAGCCGTATTTTCCTCAAACACGGCCATACAGTCCTGGAAGTCCACCGAATTGAACAAGGCCTTGGCTGCCTTGAAGGCTTCGGCTGCCTTGGCAGCTTTTTCCTCAATGACGGATGGCATCTGGGTTTCAGTGTTGGTCAGGGGCAGGTAAGTGAGTGGAGCAAGACAATGCCAGCTGTATGTGACTATTACTGTACTCGCAAGCTTAGTGACAAGATGACTTCACCATAGTTGAGAAACCGGTAGGATGGGGTTGACAAGGAGATACTTATACCGCCGGCCAGAGAGGTAAGAATAAGGTATAATTTGAGACTCCAGATTCCAGGGGTCCTTTTCACGAACGAGCGTGGCAACCTCCAAACGTCAAGGTTGGTCGCCTGCAAGCCTTCTCCAGCTTCGGCCTTCACCCCATCACATGCAAGGCAGACCCTCCCATGACCATCCATGACCTCTCATTGAAACGACAGACTTCCAACAATAGTGTCGTGCTTCTCGCCGCAAGGCGGCAGTCTGCGCGGGCCGGAGCGCCGTCCACTCACATTGAAGCTTCTGCACTCGGCCTCAGTTGAATTGGCCAACGGGAAGACGGACAGCAGAATCTCTCATGGACAAACAGCCGTGGCAACCTGCATTGGAGCCGGTGTATACCTGCCAACCTTCGGCCAGAGGTATCATCCCAGCATGCAATCGTCCCATAGACGGGTCAATTCGCCTTCAGGGCTCTTTGATCAAGCCTCTTCCGTGTTGAGATTGTCAGATGCAGCTGATGATGCGGTTTTTATTCGGCCTCCAATCAGGCTTTGCAACGTCTCGAGAAGTCTTTCAGAGCCACGGGTATAGAACAAACAGATGCTTCTGAGGAGACGGGATGTAGCCTGCCGTCTTCTGCAACCCAGGCCTTCCGCACTTGAATGGAAAGGAAAGGAAGTTTGGGTTGGATTGCCTATTGCTCAGCCTCTGAGCAGCTTGGGTTTCAATGGCAGACCTCGTGACCGACGTACCCCATCCGGCCGTACCTCTCACCTCCGTTGGGAGATTGGATCAAGATCGGATTGACTTTCTCAGAACAGGTCCGTAACGGATTTGTGGTTTTTTGGAATATGGTGGTAACCCCCTATTCTTTCCATAGTATTGCTTCCATGTTGTTCTGGGACGTTTCCACTCGGCCCTACTCCTGCCTAATAGGACACGGCTCCTCCAGGCATCCACAACCGACAAACAGCGCGGTTAGTTCAGTGGTTAGAATTTTCGCTTCCCATCTTCTCGTGGGCCAGCGAAGGACCCGAGTTCGAATCTCGGATCGCGCAGCTACAGGAGCACTTCTTTTTGATGCTCTTCTGGCCCCAATCGTGGAAGGGATTGGGATGTGGTACTTTGGCGGCTGAGCGTACGTCGCCATGGTGTTCAGGTTTCAAAGGCACGATTTTGTTTTAGCCAGTGCCAAAAACCCTGTTTTGCAAGTTGGCACAGCCTTCGGTTGCTACACTAACTTCCTAACCAGAAGACTTATGCTATATTTTCAGCCCAGGCTGTCCATAAGTTTACTGTTGGTGAAAGGCAACCTCGAAATGAGCTCCAACGAGAAGCGGGGGCGGGGCACCCGAAAGAGCTCCGCACGTCGTTATCAGGAGCCCCCATGTCCACAGCAGGACGGAACAAGCCGAAGCCGACGAACTTCGTGTTCCCCATCCTGTTGGAAAGCTCCCATTTACCACCATCAATCCATATGGCTGGCCTAGTTCCAGATCGTCCAACAAGACGGTGGACAGTGTTGGTTTGCCGAGAGCCAAGGCAAAAGTCCCCCCATCTTTGGGACATTCACCCTGTCTCCCAGCAGCTCAGCAGTGTTCAGCCCTGATGTGGCCCGAGCTCCTCTAACACCCAACGACTGAAGCCCTTGTGGCTGGCTTTCAGCACGGACCTCAACATTGTCAGCCACTTGTCTTACTGATTGCTGACATATGCCAGCAACAAACCACATTTGATGGTCATCACCCTCAATCTCATCTGCCATGTGGGCTTTCTGCACGAATTCTCACTGTCGCGTCTTCTTCTCAAATATGTGGACTAGAAGGGCAACGTAACAGCGTCGGGTTATTCTTTATTGACTCCCTTGAATGGACGTGGTAGCCATTCTGTGCGCCTCGATGGTTTGACTTTGACCAGACCCGAATAACCAGCCGCATGAGTATGAGCATGAGTTTTTGCTTCAACTTGAGCATAAGATGAGAAAAACATGGCCAATCCCACTTCCACCGACCATCATCCTCAGGGTCTCGATGATCAATCGACCGAACACCATTCGGTCGAGGCAATGATTACCCGAATTCCCAAGATCCTACCCCATGAACGCGTCTTCCCTATCCAGATAGGGTCCGAGCTGTTCAAGCTCTCGGGCGCTTCCATCTCATCTGATGGTTCGTACCCTCTCAACTGAGGACAAAACACCTGTATTGTCTGAGATCTGTCCTGACTGGGGCCTCTCCGTCACTGTAGCACCCTCATATTTTTCGCAATATTTTCAATGCCAGATCAAGGAGGCCGAAGAAAAGGGCGAAGACCTCAACATCGCCATCAAAACCCTCTACATAGACCGCGACCCGGTTACTTTTAGAGACATCGCCCTGCATCTTCAAGGATATCATGTACGACCGCGAGACTCGACGCACTTTGTGCGCTTGTTTGCCGATGCCCAGTTCTACAGCCGTGAGACAGCCCCATCACCCCGCATAAATCACCTATTTTGTGTTTTACTCTCACTAACCCAATCATTCAGTGCCGAAGCTTATCTCGCAGCTTTACGAAGAGCCCATCTTCACAACCATCGGTGACCGAGAGTTCCAAATCCCTCGTGAGCTCTTCAGCGAGCACGGAAACTCGCCCAACTTCTTCTCCCTCGGCTTCGCCGCCTTCTTCTCTCGCCCGGACGACCTCTTTCCGGGTCTTGATCGAGAAGGCCTCCTCCGGCCCCCGTCTATCCTCCCGCCTTCTGTGCCCGGCCGCAGCGCCGAAACCTTTGCTGAGATCTTGCACCTCCTGCGCGGGTACCCGGTCGAGATCCGAAGCGAGGCTCACCGCGCCGCCTTGCTGAGCGATTGCCGTTACTTCAACTTCAAGGCTCTGGAACAGCGCCTCATCCCCCACGAGATCTCCTACAACCTTGCTCGGCATCGTAACGAGATCGTTCTCCGCTTGCGAGATATCCTCAAAAGCGGCATTGGCATTGCGAGGGAGCCTACACCCACTGATCCGGCTGCCGCGTGGGTCAGTTATCGTCGGCCCTATGTTGATAAGGACGACTATGAGCTCGTTCTTGAGATCGGCGGGGAGAGCACTCGGCTAGTGCAGTTCACGTATGGCTCGGTGCAGGACGCCGGGATTAACGGGACTGAATCCGCTAGCAAGTTCTACCCAGCTGCTTCTCAGAAAGTTCTTTTCGCCCGTGCTGAGTTCGTCGGCGAGACTAAGGCTCGTGTCGCCAAGCTGTTCGAGGTGCTGGCCACCAAGCTTGGCTTGAATGTCACGACCCAGCCGCTTGGCCTGCTAATGAACCAGGGCGGGGCAAGCAGCACGCCACCTACGCCAGGTAACACACCGATCAGTGATGATCTGGTGAAGGTTGTCATTGGGCCCGAGGCAGGTGTTACATTGGATGGGAGGGAGTGGGTCATCCCATTCGAAGAAGGGGAAGATGAGGATGAAGTTGAAGATGATGAAGTGGATACGCTATTTGGCGGGGAGGGGCCGAGGAAGAGGAGGAAGGTTGAGGAGGGCAGCGGTTGGCCGTTGGCATTACCTTCGCCTATGGCAGGGTTTGTAGGTGAGACTCATGGGGGTTGGAGGGGAGCTCAGGAGTGGTTGGTGAAGACGGGACAGTGGAGGTTGAGGATTCAAGGGGTGAGAAATGGCAAGGCGCCTGTTGAGTGTTGCCTTATGGCAGTCAAGTTGGACGCGTTTAGCTCAGAAAGGGAGAGGAATGTGAAGAGGAAGTTTTTGGGTAGTTAGGCGTTGGGATGGGACTGTGGATTGGGTATTGTCTTGGTTGGCACGTGGGGTTTAATGGACTGGGTATCTATCCAATTGACTAAGTGTTCACGATATTTGGTACTTACCATTTTCAACATGCAGCATTTTATGTACGGCAGAAACACTGTTTCTGAATTATGAGGTATATATCTGCACTTAATCTATTACCCACGCTTGGATTACTCAAGCTATTTGATGGCTCATTATGCTAAATTCAGTTCTGCAGCCCATATGATACTCAGTTATCGTTTTAGTTCTCTCGTTGCTTGATCTATTTGATATCCTCATTGAAAGCCCACGTCTGTCCGTCACAGCCAGCCCCTTCTTCTCCGGCCTAGGCTGCCACGATTCTAGGCAAGACGGTGCTTGGGCTGGCCTAATCCCCAATCTCTAGATGGTAGTTATCGTTATATCGACGGTGACTATTCTCTCTAAGAACCTGACTATAACCTTTTGCTTCTTCCCAGTATTACAGAATGCCTTCCAAGACGTGTATCTTTACAAATACCAAGCGCTTGAGCTAACACTGCCAAAGGGGAATGATTCTGCAAGACCCAGCCATTCCAGGAGTTGCCGGGAAAAATCAACTCCTAATGTCCGCGACACTCGACATGGCTCTAAAGGGATGCCCAAACAATTATTGAGACTCAAATAAGGGTTGAGGTGGTGCATTGGAAGGCATGAGCCCGCAGTGTTCGTGCAAAACTTTAAATGGTTTCTAAGAGACGTAGACTTGGACCTGAGATAAGTTAGAATCATATGGAACTTTGCTGTCACCAACGGTCCCTCTTGGAAACGGCAAATAGGGAGTTGTAGAGGAAGCTACGAAAGTTTTGTAACTAAATCTCCAAAGTAGTGTGGCCAGAAGTTGCATTCCCTCACCACAGATCTCACGGTGCAGATCACAAGCTCCATTGTCCGAAATTGCTCTCTTGGTTACGATATCACCCACTTTTGGTGTCATGCTCAACTTTTCTTTTTCGCAAACCTCATTCCGTGACTTTGTTGGACCCGCTTTCAAGGGAGTATTTTAGCAGATATTCAATCAAACTCCAACAGTTGCAATGCATTGGAAATTGAAAATAACGGTTCCACTTTCGTCCATGTTTCCATGTTGACGCGTTGATGTGCTGTTGCTCTGCTGGCCACGAGCCAGCCCATGTTTGGCGGTGCTGGCTTCCCGACCACAGCCAAGTCCCGACGGCCCCCCAGCAGGTCAGTCCCCCAGAGCGCCAACTGCACGGACCAGCCCCTGACGCGAGCGCGGCCAGGGGTCTTACTGGGCGGGCGCCGCGACTGGCGGATAAAGCGCTGTGGAGTATTCGCGCTTGCCTGAATGGGGAACGGGTCTGTCAACAATCCAATTTCCCCACCACCTGTTAACCCAAACCCGGTCTTCAGGCTCCCGCCGAACCTCCAATTTTCCACCTCCGACAGTTTGCAACCGTATCTTGGGCCTACAGTCGCCTTCTCATCTGCTCTGCTATCCATTACTAACTTGCGCGCCTCCTTGGACCTTCTATCAAAATGCGTGAGATTATCAGCTTGAACGGTACGTCGCCTCTCTAAACCGCGAGGCCCTCAATTTTTTTTTTTTTCCCCCCTTGACCGACCCCTAGGTGGCGCGTGTCCCGCTTCACCGCAATTGTCGGAGTCGCTGTCAGACGACACAATGGCGACATGTCAACATCTCGAGGAGACCTCCCACAACATCATGATCAATCATACTGACATCTCGTGTGTGTAAACAGTCGGCCAGGCCGGTTGCCAGATCGCCAACTCCTGCTGGGAGGTAGGTTTGGACTCGTTTGCAGCGCGCCGCCCCTTGGAGATGATCCCGCAGGACACCTGAGGGGCTGTCATCCGATGGTGACGATAGCGACAACGTTAATGCTAACCGGTTGCAGCTTTATTGCCTTGAGCACGGCATCCAGGTATGCTATAATTCTCCAGCCATCTTTCTGCTGTTGCGGCAACGGATTGTGTACTAAACGGTTTCGTTTACAGCCCGATGGCTACCTCACTGAGGAGCGCAAGAACGCTGAGCCCGACACTGGCTTCAGCACCTTCTTCTCCGAGACCGGTATGCGTTTCTGCGTCATTGTCCCCAGCTCCGTCGAATTGCCGCTGACAGTATCGCTTCATAGGCCAGGGCAAGTACGTGCCCCGGACGATCTACTGCGATCTGGAGCCCAATGTCGTCGACGAGGTTCGCACGGGCCCGTACCGTGGCCTTTTCCATCCCGAGCATATGATCACGGGCAAGGAGGACGCTTCGAACAACTATGCCCGTGGTCACTACACCGTTGGCAAGGAGCTCATTGACCAGGTCCTTGACAAGGTGCGCCGCGTTGCCGACAACTGCAGCGGCCTCCAGGGCTTCCTCGTCTTCCACTCCTTCGGTGGTGGCACTGGTTCCGGCTTTGGTGCTCTGCTCATGGAGCGCCTGTCCGTCGACTACGGCAAGAAGAGCAAGCTGGAGTTCTGCGTCTACCCCGCTCCTCAGACCGCCACCTCGGTTGTCGAGCCCTATAACTCTATCCTGACTACCCACACTACCCTCGAGCACGCCGACTGCTCCTTCATGGTCGACAACGAGGCCATCTACGACATCTGCCGCCGCAACCTGGGACTTGAGCGCCCCAACTACGAGAACCTCAATCGCCTGATTGCTCAGGGTATGTCACCGTATAACTTCAAGGTTTGGTCGCTGTGGACCACTTGGCTGACGTAGACGCAGTCGTCTCCTCCATCACTGCCTCGCTCCGCTTCGACGGCTCTCTCAACGTCGATCTGAACGAGTTCCAGACCAACCTGGTTCCTTACCCGCGTATCCACTTCCCTCTGGTCGCCTATGCTCCTATCATCTCTGCCGCCAAGGCCGCCCACGAGGCCAACACCGTGCAGGAGATGACCATGTCCTGCTTCGAGCCCAACAACCAGATGGTCAAGTGCGACCCACGTAACGGCAAGTACATGGCTACTTGCCTGCTGTATCGCGGCGACGTCGTTCCCAACGATGCCCACGCTGCGGTTGCCCACCTCAAGACCAAGCGGACCATTCAGTTCGTCGACTGGTGCCCGACTGGTTTCAAGCTTGGTATCTGCTACCAGCCGCCTCACCAGGTCCCCAACGGCGACCTGGCCAAGGTCAACCGCGCCGTGTATGTACCTTGATCTTTCGAGATATTCACGCTTGTGCAGCTGCTAACCCCATTTCAGGTGCATGCTTTCCAACACCACAGCCATTGCCGAGGCCTGGTCGGCTCTCTCGCACAAGTTCGACCTCATGTACTCCAAGCGTGCCTTCGTCCACTGGTACGTCGGCGAGGGTATGGAAGAAGGCGAGTTCGCCGAGGCGCGCGAGGATCTCGCTGCCCTCGAGCGCGACTACGAGGAGGTTGCGGCTGACTCGCTCGAGGAGGGCGAGGGCGAGGCCGAGTACTAAGCTGGGTCTCTGCGCGCGTCTGTGTTTGGTAGCTTGGAGAAGATAGGGCTTAATGTGGGCTAATTGCCCTGGCGGGGCGTGTCTTGCGTCATCTCCTTCTGTTTATAACCCCTTTTATCCGCGACATCCCTTGGCAACCGTCCTCCTCTACGATGGACATTCTTGTTTGACAAGCGCGGACCTGTGACGTTCTTTGGAAGATGGAAAGTGATAGTGATTTTTTAATGTGAGCAGAACACCCTGGCCAGAACTAGGATGGTCAATTGCATGGGTTCTGTACAACAAATCCCCAGCTTGCGTAATGCCTGGTGTGTGGCCCTTGGCTACTTGTGGTGTTTTCAAGATTCGTAATTCGAAGCGGGGAGCCTGATTTCGACTTTGAATCCCAACCAGTCCCAAGTAGATTGTCTCAATCATCCCAACTTTTCCGTGATGTTATCCCGTCATGTCGTCCGACGTCAAGTTTCACGGCGCAGACGGCCCCCGCCGCTGCAGTCGTCGTTGGCTACACGGTCTCTCGCTCTCGGGCAACCTGTCCTGGTTGGACCCCTTTCAGCCAATCATAACGTTATATTACGCCAAGCCCAGTGGTGGGGACCTTTGTGGAAGTTGCCGCAATCTGTTTGGTTCCTTGCGCTACAGAGACCCTCTGGAGCAACGAGTCGCAGCAGACCCAGCCTCGTTCTCAACACAGCGCGCTAACCTGGAACTGGTCCCGGGGGTTCCGCTGTGAGCCCCCACTTTTTCTCCCAGCAGTCCTCTCGCTACTCCGTACCGTACCTAGCAATGTCCCAGGTAACAACAACGGAAGTGTCAACAGTCAAGGCAGATGCCCGCGAGGTCGGCATAACCGTCTTCTCCAACGCTATCACCATTTCCCCCGTTCAAACGCTCTCCTAATCCCGCGATTCGAAAGATTCAAATTCTTCCAAAGAGCCCGCCGCCATTCGCAGCGCCTTCTCCCCGCTCCCCGACCCTGAGCCGTCGTCACGCATCATCATCCATTGACCAAAAGCGACAGCCCTGAAAAGTCCCGTCCCACCCAGGTATCATTGTTTCCAGATCCAGGCCAACCTCTCGACATAGCTTGCGCCCGCCATGGCCGAAGCAACAATCGAGCCCGGTACGTGACTCGCGTGGTCTTACGGCTGGTTTCGGCGCTGAGCTGACTGACAACCTCTTTCAGGGGCGCCAAACCTCAACCTAACCCCGGAAGAGAAGCGCGTATACGGACAACTGTTTCGGCAAGCTGACTCCGATAATGTTGGCGTCGTCACCGGCGAAGTCGCTGTCAAGTTTTTCGAGAGGACGAAATTGGATTCAAGGATTCTGGGAGAGGTCAGTTTGTGCAACTCTCCTGGAGCCCCCTTTCCCCCCCCCCCCCTTTTTTTTTTTCTTTCGACAATTAAATAATAGTAATAATAATAATAATAATAATAAAAACTGGCACGTCAATGGAGCTGACTGAAGGTCTTCTGTAAACAACAGATCTGGCAGATTGCCGACAAGGAGAACAGAGGCTTTCTCACTCCCGCTGGCTTTGGCATCGCTCTGCGACTGATTGGTCATGCGCAGAATGGCCGCGAACCTCTTCCCGAGTTGGCCTTCCAGCCCGGTCCCCTCCCCCGATTCGAAGGCTTCACTCCGACCCCTCCGCCACCTGCGCCTGGCGCTCTTCAAGCGCAACCCACCGGTGCTCCGGGTCCGATTCGCATTCCGCCGCTCACTCCCGAGAAGGTCGCTCAGTATGCTGCCTTGTTCGAGCGCCAGAACCTCCAGGGCAATATGCTCTCTGGCGAGGAAGCCAAGAAGATCTTTGAGAAATCCGGTCTTCCCAACGATATCCTCGGTCGCATCTGGATGCTTGTCGACTCTGAGCAACGCGGTGCTCTTGTCCAGACGGAATTCATCATTGCCATGCATCTTCTTACCTCCATGAAAACTGGCGCCTTGCGCGGTCTGCCTAACATTCTCCCTGCAGCCCTCTATGAAGCCGCAACCCGTCGGCCATCTATCGGCGCTAGCATCCCGAGACAACAGTCACCGACGACGGCTACCCCGCCTATCCCGGCCATCCCACGGCAGCTCAGCGGACAAGCGCCCCTCCAGCAGATGCGGACAGGAAGTCCCCTTGGGCGTCCGCCGACCATGTCAGCGCAGTCAACCGGAGGTGACTGGCTGATCACACCGGCTGACAAGGCACGTTTCGATCAGCTCTTCGACGAATTAGATAAGGGGAGGAAAGGCTTCATCTCGGGCGAAGAGGCTGTCCCGTTCTTCAGCCAGTCAAATCTCTCTGAGGATGTCCTCGCGCAGATCTGGGATCTGGCCGACATGACCTCGGCTGGTCGTCTGACAAGAGACGAGTTTGCTGTCGCCATGTATCTCATTAGGCAGCAGAGAAGCAAGGCAGGCGTTCCGCTGCCCACAACCCTGCCCCCTAACCTGATTCCCCCTAGCATGCGCGCTCAGGTTCGCCCGGCTACGGCAACCTCGGCCTTTGATGTTCCGCCAAAGCCTCAGCCAAAGCCCCCATCCGCCATGGACGATCTCATGTCTATTCTTGACGATCCTCAGCCCGCGGCGCCGGCACCGACTCAGGTGCCTACAACTACTGGCGGCTCAACTGCCACTGATCCGTTTGCAACTAGCGTCAGCCCTCCGGTCCCGTCCTCACCCACGAGGACATCACCCGCCACCTCTTCGACGACTTTCAAGCCGTTCGTTCCTACATCATCTTTTGGCCGCAGCCTTACCGCTCAGGCTACTGGCGGCTCTAACGCCTCGTCTGCGGCCAAGCCTGCTGCCACGGAGGATGATCTGCTAGGTGACGCCGATCCCGAGGTGAACAAGCAGACCACAAATGAGACCATGGAGTTGGCCAACTTGTCCAACCAGATTGGGTCTCTGACGAAGCAGGTGCAAGATGTACAGGCTCAACGCACAGCCATCCAGAACGAGCTGAGCCAAGCCAGTATCCAGAAGAAGAACTTTGAGCAGCGGCTTGCTCAACTCCGCTCTCTGTACGAGAAGGAGGCTGCGGACGTCCGCACGCTCGAGTCTCAACTCACAACTGTGAAGAATGAGAACAAGAAACTGCAGGCCGAATGCGCCATGATTGACGCGAGCTATCAGGAGCTGCAAAACCAGCACCGCCAGCTCCTGACTGCTCTGCAGGCGGATCAGCAGGAGAACGCGAATCTTAAGGAGAAGATCAAGCTCGTCAATGCAGAGATCGCGCAGCTGAAGCCGCAGATCGAGAAGCTGAAGTCGGAAGCTCGGCAGCAGAAGGGGTTGGTCGCCATCAATAAGAAGCAACTTGCCACGAGCGAAGGCGAGCGCGACAAGCTGAAGAACGAAGTTGATGAGCTCACCCGGACGAACGAGGAGCTGTCCAGGCAGATTAGCGCCAGCAGCTCGCCCGCTCCGGCCCAAGTGTCTAGCCCTGCCTTGTCTACTGCGAGTGTTAACAACCCTTTTTTCAGGCGGACGGGCAGCACCGACATTACATCCCCCTCTGCTCCTCAGCTGAGGCCGTTTACCGACAAGTCGTTTGACGACATCTTTGGCTCTTCGTCTGTTCCGAACCCTGTGCCCGCTCAGAACACCGGCACGTCAACCGGCTCGAACGGCTTCGCCACGCCATCCTCAGGCAGCCCCAATGTCAGCCGTCAGCCGACCGGCGCCGAAGTGCCAGCTACATCGGCGGAGGCTCCGAAGTCTACCTCCGCTTTCTCCTCGCTCCCTGCTGATAACGCCGAGTCTCTGAGCACCTCTCGCCAGGCGCCCCCTCTTAGCAGGACTGACACCAGCCCAGATGGTCCATCCCTGGCCCCTCCTGCCCAGATCGAGCCTGCTCAGAGCGAGCCGGCCAGGCCCTCCACCGCGGCCACATCTGCGACGGAGAACAAGCCTGCTACCTTCAGCAGCCCTAGCTCTCCTGACAATAAAGAGACGGATCCGTTTGCCCTTGCGGAGCAAGAGCGGAAGGCTAAGGAGGACTTTGAGTCGGCGTTTGCCAGTTTCAAGAAGGCGCGAGCGGCTAACAACCCTGCCGTCTCGTTTGCCCAGTTCAACGCCGAGTTCCCTCCTATATCGGAGCTGGAGCGTGACGAGTCGGATTCGGAAAGCGAGCGGGGCGGATTCGATGATGACTTCGCCCCTCCCTCGCCGCCAAAGGCACCTCAGCAGAGCAGCACGGGTTCGAGGTCGGCGTCGCCTACACTTACCAAGTCCACGCCGGATGCCACGGCCAGTGCGGGTGCTGAGCAGGCTGGCGCGAGGTACGAATTCAAATCCTCTTAGCGTTCTTTTTTTTTTTTTGTTCGCCTGCATCATTTATCCTCCCTTACCTCCGTATGCGCGTTGACTGTATCCCCATAACACAAAACACTGACCATCATACACAGCGACAAGCCATCTTCTTCTGCCGTGTCCTCCACAAATCTTAACAATCTTAACAGCTCCCATGTGAATGACATTTTCGGATCTGCCGCCACTACTTCTGCCCCTGCCACTACACAGGTGACTTCTAGCAATACTAGCCGCCCTGCCACCGCCAATACTTCCTCCAAGGCCAATGCCTTTGATGATCTAGACGACGATTTCGAGGGGCTCGAGGATGCCAAGGAAGGATCTGCCGACGACGACTTTGCTAACATTTCCCGTTCCGGCTTCGACGATTTCAACCCTGTGTTTGATAGCAGCCCGCCACCGAGCCAGCCTAAGCCCGACTCGTCCCACAGCGCCTTTGACAGCTTCGACTTTGGCTCCTTGTCGAGCGCCTCGGGCGCAGCTCCTGGCTCGTCACAGCAGTCGCAGCCGAAGGAGCAGCACGATTGGGATGCCATCTTCGCCGGTCTTGAGAACGCTGCCTCGGCGTCGCAAAATCTGGCTAGCACCGTCACTACCGGCGCGGATGCCGGCTCTTCTGCTCCTAAGGAGTCTGCTGCAGCTACAACTGGTGGTGATAACAGCAAGACAGATGCCGGAGCTCCTGCCGGACCGTCCTCTTTGTCGGCAAGGCCCGATACGCCGGTTCGCCGTGCGTTTAGCGATGACGGCGACAACGGCGAGAACGACCATCCAGATGTGAAAAAGCTCACCAACATGGGGTGGTCGCGCAAGGACTCGATCGCTGCGCTGGAGAGAAACGATTACAATATGGAGAGGGTGAGTCAGACCTACTATGGCATCAGCAAGGGTAGTACCAGCAGCAGCAGATCCCGTGAGAGTGGCAGTAATCGAAGAGTGTGGGGTTGAATTTTTTTTTTTGTTTCTTTTTGTTGTTGATTGTTTTTGTTTTGTTTGTTTTGGTTGGGTCTTGTTCGTTATGTAATTGCATGATCAGACGACGACAAGATGACACGAGACACGACTTGATGATAACGATTTGCTGGGTTCATACCTATACCCCCCCCCCTTTTTTGGTTATACGTTTTCTACCCTTGTTTCCAACCCTCCCCCTTGCCCTCTCCATATGCAATTTGCTGATTTTTAAACCACAACGTGGAAATGGATGGATTCGGCTGACGGAATTTCTTTCCTTTCTTGATTGGTCTTGATGGTTCAGGCAGCGAATGATCTAGCCAGTCAATCTTGAAGGTCCTTACTACCTCTACCCACTACCGGCCCGGAGCGACGACAAGTTTCCTACGAAGCTGCTGCAGGCTTGGCTTTCTCTTTCAGAACGGAGCATATGACGATCCGAACGACTTGAAGCCAATGATATGGGCATGAAGCAAAGTGGTTAGGGGTTTCATTGGTGGATAACGGGGGGTATGTGCATGATGGGTGATAGCGTGGGTTTTGGTTGGTCGTATGTGATGCGGGGCAGACGTTTACTGATTGGGGAGTCAACAATGGCGCGGAGGTGGGAGTGGATTCCTTTGATGTATGGAAGGATGGATCCATTGGTGGTTGGTTGAAAGGAGGAGGAGTGACGAGATGGTTGTCCGCGGACGATGCCGGCCTGGTGTGGCTGTGGGGTGTGGCTGCTGGAGTCGAGTGACGCGATACTTTACCTTTTCTTTCGCTGGCTTCTTTTCTTTATGTTTGTTTACTTTCTCGGTCCCCCCTTTGCCTTTCTCCCACCCGCTACCCTCCCTCCCCTTTTCCTAGCAGTCATCTTTTAATTCCTATGATGGCCTTTCCCCTTCAACCTTGTGCATCCTATGTCAGATCAACTTCCTCCTTTCCGACTCAGCTATTGCCATTCTCGTCTCTTCCCCTTCCGGTCATTTGCCGCATTTCCTTTCCCTTCTAATGGTAATCGTCCAGTCGCTCTGTTTCCCTCTTTCTGAAGCGTATTGCTTGTGTTTTAACCTGGGAATGGAAACGGATTTCTGGATTCAATTCGTTGATTTGCGGCTGGGGACGAGGCCTATCCCTGGTAACTACGTTCATGTTCCCTTGCTTCTTCTTAGGATATGATGGTTCTCCGTTCCATGGCTATAGTGGCATCTTTATGCTAAATCCTAACATTGCCTGCAAACCTGATCTCATCCTTTGAAACAATGCCCGGGACATGATCAATTCATTGTCCTTGAACCCCGGTAAATGTAAGCCCAGATCGTCTTGCGCTGCTGGGAACGAGTGGCCCTGGTGTCTCATCGGTGGAGGCCATGTCCATTCCATGCTTTCAGTCGCATCCCCGGCAGATCAACACTGTCCAGATTGTGTGTCGTCCATTCAGTCCCTCTTCAAAGTTCAAATACATGCAGAACTCCTGGATATTGAGCACGAGAGCCAAGATGAATGAAAAAGAGTGCTTGGAAATTCCCCAACTTTGAAAGACCAAGTGTCCCACCCTGACAAGGGTCATCAGAGCGGGGCCTAGGCAGTGAGCAAGTCGATTGTCGTCGAGACGCCAGAAGCTAAAAAAAAGTCTTGGCAATTGGCTAATCAGCGCCGCATTGGTGGAGACCACGGACCAAAGACGCTCCCTGATTGGACCCCGCGCTGTCAAAGCCGGGCCGTTACACAACGCTGCAGGGGCCTGAGGCTTGTCACCAGCTGTCCTTTCGCAGAGTGAACAGCTTGCTGTTGCCAAATAAAAAGTCGTGGAAATCTAAAGAGGCCGACGGAGCGCTGAGCCCGCGACACAGCACCGACCGACAGTGATATATTGAGGCCAGATTGTAGTTCTTTGTCAATTGGATGATCTGTTTCAATCCTGACGTTGAGACGAGTTTCTGTGTTTTATTACTGTCCATTTCTTCTGTCCCTTGAACCCTGGGCAACAACCAAGTTCCAAGAAGCACTACCAACATCCACCTTCGAAGAGCTTCGTTGACCGGCGAGAAACTTGCCACTGCACACTGCACACTGCACCCAACCAACGGTACAGCCTGCCTAAGAGATACTCTCTCCTCTATCACCCTCAACACACCTAATTTCACACGCAGGGCAACGCAGCATCGCGGCCGGCTGTTCGACTCGCATCCTTCAAACCGTTCCCCTCTTCCCCCTCCCCCCCCCCCTCCTCTCTCTCCCTCCCAATTCCCTGCCCGCCATGGCGCGGACACCACCCTCCCTTTCGCTATTGCTATGTGCAATATTCGTCTTCGCCTCGCGCGTCCTCGCCGTCTCGGCCGTCCTGGGCATTGACCTGGGCACCGAATACATCAAGGCTGCCCTGGTCAAGCCGGGCATCCCCCTCGAGATCGTTCTGACCAAGGACTCCAGGAGGAAAGAGACCTCCGCCGTCGCCTTCAAGCCTTCCCACAATGGCCCCAAGCAGGGCTCCTACCCCGAGCGCGTCTACGGCGCGGACGCCATGGCTCTCGCCCCGCGCTTCCCCGGCGACGTCTTCCCAAACCTGAAGCCCCTCCTGGGCCTGCCCATGGACAGCGCCGAGGTCAAGGAGTACGCTAAGCGCCACCCGGCCCTGCAGCTACAGGCTCACAAGCTGCGCGGCACTGCTGCGTTCAAGAGCGCCGGTGCCTTCTCGCCTGAGGAAGAGGCTTGGCTGGTCGAGGAGCTGCTGGCTATGGAGCTGGCTAGCATCCGGAGCAACGCTGAGGAAATGGCCAAGGGTCCTGTGCGGTCGGCCGTCCTGACCGTCCCGCCGTTTTATACGATCGAGGAGAAGCGCGCTACCGAGGTGGCTGCCGAGCTGGCTGGTTTCAAGGTGCTGGGTCTGATTAGCGACGGTCTGGCCGTTGGCCTGCACTATGCGACTAGCCGGCAGTTCCCGAATATCAATGAGGGTGGCAAGCCGGAGTACCATATGGTGTTTGATATGGGTGCTGGGTACACCAAGGCGACTGTGCTCAAGTTCCAGAGCCGGACCGTCAAGGATGTTGGCAAGTTCAACAAGACCGTTCAGGAGGTCTTTGTCCTGGGCAGCGGCTGGGATCGGTCCCTCGGCGGTGATGCTCTCAACTACCTGATTGTGGACGACATGATCGCAAAGTTCGTCGATTCGCCAAGTGCCAAGCAGGCCGGTGTGTCGGCCGATGATGTCCGGGCTCACGGCCGTACTATTGCCAAGCTGACCAAGGATGCTGAGCGCGTCCGCCACATCCTCAGCGCCAACCAGGATGCCTCGGCCAGTTTCGAGGGTCTCTACAACGATGTTGACTTCAGGTACACCATCACTCGCTCTACCTTCGAAGAGATGGCCGCTGGCCACGCTGAGCGGGTCGGCATCGCTGTCCAGAACGCCATCACCGCGGCCGGCGTCGAGCTCAAGGACCTTGACTCGGTCATCCTCCATGGCGGTGCTTCTCGCACCCCCTTCGTTCAGAAGGAGCTCCAGAAGGTCATTGGCGGCGCCGACAAGATCCGCACCAACGTTAACTCGGACGAGGCCGCCGTCTTCGGCGCCGGCTTCCGCGCTGCCGAGCTCAGCCCCAGCTTCCGTGTCAAGGAGATTCGCGTCCACGACGTGGCTACCTACCCGGCTGGCATGAAGTGGCAGACCGATGACGGCAAGCCGAAGCAGCAGATCCTGTGGCAGGCTTCGTCCCACCTTGGTGCCCCTGCCAAGGAAGTCACCTTTAAGAAGCGCGAGGATTTCAAGGTTACTTTCTACCAGGTTGTCCCTGCGCTTGCGTCGGACGCGGGCACCGTGGAGGCCGAGACCAAGGTGCTCTCCACTACGAACCTGACTGCTACCGTGGCTGAGCTTGTCGACAAGCACAAGTGCAACAAGGATGATGTGCGCGTCAAGGTTGGTGCTCGTCTGACAAGCGAGAACGGCGAAGTGGATGTGACCAAGGTTACGGTTGAGTGCGAGGTTGAGATCGCCGAGAAGGAGGGCTTTGTGGATGGCGTCAAGAACCTTTTTGGTTTTGGCAAGAAGGACAAGGATCAGCAGGTCATGAAGGACGATGCGTCGTCCTCATCTGATTCTGAGAGCTCTTTGACCTCCGGGTCTTCCGCTTCGTCTACGACCTCGACTTCCAGCTCTCCATCTTCCTCGGAGACGGCTGCCACTGCGTCTGCCGATGCCGGCTCCTCTTCTAAGAAGAAGGAGCTCGTCGTCATCCCCATCAAGTTCACTCTGGAGAAGGCCGGTGTTCCTTACCTCCCTAAGGCCGACTTGGCTACCCTCAAAGACCGTCTCAAAGCCTTCGATGCGTCGGACAAGGCTCGCAGGCAGCGTGAGGAGGCCCTGAACCAGCTTGAGCCCTATACCTACAAGGTCCGCGATCTCATCGAGAAGGAGGACTTTATCACCCACTCGACCGCCGAAGAGCGGGCCAAGTTGGAGAAGATGGTCAGCGAGACAAGCGACTGGCTCTACGGAGACGGTGCCGACGCCGCCAAGGAGGTGCTTAAGGCTCGCCTCAAGGACCTCAAAGCCATCGTGGAGCCCGTCGAGCGCAGGATTGACGAGGCTGCCAAGCGTCCCGAGCTCATCAAGGGCCTCCAGGAGGCTCTCAACGGCACCAAGACCTTTTTGGCCGACATTAAGAAGCAGATTGCGGACTACGAAGCCTTCCAGGCTGCCAAGGCCGCGGCTGAGTCTGCCGCTTCCTCTGGTCCTGACTCTGCTTCCTCGACCTCCACCGGCACTGACATTCTTAGCACCACTCCTGCCCCGTCAGCCACTCCCACGGGTGAATTCGACGGCCTCGAAGACAACGCGAGCAGCGTCTCGGCAGCCAAGTCGTCCGTTCACCCAGTCCAGGCCAACATGGAGTACCTGGCCAAGCAGCGCGGCCCTGTCCCCCCACTGTACACGCTGGAGGATTTGAAGGAGACAGAGGAACTTCAGGCGCAGATCAGCAAGTGGCTCGAGGAGAAGCTCGCCCAGCAGGAAAAGCTGGGCCCGACGGATGACCCCGTCCTGCTGGTCAAGGACCTGACCGATAGGAGAGAGAAGCTGGACAAGGCGGGGGTGGAGCTGGCCATGAAGGCGGTGAGGAACTACGAGAAGAAGAAGGAGGGCGAGAAGAAGGGGAGAAGAAGAGCAAGAAGAAGAACGGGAAGGAATCGACGAGCTCGGCGGGCGGTAGTGGGAGCGAAAATGTCACAAGCACGACGAGCGCGGTGAAGCCGTCGCAGACGGTGAAGTTTGAGGAGGGTAAGGTGCCGACACAGGAGGAGATTGATGACATGTTAAAGGAGTTTTTGAAGGAGGCTGAGGAGACTAAGAAGGCGGAGCAGCAACAGCAGCAGCAGCAGCAGAAGGAGGAGGAGGAAGAGAAGAAGGGTCATGATGAGCTATAAGAACCTGGGATGGGGGATAGAGTGATTGAATTACACCTTGGAGTTTAGGGGTGGTTACAATGAGTTTAGGGCATGAACACATCTTCTCTCTGTCTGTCTGTCTTTATACAAGAACTGGATCATGATACATTGAACTCTATCCATGGAATGGCTTATATAAGCAACAAGCGTAAAGAGAGAGAGAGAGAGAGAGAGAGAGAGAGAGAGAGAGAGAGTAGTAGTAGTAGTAGTAGTAGTAGTAGTAGTAGTAGTAGTAGTAGTAGTAGTAGTAGTAGTAGTAGTACGTACGTTACGTTACGTACGTACGTACGTACGTTACGTACGTTACGTTACGTTACGTTACGTTACGTTACGTTACGTTACGTTACGTTACGTTACGTTAACGTTAACGTTAACGTTAACGTTAACGTTAACGTTAACGTAACGTAAACGTTAACGTTAACGTTAACGTTAACGTTAACGTTAACGTAACGTAACGTAACGTAACGTAACGTAACGTAAGTAAGTAAGAAGAAGAAGAAGAAGAAGAGAGAGAGAGAGANG